TTTAGTGGGAACATTACCTTTGTGATGCCATTAGATCCTCCACTGAAAAGGAGACCGTAGCCAACAGCCAGAGCAAGGACGTCGGCGTTGTGGGCTTTCACAGTCCGAATCAATTGTCGAGTATCGAGGTCCCAAACATTGACGTCTCCTTCTAAGCGCCCAGTATAGAGCACCGTACCATCGAGTGCCATAGAAAGTACAGAGCCATCTCCATTCTCTAGTGAGATCTCCTCACTCAAGGCGCCACTTTCATCGCTGTCCAGGGACCACAGCTTGACTATGCCATCACCACCTCCAGATATCAATGTCTCCTCATCGGCGTTATCGGCGTCTAGACCCCTCGACAGCAACATACAGTAGACATAGCCGTAATGCGCATATTGGATTATGTGTTCTCTGTCTATTTCAAGATCTTGGCCGCCAAAAGATCGTGTCTCGGATGCGGAGAGAGGGCGTGGTGTGGAGACGCCAGTTGGACCTTTGGAGTCAAAGAAGCGATGATTTCGATAGGACGGGTGCAGTTTCGGGTCTGGTGGAGGTCTGATGTCCTTCTGCGATAGGTCATACCACTAGGGAGGGTTAGCATGGTGAAGATAAGGATCGACAGATATATGAGTGGGGATGTCACTTGTATGCTTGTATTTTGAGCTCCTAGATAGACAGTCTGCAGATCTTGCGAGTAGACGACTGAGAAGACGTCCCCAACGTCATACGCGGAGTATATCGAGTAAAGCCGATCGAGAGTCTTTGTGCACCAGACCTGAACACGTCAGTAGGCTTCAAGACGGTTGGTATGTGACTCCCATACATTGACAATGGCATCTCCAGCGCTTGAAAAGAGGAGGGTCTTGTCGATGGACAAGCAGAGACATAGCACACTGCCTCTATGCGCATTGACTGTCGAAAGCAGCTCGTATGTCTCGAGAGACCACACCTTCATCTTGTCAGCGACCTTCCCATTGCGTCGTGATTTCACTGAATAGCATACCAGCAAGTCTCCGTTCTGCGTACCTGCATACAATTTGAAGTCGGATACCAAGATGGCAAGGATCGACGGCTGGTTCTGGATCTTGTGATATATCGTCGGAGTGGTGGCATTCAAGGAAGTTGGAGGAGCACCTCCATGGCCTTCAAAATCAGTTGCGGCGTCAGACTCGTCATTGTCACTACCACTCTTACCATCAAGCGTCAATGTTGGGAGTAGATGGGCCATGAGAAAGGTTAGAGACCGGAGCTAGTAGACGTTGCCTTAGCTTAGCCCCGAACGTTTAACGGAAGAGACCCCTAAACGTACCTAGAGATCTGGCCCAGTGGGGTAAGCAAAGACGCCGAGGGACCTCCTTGAAAGAAGTCACATGCAAGAAGCAATCAACAGCAGTCTCGATTCAACAAGCCTTTTATTAAACTATTTTCAAAGGTCTTCTAACTGAGAAGCAAACTTCGTCTTTAAAGGAATATTGTCAGAGCACGCAATACGGGACCCTGCCGCTGTTATTGACCCGAGGGACCGCTATTGATACCATCAATCTGTTCGATCAATACCACCTGAACGACTGAGCGGTGTTGCTTGCGCATTGGCCCTCTTAGTATAATTGCCAATTTGATAGGGCATGTCTTCTTCGACGCTCAAGCCGCGCCTCATCATCCATGGCGGTGCCGGCAATTACACGAGAGAAAACCTGTATCCACACGCCTGGGAAGTATACTCTTCCACCTTACTGACCATCCATCGATCTACTTCTGCACTCCTTTCTCATGGTGCAACTGCGTTGGATGCTGCCACACATGCTGTGGCCTTGTTTGAGGATTCTCCGCTGTTCAATTGCGGGAAAGGTGCCGTAAGTGAAATGGCATTCTGTCCAAAAAATTGTATTGAGATTCATATTCAGGTCTTCACGAGAGATGGCACTATCGAATTGGAGGCTTCAGTGAGCAAGTCTCCTTCTTTTAATTCTCTTCGTCTACTGTCCTACTGTCGTGAAGGATTATGAACAAGTCTGCACAACAATGTTTCCACTTCTTTGGTTCCCGGACGTTCAAAGCCTGCTCTATGCATCAAAATCCAAATCATCTCAAGGGAGGTGGACAGTAATGACCGTGGCCAGGTCATGGTGACTCGAGACTTTCGCAAACGAGGTTGTGCTGTCGTTCTTGTCAATAAAGTCAAAAACCCCATCAAAGTAGCACGCGAGATGCTTGTCCGTGGCGAGAAAGACGATTCAGGAAGCGGCGGCCTACGCGGAGGGGCTGGAGGGGCGCAGGGTCATTGCTGTCTTGGTGGAGAGACAGTCGAAAAGTTGGCTAAAAGTTGGGGCTTGGAGATGGTAGACGAAAGTTATTTCTGGACAAGAAGAAGATGGGATGAGCATAAGAGAGGCTTGCATGAGTCTAGAGACGAGAGAACTTTGAGACAAATGGATGTCTGGCCCTACAGTGTTGACTCACATACATTGCTGATAGGACTTGCTATCCTCCAAGCTCCCAGCTCTCGGGCCACTGTCTCAGAAATCGGTGACTGGCTATCTAAGAAAGCAGCGTGGCGGGTTGGCCCTCAACATATATGGCAAACCCGTGTTCCTAGCGAGCTCAAGCGAGAAAGCGAGTCGCACCACGTACTGCATCAATACCTAGGAAAGGGCAGATATTTCACGGAGCAGCAACCCCAAGAGAACGAGATCCGTGGCTCGGAGCCATACTGGACTATTGCTCCTGAGAAGGTGGCACATTTTGTCAAAGCGAGAGACGAAGGATATGCTTTACACAACAAATACGAAGAGCACCAAGAGGACAAGTGTCGTTGGCCATTATTTCCGGAGCAGGACAGCGGATGGGATGGTCAAGCCTATCTCCCACAAGGCACCGTCGGCTGTGTCGCATTGGATCAGTATGGTACAATGTGCGTGGCAACTAGTACAGGCGGCGTTACAAATAAGCTTTCAGGTCGAATTGGAGACACGCCTACGATAGGGGCTGGTTTCTGGGCTGAGGAATGGAGCCAGTCGTCTCTCGAGAGGAAAACGAGACCACCACAAGATCTGTCGTCACGAATTCCCGCAGTTTTGAACGGTCTTTCGGACGGACTGCGCAATGTTATGGGAGACTGCATCCCCAACTTCTCAGGCTATCAAGAAGTCCCAACCTTCCAGGATATGGGACTGGAAAAAGCAGAGAGTATGAGCAGTATCAGAGCCGTGGCTATGTCTGGAACCGGTAATGGCGACTCTTTTCTCCGTCTCGCAGCCGCCCGTACTGCAGGTGCTATAGTCCGTTTCTCGCCTAACCGCTCTCTTGCGTCGGCAATCAACCAGATGGCGGGTTCGGGAGGAGAGCTAGAACGGTCGGCTGGAGACCGCTGGGGTGAGACTGGCGAAGGGGAGGGAGGCATCATCGGGATAGAGCTGGTCGGTGGGAAGGGAAAGATAGCGTTCGACTTCAATTGCGGCGGCATGTTCAGGTGCTGGGTGGATGATCATGGCAAAGAAAAGGTCATGGTTTTCAAGGACGAGTACTGAGTCCAAAGATTAGACCAATCAAGACGTCAGAAGATAGAACACCCAAAGCGCGTTTTGTTTGACTCTGGCGATTCTTGAGGACTCTAGACCGTACACTGGCATCTCCCGGCCAGTCTCTCCGTTCATCTCGCCTGCCAAACAAGACATGATCCTCGCGAACCCCATCTCGGACTAGGTTATCGTTCATTCGATAGAATGTACGAAGAAGGTGTATCACCTGTTGCAATGTCCGTCATGATAGGCTGACATCTGCTTGACATGTTCCCGTTAGGAAGTTTGCCCGCTCTCCTGACACATGGTCTACAAGAGGTAAATAATATATCGGCTTCCCTCACTTTCCACGAGGCTATTGCCCGTTCCTGTAGCATATTACTACTCCCTCTAGTACTGTGGATAACATCTTCCCCTTCGCTTCCAGGGCTGCCTACTGAGCTCGTCGTCCGGAGTCTCGAGTTGATCCCAAATTGTTGTGCTGTTGCTGCCCTCCCTGAATCGCCCTCCGCGCAAACTCTACCAAAATCTGGCTATCTAACGCGGCCGCAACATCGGACGCTGTTCTCCCTCGAGCCATCGAACGTTACACTGACGCTGAAGAATTGGTTCGATTTCAAACAGCACAGGAACAGGGAATGCGAGGCGGCGGAAGAATCGGAAACAGACGAACCGCAAACAGGTGAAGCGGATGATGCTCACCACAACGTTCTAAAACGCAACGAATATTTCGCCGTCGATGCCTCCATCGTCTCAAAGGAGTGTGCAGATCTGCAAGCCGAAGCTATAAGCGACTTCGACCAAGATCTCCACAGGTCTGAAGCTAAGGGACTCCGCCGCACTGGATTCCGAGGCTTGAAGCGCATACGATACCGCATCCATTGCATAGCTGCTCTGTCCTCGCACCGAGCCGCCCAAGACGGGTATCTGGAAGCGACGAGCTTGGATGACCTGAAAGGTATGCGGGATGATAGTGCTGGAACCAAGCGGAGGCATTACTATATTGACTTTGATTATTTTCGCATTCACATCAAGACTTCATGGGCCCGCAATGCTTTTGATTCGATTGAGGAGGTGTACCGTGATAAATGTTGTCGCAAGTACTTGAACTAGATGAGTTCATGATAACACAAGAGAGGAAAGATAGTAGGATAGACAACTATCTCTCTCGCGGTCAAAGGACAGGCAAGGCAGTTATTTGCCCTGATGAGAACACGATGCGCACTGGGCGCGAGAATCGAAACTATGCAGTCATCACATGCAGTATATACCGCAACTGGTCTGAATCGATATCAGCCTAGGCTTAGATTTGGATTGAAAGTCTCCTCACCGTGTCAGAGCTTTCCGTGAGACTCCATGATGCGCGCAACCTCTCCGTGTGTCTAGCGGGCCCAACACCCTCAGCCTGATGCGTGCGTGTAGACCTCAGATTCGCCGTAACGTAGCACGCCACCGCAGCAAATCCGCTCCCAATGTCTTCGACCTGCTATCCACAGCTCACTCCACCCCATCCACCTCCATATCCGCATCGCCTCTCCTTTCCCCCACTGCCGTATCCGATCTCCCAACCTTCCCATCAAACTCCGCTACATCCTTCATCTCCACCTCCCCCGCCTCCTCCATTGCCCTCTTCTTCGCATATCCAACTTTCTTCTCCACCTTTTTGGCCTTCTTTCTCGACAGCGGCGCTGCTTTCCTGATTGCTTGGCTCGTGCGCGGTGTGGGCTTTGTGATTTTGTTTTTGGCGAGGCGCTGGGTCTGCTGCCGCTTACTTTTGAGGGTGCGCGCTGTTTTGGGCTTGAGGGAGGTGGGTGTGTTGGGATTGGAGCGGGAGGGCATTGTGGGGGGTGGTTTCGAGGCGGACAGGACGGGTGTCTGGTTGATTGTGGGGGAGGTTGCTGCTCGATGATTGTGATTCAGATGCAAAGACTTGAATATCGTTTTTGGTGAGGAAGAGGTTGTGTCAGTGTGCAAAGTGTTCGCAGGTTGTTTACGTGTATGGTGGTAAGAGAAAATGGGTTCGACAATGTCGGCACACCAAGTTTTGCCGAATTGTAAAATTACGTCCCCCATTTTGGATACAGCAATTTTACGCTAGTCATGCAGATCTTGTATAGAACTTTAGAGGGCTGTCGTACAAGCTTCAACATTGCAGAAAGTATTATTTCTGGTTACAAAGGTCTGCTTACATCTTCTGCAACCTTCGACCTCCTCACGAACCCGTCTTTCCTCAAGATTTGATGAAGCTCACCACCAATAATGATGTTTACAGATGAAGTCTCAGAACACTTAAAGGAATGTACTGATTTAATGTAATTGCACTGAGGCTGGAGTGAAGTCCGACTTCTTTCGAATGTTGTAATCCTGGGTACCTCGCTGGAACTCACATGAAGGCCGAACACGGGACTTGGCAGTCGATCTGATTTTTCTATTGGGGTAAGTCATTAGCCCCTGCAAAGCTGAGCGACTACCAGATGTAGCACAGGAACATACCGCGTTCTGCTCCCTGTGCCGTTGAGTGCGTGGAGCACAGATTGGACCATCCTTAGGGTCCCACCCTCCGTTCCTACAAGTGGCACAGATTGGACCATCCTTAGGGTCCCACCCTCCGTTCCTACAAGTGGCAACTCCTGTCGTGGTCCTACTCGTCCAAGACAACGTCCCTAGAGTAAATTGAATATAGTCACCAGCATGCTCTCCCGTGATCATTAACGCGGTAGATGCCAGCTCGTTGAATGAGAAAGCATATGTATCTCCGACGTTGATCGGCATTCCCAAAGGATATGTATCATTGACCGTCGTTTCGCCGAGGACATTGCCGTCGCTGTCCTTCACGGTTACTGAAGCAAACAAGTTGGAATACACGTCTGCACAGTCTTGAAACTCATCGACATGAATAGCGCACATTTCCGTAGGAACCGGTATTGGTGCTTTTCCTTCAAAAGCAGTCCAAAGCTTCGGATCGGGTGCAGCGTTTGGATCATTAGGATCACTTGGATCGACGAAACTGGCCGGAAAGGATTCCTCAGTTGCATTGGAATCGTCGTAGGTAAAAGTGATTCCAGAGTACGAAGATGTGAAACCGTTTCGTTGCTCGTACACCTTCCTAGGAAGGGGAGCCGTGGCCAATTTGAAGAGATCCCATAAGTATATAGCTGACAGGGCACAGCTGTCAGTATCTGAATTCGCGTCTGGACTTGACAATTGGAATCGTTCTTCCAGTAAGGCAGGAAATAGGTGTATTAGAGGGAGGATGATTCCGCTCCATGTAGACAGGGGTGCAGACCGCATAACTCACCCAAGTTGGAACAGACGTAAGAGTCGGCTAGAAGAATGTGGTCAATGAATGGCTCACTTTTCTAGAGTACTCAGACTGCCGAGGTACTAACCATTGAGCGATGTCCAATAGGCGCCTTTCGTTGCAGCCAAATCCCAGGAACCCTGGGGCCAATAGCCTGGATTATAATCCTCGATCATTGGATTGGAAATCGTGTACCGCATGTGCCAGGTCTCGTGATACTGGAGATGTGGGATTAGCAGTCTTCCCGTTGAAATTACTTATAGTCTCAACCGGCTACTTTGTACGAGGACAATTTTAGAGAGAGTCAGGCACAGAAGGAGGAACCGGACATCAGTAAGCATCATTCAAATCACAGTGCAGGGGATAAACTTATTTGATACTCTTGAAGATTGCTCACCATTGCCATACCCCTGGTATAGTAAAAGGGTTCCAGGATGTTCTTCTCCTTCGCTGAGTCTGGCAATTTGGTAACCTCGTTGATAACCTGTCCGATCGTGGGTAGCTTGAAAAACAGCGGGCACCAGGTTATATAATGATTGTACCACCACAATCCTACCTTAGTATCTGAATAGCCTCCTCTACCCCGGGGGCAGTTGTTTCTCCAATCGTAGCAGTAATAGTAGATGTAGGCGTTTGAGGGAGCATTGTCAGTCTCGAGAGCATGCCGCCTATTCAGGTTGTCTCCAATGATTTTCCGATAATTTTGATCCCAGGGCAACTAGCTACCAGTGTCTGCAACGTTTGCTCCAAAATGGTTGATATACGCGGTGGAAAATGCGCCATTCGGTACATATTTCGTTGAGGCATCGTCAAGCAAACTTGCTTCGTACCATGCATTCTCGATAATGGCCTGCTGTTGGGGCGTGCAACGACTGTCTACGAACTTTCTTGAGAGCGCAGTATTTGCAACCGGTTCGTCATCAGTACCTGATAAATCCTCAGGCGGTGCGATGGTATTTGTTGGCGACGGCTGAAGTGTGGTTTCTGAGGCGGGTGTCCAAGTGGGATTAGGTGGAGGCGCATAGAGAGACTCTAGGTCGCCTTGAGGAACAGGTGTAGCACAAGCTCGTCGTCCAATGATCAAGAATACATAGACGGATAGAAATTTGGTGTAAGCCATGATACCAATCACGCAAAATAATTTACAATTATCTTCTGGGACAAAGTCGCAGAATCACTCTATGAAAAAAGGACATATGCTGGTATAATGGTAAAGAAGTACATAGGAGATTCCAAGGGAAGCATGCTCTGTTCACACCTCTGTACTTAAGCATCTAATGCTTAAACGTTACTATGGAAAGAGTTTCAATCTACTTGTCCAAGAATCAGCCTCATTTTGGAGCGTCGGCTCGAGTACGATTGGTTTGTTTGGTCCCTACTGGAGCTTCACTGTTGGTCTCATTCATGAAACTTGTTGGAGAAGAATGGCAAGGAAGGAAGAGGAGTACAAGGGATCCCGAGGCGAGAAAGAGACTTTTTAACGTTTCGCATAACATCACCCCAATAAAGGGCGCAAGACTTGGCAAGCAAAAAAAGACAGAAATCTGCCCTAAGCTCCGAGTCCAACACCAGAGCGGCCCATCCGTATGGATTCTCGAGTGTGGTTTTACAGCTAAAAGCTGTGGCTGCAATCGTAGCAAGCGACTTTCATGTTTTTCGGCGCACGTAGTTCAATGCGTGTAGCTACATCACGATCGAGCCTTTGTTGATCCCAGCGCAATACTCGAATGAAGAGATCGCGATCCTCTTCGCCATATGATATGATCGATGTCACCTTTCAGGAACCATTCGATCAGGGATATTCTGGCCGCTCGTACTCAAGAGATTAGGAATTTATGAGTGCGTAAATGAGTGGCAGCGGAGCTAATTGACAGGCGGTGCTTTCCGAGGCCACAAGACTCGGTATAGCTTTTCTGCGCTGACTGAAGAGCTTCTCGACTTCCTGCCCTTCCCACTCGTACGTCACTGTTAGCGTTGTTCGTTCGTAGCCATTAGCGGAGCGCGTCGGCAAGGCATACTCAGGGCCTAAACCCTCAACAGAGCTTGTCTTGCGATCTGTGGTGAGTTTGTCAGAGGGGACTGGGCGTCTTCTGGGTGGCCTGAAGCCATATCTCTGTCTGAGGTTGAGACAAAGTGACTGATTGACGTTAGCGTGCGATGTGCTCGGGAGGAGGAAGTAGAAGTGCGAGTTTTGCTAGTCATTTGAAAAGCGGGACTACGGGGGTGGATCAAGTCAGACTGGCATAAAGAGAGTGCTCAAAAGGAGGATTCTGAGAGCATCCATGCCGTTGCGTCGAAGCCAGAATTGCTCTCTCTGACAAATGTATAAACATGAGTATCGAATTCCGATTTCATGACTCCTGAGCCTCCTATTTAACGAGTCGAAGCAGCGAAGTTAGATCGCAAAGCCAATACATGGAAACCCTATGGCATGCTCCGGAAACGGTACGTGCCTAGATTGATCCTCACCAAAAGTCTGGTACGCATATAGCTACATGGATGATACGGGTGGAAATATGTTGTATTGATAAAAACCAAAACATGACACCCAAACATACTTTAACTAATGTCGTTACTCGTTACGAGCTTACTTTACAGTGTACGAGGGTCGAGGGAAGGGGACGGGGGATTAAATTGTTGGCCGATAATCTTAGCGTCGGGGCAAAAATTTGCCGACCTTCCGTCCCGTTCGCGTGACGTTGAAGGCAACCACAAAGTTAAGGTACGAGAGTACTTACTTTATAATTGATGGGTGTCTTCTTCCTTTCTTACAACATTTGCCTTTGCTTTTTTGCAATCCGAATATATTATCTTATAATCTTATAGCGTAGCCATCCTTACTCTGCATCAGACACTTGTGATTGGTGACTTTCTTTCGGCATGTCTGAGTTGCGATTGCTTGCTTGATCTCTGATATTAAAGATCGTTATTGATGCACTTTTCCATCACCAACACCTTACGTAACGTCTCATATACGGTAGTTGGTCTTGATCCTGATCACGAACCCTCGTTGACTCCCAATACTCTCGATCTTTCGAAACTTATACAATGGATTTGCCTTGGTTGCCAATCGGTCTGAGCTCTGTCGCAGGCTCATTCGTCCTTGTACACAATGCGCCTCAATACTCCATCTCCGCATCTTATGTTAAGACTTTTCTGGTTCTAGAGACGATACAAATCCTACTTGGCTTATTATGGGAAGCTATCCTATACCCGAAGCTGTTCAGTCCAATCAGGCATTTGCCTCAGCCCAAAGTGGGTGCCCATCCACACCCTCATGATGTCCCCAGCTGAGATTGGATTGCAGGGTGGCTCGTTTTTCAATGGACAACTCAAGAGAATATCAGCAGAGCCAACTGGCGAGCCACATAGGGATTGGATCAAAAATGTTCCCAACGACGGATTGATATATTACACAACTATTCTCAATCAAGGAAGGCTGCTCCCAACAAGCCCCCAAGCATTGAGCGAAGTTCTCACGACCAAGAGTTACGACTTCATCAAACCGCAACAACTGAGGAATGGTTTGGGCAGAGTATTGGGCATTGGAATTCTCCTAGCTGAAGGCGACGAGCACAAGGTAGGGCACTTTCGCGTAGCTTAGCCGACAGGGCTGATATCTTGACACAGAGACAACGCAAAAATCTCATGCCAGCTTTTGCCTATCGTCATGTCAAGGATTTGTACCCAGTCTTTTGGGAGAAGTCCATTAAGCTAGTCAACGGCTTGATGTCAGTGGCACGAAAAGAGGGCAAAGAGTCAGTCGAAAGCATCGACAACGCCGCCATGGTTGATATTTCAGGCTGGTTCAGCCGTGCGACCCTCGACATTATTGGCGTTGCTGGAATGGGCCATGATTTCGATGCAATTGACAACCCGGACACCAAAATTAATGTTACATACAGGAGCGTCTTCTCACCGAGCCGCCAGCAGCGGACAATGGCTCTCTTGGGTCTGTTCCTACCTCAATGGTTTCTGCGTGCTTTGCCAGTGGCCCACAACAACAAAATAGTAGAGTCATCCAACACGATCAAGGAAGTCTGCCGTGAGCTTATTCGCGAAAAGAAAGAAAAGCTTGACCAGAAGCAGAAACGAGTTGATGCCGACATCCTTTCCGTAGCTCTCGAATCTGGTGTTTTCACCGAGGAAGACCTCGTCAACCAAATGATGACTTTCCTTGCTGCCGGCCACGAAACAACAGCCTCGGCGATGACCTGGGCCTTCTACTTGCTGTGTCTACACCCCGAAGTCCAAACACGTCTCCGTGAGGAGATACGAGCAAACTTGCCACCCATTGACGACACAGAGACCGTCACTGCTGCTTCTCTAGATCAATGCCACTACCTCCACGCCGTCTGCAACGAGGTCTTGAGAGTCTACTCTCCTGTGCCAGGCACCATTCGAGAAGCCGGTCGCGACACCAGTATCCTTGGCCAATACGTTCCCAAAGGAACTAAGATCATGTTAATACCATGGGCCGTCAATACGGCTACTTCGCTTTGGGGTCCCGACGCCGACAAATTCAACCCGGACCGATGGATGGGCCCCGGCAAAGCCAACACAGGCGGCGCGGAGAGCAACTACGCTTTTTTGACGTTTTTGCATGGACCCAGGAGCTGCATCGGACAAGCTTTTGCCAAAGCGGAGTTTGCATGTCTTATGGCTGCCGTGGTGGGAAGGTTTGAGGTTAAGATAGCAGATGCAGATTTTAAGCTCAAAATAAAGGGATCGATCACGGCAAAACCCAAGAACGGCCTGACCGTGAGGATCAAGCCGATTGAAGGGTGGTGAGAAATCTGCTTTTCGCTTCGCTGAGGTCTTCCTGATTGCTGGGATGGAATTGCTGAGGGGCTCCTTTGATCACTCGTATACGCTATGTGGTATGATGCTTGATAGAGGTTCATGGTTTGGCATTTTCCTGTCTGGTCTTGTCGGTACTCGTATATACGCTAGTTTCCATATCATGTACATGGATTAACGGCACAAACATATGCAGCATATCATCGTCCTAACCAGATTGAAAGGAGTCAGTTCTGTTTCAAGCTGCCTGGTTCATTATACTACTATCCAATAACTATGATATTCATATGCATCGTGACATTCGTCGCTCATATACAGCTCCGCACCACCACATTGTCTACATCTTTCCCTTCTTCGGCGCACCCGGCCTTCCACCAAAACCCCAGCGAATCTGGTTGGCCACGTTGACCTGCACGCCCAGTTCTTCCGCAAAGGTCCACACCAACCCCGGGTTCTTCTGGAACATGCGGCCCACAATCGCCAGATCGAGGCCCCCCTCAAGCAGTTCCTGTGCCTGTTTGCCACTAGTAATGGTCCCGACAGTGCCAACAGCCACTCTGTCGCCCAGTTTCTCCTTGACCGCTTTGGCAAACGGCGCCTGATATCCGGGACCCGTCTTGACTTTCTGTTTGGGGTGGTTCCCGCCACTGCTCACGTCCAGGAGGTCGACTCCCATGTCTGCTACGATTCCGGCAAGTTTGACGGTGTCTTCGACCGTCCAGCCCTCCATGTCTTTTTCTTCCTCGAGCCAGTCGGTAGCGGAAATCCGTAAGAATAGTGGCATCTCCTTGGGAATGTTGGCGCGAGTAAGTTCGACTATTTCGCGTGTGAGACGGGTGCGGTTTTCGAAGCTGCCGCCGTACGAATCTGTGCGCTTGTTGCTGGCTGGGGAGACGAAGGAGTGGAGGAGGTAGCCGCTAGCGTATAGTGAGTCCAAAGCTCTTGATAAATTTCGTCTCCGATTGGGAAGACTTACTGTGCATTGTGGATCTCAATCACGTCAAAGCCGCAAGCAACAGCCCGCTTGACAGAGGCCACAAAAGCCTTCTTCACGTTCTCAATGTCATCTATTGTCATCTCTTTTGGGAACGGTAGCTTCTCGCTATAAGGAATGGCACTGGGCGCATAACAGTCGTCAGGCCAGCCGTTGACCTCTTTCGTAGCAACGGCCCCCGAGCTCAGCCAAGGTGCTACGGTCGATGCTTTTCTTCCAGCATGACCAAGCTGAATTCCAATGTTTTGGCCTTGACTGTGAGCAAACTCAACGATCTTTTTCAAGGGTTCCATCTGCGAGTCTAGCCAGAGGCCTGAGTCTTCGGGTGTGATTCTGCCTTCTGCTGTTACTGATGTAGACTCGACCATCGCCAGCCCCGGCCCTCGTTGAATTATACCGCCCAGGTGGGTAAAGTGCCAGGCGGTGTGATGGCCGTTCTCTGCGGAGTACTGACACAATGGGGAGAGCTAAGGAACTCGTCAGTCGTCTCTTGCCATATTCTGGGCCGGACACTGACCATGATGCGATTCTGCAAAGTCACGCCTCGCAACTTCAAGGGTTGAAAGAGCTTTGGAGGATGGGAGCCATCAGGTTGGGGATCCGAGGCTGTGCCAGCTGGTGGCTGTTGCGCTGGAGTATAGTAGCTTATGCCCTTCGCTGCTCCATTCTCGATGCTCTGGTGGGAAAAGTCCTGGTCTTTAGACTCGTGAATGTTGTGGTGGTCTGGCATGGTGAGGTGTGTTGTGTATCTGGTGAAGCGGAAGTAATAGACAGGTTTCAACGTGAATCCTAATATAGGATAATGCGCTTGGAGAGAAATCGTGGGAGTAAAGAAGATATTTTTATTATTGACATTTTGAGCAATATCGTCATCGGCCCGCGGCCAGATCGACCCGGGTATGACGAAAGATGGGGCAGATAAGATAGGTTGGCGACGCCTGGAATGCGGGTAAGAACCCCGGGAGCGGTACCCAACACTCTAGGGCATGGGCAATACCTTGTGAGACCTCACCTTTTGGAAGGTATTTCCTCTTCTGCTTTCCGCCACCCCCAACCTTTCGTGGCAAAACCAGTCCTATAAAGTCCACGCAGCGCCACACTTGTAGTCCCGATAAACCAAAGAACATTCCTCTCTCGTCGGCTCGCGTTCATAGTATAACAACCAAGGGCCAGTCTCGCCAGCTGGTGTGCTCGCATTGAACTGGTCCAGGAAAGTATAGTATCCATCAGCCTAGTGTGCGTCAGCAATTGTGGCGCCCTCCTCTCACCGCCTCACAAGCAAGGTGATTTACCCACCTCACTCCCATTCCCATTCAACGCGAAGGCACAATCATATGGCCCATTCGCACTGAAGCCAAAACCCTTCCAAACTACCGAGCCATTGGGCGCCAGATAAGTCCCGCCTGTCAGCATCGCGCCTTTCTCATTGTATTGTGATTGTCCGGAGTCAGCGCTTTGGGCGAGCACTGGGATGATCCTCCAGTCATTGAGCTCGAAGCTCTTGATTTCCAAGTCACAGAACGTAATCGTCTCATTGAAGTTCGAGCCGTAGACACCTTGGAATGAGCGAATTGTCTGGGTCGTAAAGTTGTGGTAATCGAATGTATTCGGAATCGGACATCCTGAGAAATTTGAGTATTCGAAAGGACTGTCTGGACCTTTACTCCAGTAATAGAGATGCGCTAACCTTGGCCAAGAACGTGGACGACGAACCCGAGGGTCAATGGCTAAGGATGTCAAAAGGGTGAATCTGCGTGAGGAGTGAAAGGAGTCATACCGTGAGAGAGAACAGCATTGCTCTATGAAATGTTGAATTGATTGATCATATTATTGCTTGCCTTTATGTCGGCAATCACAAACAGATGATGCAAACGAGTCCGCCGCTGCCATTGCTTAGTAAAGATTTGAAAGCTGGAAGTCCTCGGCCGCGAGTTCGAGAATGGTTAGCAGAGAGCTGCATCTTGAGATACAAAATGAAACCTCACGACGCTGCGTCCAGCTAGACCTGACATTGGATCTAGCAGCTTTTGGTGCTCGAGGACCTTCTAAACGCTGTGGAGTCAAGGCGATGGCAGTAAGCAAAGATAAGAAATCACACTCTAAGAGAGAGGACAGTCAAGAGACCAACAGTAATAGAATTAAAGAATTCACTGTAATGTGGTACGACAGTCACGCGAATCCATGTTTTTGACTTTGTGAGGGAGGTAAAATCATTCGATTTCTGTATTTGTGCATTCTTGTAAAAGATAATTTTTTCCCTCGGACTTTCTTCCATGAGTTTTGATGCGATGGATTACCTACGAGTACCTGTAGCAGAGGAAGGTCAAGCTTGAGACCCGCAAGGATGACGGAGTGGTTAGGGCACATTAGGGCACATTGAGGCAAGCTGCCGCTTCTCTAACGGGCCCCCGAAACGACGATCCGGTGATGGTGATTTCGTTCACCTTTCACCCCCACCCCCAGGCCACCTCTCTTCCATCTGCCGTCAGCAATAGAATTCAAACTTTATCCTTTGACTCAAAGCTTCCGACTCTTTACTCGTATTTAAAGAGACCATCATCAAAAGGCAGTCAGTACAACGGCTTGCCTTGAGGAGCTCGTTGATGAGAGATCCAAGTATGCAGCCTGGAGAGTCAGCAGATGAGGGAGATATCCCGTCACATGCCCTCCATGGCCTCCTCGCTGATCTAAACATTTCCTCCCCTTCCAACCGCCTCTCTCATGCTCAACTCCCTACCTGGACATTCCCAGCGTCTCCACCTACCAGGAACACACCTTCACCTCGCCCAGCTGACGGATCCATCTTCTCTCCACGCCCTCCACCAAAATATCACCCCAATTCCGCTCCGGAACTGGATCTTGCCTCTCCAACACATGTCACCAATCCCACCCACGTCGTTACCCCCACGCCTTCTATTAATCAGCCCTCGTTGTTCAATACGCCCAATCGATCAATCTTCTCCTCAGGGCCTCCGACCTCGTCTGTATCTGCCAATACAGCACAAGCGTCCATGAGCTCCCCATCGCCGGTCCACCCTACCCATCCATTGTCAACCCTCACTGTTCCTACTTCTGGCTCAAGCAGGAGGTCGGTTCATTATCAGAATGAGAACCTCCCGACAGCTATAAAGAGCAGAATCCCAAGAGCAGAGAAGGATGTGGATGACCCTTCTGTCCAAGTCGAGGGTACTACATCGGCTGAGAGGAGGGGGACAAGTACGCCTACAGCATTGACACGTCTCTTCGCTGCGCCCGAGGTCACTCCGATAGTATCAAGACATTCCTCGTACATAAGAACAGCTAGTGGAACCGCATACACTAGAGCATCTTCTGCTGAGACAGCCCCTTTGCCGAACCACCTCTACAATCGGGGTTTGCTAGGTGGGAAACACTCAGATATTGCAATTCATGCTTTTGGTACTCGATATGCTCTACACCGGCTACTGCTCGATCGGGCACCCTTTTTTTCATCCGCTCTCTCAGAGCCATGGTTTGAAAGCTCGTCAAAAGAGATAGCCCTCCACCCTGATGATATCGATTCTAACATTACGCAAGCTGCCTTCGAGCTGGCGCTGAAAAGACTCTATGGCTGCAATGTTGCTATGGAAGAGGACAAGGAGGCCGTTGGCCTGTTTGCTACTGGTTGTTGGTTAGAAATGGCTGACTTGGTCGACGCCAGCGTCACGTCGATCTTGCGTCAGATGTCACCGGCTAAGATAGGTTCTTTAATCAAATTGGTCACCAACAACTATTATGGCAAAAATGGAGATCGAATCTTGGCCACAGCCAAAGCCATGCTTTGCCGCGAAGGCTGGGAGATGCCAGTGAGGTATTGGGATGGAGTCTCTGGTGAGATCGCAAGAGAGATTATTGGTGGCGACGGCTTCTTCGTACCTGGAGAATGGGAACGATGGGTGCTTGCAAAGAGAGTCCTGGATCGAAAATTGAAGTTACGAGCTATTGAAGCAGGCCTTATTGAGCCCAATGGAACCCACAAACGTGCACCACCCGATACTATGAGCTTCTCAGCTATCCGGTTCGACACTGTGTATCGCAAAAACTCAGCCGTCGCTAGCAGGCATATCCCTGAGGCCTATGATTCATGGCTTGCGCTTTACACCAATCCGGATATCGCCGCTTTGCTGGTCCTCCTTGACGAAGGTATCCATTACGTGCATTTGAGCTTCGAACAATTGCAGAAAATTCGTAGTCAGCGAGATGTCCTTGGATTGCCGCTTATGCCTGAAAAGGTGATCAACGATGCTTTATGGATGCAGATGGAACTTCGACAGAGGATCGTCAACGCGCCTGAGCTCGATGAGGTACTGGGATTGAGCAAAGAATCCGAGGAAGTTCAGGAGGCCGCCCATCTGCAAGGAGACGCTAGTGAGGCCACTAATGGGAAAGGCAAGGAGCGCGATACTGATTTTTACGATGACCAAGAGGATGATGATGAAATGGAGTCAGGTAGCTGGGACGGCAATGGAAGACCTCGAAAGTTCTGGATTCCTAACGTCGACTCGACTTCCGTAACGGGCGCAAATCCAGATACTTCGCTCTATGCAACGCCAAGCACTAATCGGCCTTATATCTCACGACTCTCCGCCTCCATTGACCCAGTGGATGTGCAGTGGGCATCAGACTTCACAGCATCAGCAAACGAGCGCCCAACAACAGCTGACCGAAATGAACCAATCCCTCCAATCTCTTACACCAACTACCCACCCTTCCGCTTCGCAGCCGAGTTTCCCAATCCCCGCAATCTCAAGGAAAAGAAACGTGTTTACTCTCGCACAGTCTGGTATGCTGGCAGTCTCTGGAATGTGTACATCCAAAAAGTCGAAACCACAAAGAACACCCAGCTTGGCGTCTACCTGCATCGCGCTAAGGAAAAGGAAGGCTCCGAAGATATCCATCACCGTCATACGAACAGCGTGGACGAACGCATCGGACAAGTCGAGATGCTAATGCGCCGCAACCGCAATCGCCGTCGTTCACGAGGCGAATCACTGGATGAGGACGCCAGTAATTCAGGTACCGATCCGGACAGCACTTTGGTCGCGCCCGGACAACCTTCGCGAGCGGCGACCATTAGCAATCTGCTCCGTGGTGGCAGCCGCGATGACTCTTCTGTTATCAAATCCTCACAGACGCCTAGTCCTCTCAGTTTGTCTTTACCATACAACAGCGCTCCAAACCTGAACGATTCCGACGACAATGACGAAGCTGCTGGCAACAGGGAAGCTTGCAACACTAACCACAGTGTCCCAACTCTGCCTACATACGTCGATGGTCGCTCAACGATTAAGACGTATTTCAAGATCTACAGCCCAAGTAAGGGTGGAAGGATGTTGAGTGTATACGAGAGCGCCCCAGATTCATTCAATTTCAGTCAGAGCTGGGGTTGGAAGAGTTCCACTATGGTGTTAGACGATGCGTTATGTGGGTATGATGGCGGTGGAGATAGCGGTGGGAACGGCAAGGGGGGAAGGGATGGACGGCTCCGGTTCATGGTTGTGATTGGTATGTTGTGAAAGAAGCATTCATCATGCGCTTTGCTGATTTTGATTAGGTAATGTTTGAACGTTTAAGTGAGTGGTGTGCGTATGTGGCACGTGTGGTACGGTTAGGGATGCTCGCTGGTGTACATGTTTCCTCCCTGGTGTTTCATTGGCTTTGCGTGTATCTATCGCTGTCCGCTAGCGTAGAATTAGAGCACTTACCACTGTTCCTGTTCCACAATTGACATATGCGCAACTTTCTTCCTACCTTCCAATATCCACCCTGGAAGCCCCGTTTTTGAGCCATCTGAAATCCGAAATGCAGTCGATAATGGCTCAGACCGTCACTCGGCGATGAAGCGAATTGTGGCACCCTTGAAGGCGTCCGACCAGATCCTCCAAACGCGTATCTTTTCGCGGTATTAAACCCAGATCTCAAGTCCCCAGTTTGGCGACAAGGCCACCGAAGTTGCAAACGGTGAGGATGATGCTTTTGAGGATGGATAGATCTCTAGCTTCCGACGTCAAAGTCTGCACAGTCACGGCTCGATACCGGAATGCGGCGGCTGACAGTCAGAGCAACTGTCCCCGAAACAGGGGGGACACTGCAGAGTAGTCGAGGTTCTATTTACGAGACCGTCTCAAATTGTGGATATATACGTTGGCGTTATCGTGCCGGATCCGCTTCCAACTCTCCAGCGGTCTGCCTCCTTGCGATGGGGAAACCGTCCTTTTCTTCCTGCAAATTTCTTCCATCCATTTCCGCAGGTATATGGTTGCCGTTCACTTCGCTGGCATAAGTTCCAGCATATTCTTGCTTTTGCGATTCTGGAGGCGGAATCTGTCGCTGCTTCCTGCGTGCTCGCGTCCAGAGTAGCAGGCCGGCTGATATGAGCGCGAGAACGCCCAGAGAAACTCCGACACCTATGCCTGCTTTTGCCCCGCTGCTGAGACCGTTGTTTGGCTGCGGGCTGGCTGACTTGCCCGTTGCTGTTGCAGCTGCCGCACTTGGTGTTCCTGACGACGAAGAGGATGCGGAAGCTGATGTTGTAGTGGGTGTCGATGTCGATGTCGATATGGAGGAGGATGTGGTAGCTGCCGCGATTGACGTCGACCATGTAGTCGCCGAACGATCAGATCTGCGGTAGTTCCAAGTCAGCATATACCCTTTGAAGCAGTCACTTGTCTTGCAAAAGCATGCTCTGTTAGGCGTTGAAAAAAGGGGGAAGGGGGGTCTGAAAAAGACGCACTGCACGTTGACGAGAAAATTTCCACTATTGGAGCTATTGGCGGTGCCCATGAGGGGCCCGTTTGTCTCATTCAGATTTAGGTGACATCCTGAGTCGGTGTCCTGCACCGAATTGAGGGGGATTGCATAGGATCCGTTCGGCAGTACAGGTATGGGGGATTCGAAGTCTTGCTTCGTCAGCCATGGTAATAAGAATGGGAGTGTTAGGCTTTAGGACAAGTGAGCTTGAAAAGACGACTTACTGATAGAAAAATCGCCGTCATTACCGGTCTGGCAGAACATAACGAGCACGGGCGCCACGAACTCGCTCGTCCAAGATGCATCGATTGTGTCCTGGCTTTCCAACGTGATCGGAGGTGCATTTTGCACATAAGCTGGGAACAGCCAGTTTGCCGTATCAGCAGAAGCTGTGGATGGTAGGAGAGAGGTGGTTGCGAGGAAGAAGAGAAGGTGGCCGGCTAGTTGTGGCAGCATCGGTAGGGTGTAGAGAACAGAAACAGCCAACGGCAGATGAAAGGGAAATCAAGATATGTCCGATTTCCTCACGCGATTGCACGAGAGTGTGTAGAATTGGGAGACAATCAAGAGATCATTGTAAGCAGGCGCACTTGGACGAAGGTTAGAATGTGAAACAAGGGCTGAGATGCCTGAGAAGCACTCTTTGGGTGCAAAGAGGCGAAGCATGGCGATTTGATGCTGCGGACTGCCCGAAGGATTTTAGCACATGGGACCAATATCAGAGCGGCAGCGCGGATGAAGGGGCTTGAAATTGGGTGAAAATAGGATGTTCAAGAAGCAACGCGGTCATACTGAGGTCTGCACCGAAAGTCCTGCACCCGCACTAGTGCAGCCCTAACCCTACTTTCGGAAAGCAGCCCTGTAGAGGGGAAGCCTAGAAATATCTTCTCACAGCGCATGGATGGGACTTTGGGTACTTCTCTTGGCTTGATAGGGGTATTAAGCCTCGAAACCTGGCTAGGGCTAGGTGCGATTCCGAAGAACTCCAGACGTATTGTCCAGGTAACCCTTTAGGTGGGGCGTTATCCGAAGTCTGAGCGCAAGAGTCTTGGCGGGTGCAGGACTTTCGGTGCAGACCTCTGTACTGCAACCGAGAATGCCTTCTGCAATATCGTCTTTCTCTGAAGATGGAGAGATATTCCAGCAAAAAGGACGAAGGCAATTGAGTACAAGACGGATAATCTGTAGACTGTAGATACCTAGCGAACCCGAACCCGCAATATTAATAATTTAATGGGCGGCTCCGTACAGGCTAATCTCCAGAGCTTCTACAGAGGTCTGCACCGAAAGTCCTGCACCCGCCAAGACTCTTACGCTCAGACTTCGGATAACGCCCCACCTAAAGGGTTACCTGGATAATACGTCTGGAGTTCTTCGGAATCGCACCTAGCCCTAGCCAGGTTTCGGAGCTTACTGCCCCTATCAAGGCTAAAAATAATACCTTAAATCCCATCATGCGCTGTGAGAAGATATTTTTAGGCTTCCCCTCTATAGGGCCGCTTTTTAGGAGCGAGGGAACATCCCTGAAAAGTCTCAAACCTTCCTTTGGGAAGTAGGTACTCCGTATCGGTCAAAACAGTAAAGCAGAGCAAAGTAATGACAGTCGCTCAGCGCTCTGCTACTCCACGCAGGAAGAGGAGCACTCGCGAGTGTTATCCCTGTGATGAAAGGGACAATTTGTGCCTTGTCTAGGAATAGAAGCTCGCCGTGACAGGGGAACAGAGAGCTGTCTAACATACACAGCGTTCCTTCCATGCAACGTGATCATCCAGGAAATTGCTACAGATAGGTGTAGCTAAGACGTGAGAAAGACAGGCAGGAGTTATTGCTATAAACAGCATCTAAATGCTTGGAGATCATCAACTTCGACAGCCTCAGGCTTCTTCTCATCATCTCTCTGAGTCGATTCTTACCTCCAGCTCAGAGTGTCTCCCTTTCGCCTTGAGTTATCCTGCCCTCCTTCTTTATCTTCATAGAGACGTTGACCCAGTCGTGGCGTCTCTACGCCACGGTTGGCCAACCTCATGGCGTAAGCATGCATGAAGCTTGCATCCCCCCACCACTACTACATTTCGGTAGCCTTGTCAGAACGACATGCCTCATAGTCAATCTTTCCTACAACGTCTCGACAATGGTCAAGAAACAATCTGTGAACAATGCCTATCACATTTGGCTCCGTTGGTGACATAATCTCGGTCAGCTGCCTCATCAAAGACCTCGTCAAGTGTCTCGACGAGAGCCGTGGGTCACCGGCGGAATACCAGGCTGTCATACGCGAGCTATGGAGCCTGGACCATGCGTTGCTGGAAGTCGAATTGCTGCTTCAGTCTTGCGCGCAGTCGGTGGAATTGAGTGGCCTACGCAAGGACGCGAAAAGCTGCGCGGAGCAGTGCCGCAAATGCATCGAAGACTTTCAGAATAGGATGAAGAGATATCAGAGATCCTTGCGTAGAGGAGGCACGGGAAACCTGTTCAGGGACACCACTGCGAAGTTCCGGTGGCATGTCTCGGAAAAGGATGACTTGGCGAAGTTCAGGGCAGAGGTCACTGCGCATTGCCTGTCGCTAAACATGCTCTTGGCTACAGCTGGCACGTGAGTGGATTTAGGCACTCCCTAAGTCTTGCGTTCCCCGAGCTGATGAGAACAGTAAGCTTACGATGTTGAACGATGAGGGCATGCATAAGCGACTGAAGCAATCTGATCTAGCTCATGCGAGCTCTTCAGCAACGCAAACCTCGCTCCTTGTGGATATAAACACCCGCTTGCAGGAAACCAATACTCTAATACAAGCAGCAGCGTTGGAGTCTAAGGCGCTGGGTTCAAGAATCGACTTGTATGCGAAATCTTGAATCAGGTAGCTTGCAGTTCATTAATCCGTGGCTACAGGGACTACTTCAGGAATCTGGGGACTGAACTCCTGTGAGTCTAGATACTAAGTTGCTTCACTCATACCAAAATGGACGGGCTTGACCCTAGAAACTATTCATAGGAGAATCAATTCGATGACCTGCAATGCAATTGTATCTCTACAAGCCTGTATTCCAGCTCAATTGAACCGAACTTGGACACAAGACCCCGTCATGCTTGAAGATGCTCTTGGTCGAGTCACGCCGTTCCATTTGGAGTTCATTGACTCTTGGGAGGTTGGTCACGTGAAGTTGCGGTATATGGCATATCGAGCTGACCTTCAAGGTTTTGGAGTCCGTTCTCGAAGCACGCTTTAGACAACTTCCGGGGCATCGTAAGATCAAGCGGAAGGAATACGTTCTGCGGGCAAATTTCAGCAACAAGGATGTCGACAGCAGCTCCATTGCTTTCAATCGCTGCTTTCTCCCGGGCCAGCATTATGACATGAGCATGGACTTCAATGCCGCACGCGCACAGAATTCCTGCCCAGCCTGTTTGCTTGATACTGGGGAGGCGTCTGACGCACGAGTGAAGTGGTGAGGCGTCTACCTAGGACTGTGACTCCGGATGCTTACTGCCAGTAGCAATGGGTGTGGTCTCTGGTATCAGCGGATAGTAGAGACCATCGCAGATGTGGCTCCTGTTGTACCAAAGACCGATTTACCAATCAAACGGCCATGTCTGAAGAGACGGCGAGAAGAAGAGCCCGGGAGTGATGATGAGCCGAGACAGTTTCGCCGGGTTCGTATCAGATGTCGCCAACGAGCAAAAAACCAGGATAGCCAAGACGAAGCAGAATTTGAGGCCCTAAGATCTGGAGAGGAAATGATAAGATGTATTTGCGGGACGCACGATGACTTGGGGCTGCTTGGAAACAACTTGCATTATGCACCTTCCGCAAGGAAAATCAGAGCGTGGCTTATACAGTGTGGTGATTGCAAAGCCTGGCAACACCGAAGCTGTGTTGGGACTGCGAACGGCAACAACCCGCCGGGAGGCTTCTACTGCGAACAGTGTTCGAGGGTGGAGCCAGTTGACGGCCTCTTGAATGAACATGTCGAGGAGTACACCATCAAGTGTCTATGTGACTCTGATGAGGATGACGGCAATACAGTATACTGCGACCGCTGCAGCACCTGGCAGCACATTGCATGTTACTATTCCAACATCAGCATGGCCGAGCTAGAATCTCTCGATCACTTGTGCGTCAATTGCGATCCACGACCACTTGAAGGGGATCTTGGCGAAGATCTCACCTGGCGCGGTACGCCACACGCCCATACGTGCAATGATCCCCAACGTGCTGACGCTTCCTAGATGCAATACTGAGAATCGATGAGGGTCTGAAAGATCTCGCAGGTTGAGAACGCTAACAAGCGAGTCGTGATGACCCCTATCGCAACCAGTGCCGCCACCATCGACGTACGGTCACAGTCCGATGGGAACACCAGCCGCGAGACACGACCTTCCCCCGCCTCCACTGCCTCCCCCAGCTCACACTGAGAACATGACCGCCGGTAGTGATTCGGGTTGGGCTCGGGGGAATGATCCTATTGGGGTCATTGTTTGGGGGGGGGAGGCAGGAGGGTGGCAGGCCAAGGTCGCATTTTTCGAAGACCCGGGGCTGCTCGGCCAGTGGAGACGCCAGATGGCCACCACGGGAAGGGTCGGCCCTCCAAAGTTACCGGCGCCTGTTGCGTGCTAGACATGAAGACTCTGCTGTGCCCTTGATCTCGCAAAAGTGCACTTGGTCGCCCGAGCTATGGGTCTCTGTGTTTCCGGCCACGTCCCATGGTTGAATGTTGGTGTGATTATGTTTGGACCTTCCGCTTCGTCCTCAAAGCCCTTGGGGAGCTTACTTACGGAACTACGGTGAAAGCCTTCCGGGTTGTAATGTACAAGCGCAATGCTTCGCTTTTCCGTATGCCTAGCAACCATGCAGTCCAGTAGAAACACCAGCCATCTACAAGATTGTTCTTTTTAGCAAATCCTGGAGCTCAGTGCCCATTGCCCAACAACGGCGTATCCTCATTATCCACGCTTCCACCCTTCCTCGTCCTCCTCCGCCGTTTCTTTTTCTTTGACTCGGCAGCCGGGGTATTCTCTTTCCTGCCATCAGGTACATCCGACGGCTCGTCTCCTTGGACCTGAGCGCCCCCCTCTCCGCTATCAGAACTACTCGTCATCTCCAGCACCGTCTTTTTAATCCCCCCCGCGTCAACAATTTGTTCGGTGATACTACCCGAGCGTGCAGCGCCTCTCTTTGTTTTCGGCGGTGACTTCGTCCCCGAATGCATTGACCCGAGTGTGCTTTCGGAATTGACTCGGGATCTGTGCTTCGATCCTGTTCTGTTTTCGCCCGGGCTATCTTCTTCACGCTCACGATCGCCGTTTTCAGCAAGGGCAGCTAAGCCTCTGCGGGACTTGTTGGGACTTGGTGGGGATGCTCCAGGGGGGATGCTGCCGTAGCCGGCAGCTACAGCGAGAACGCCGTCCTTCGCATCTTTACCAGCAGAGCTGAGTAGGCCGGCGCCAACCGCTCCCTGAGCGGCTATGGAATTACGAGGGGTGGTATCGGAATTGTCTGAGGCTTTCGACATGGCGTCGCCGAGCGTGCCAGATCCCGGCTTGATCTTTACCGTGTTGTATCGAGTCTGTCTAGGCCGGCTGGCAAGATTTGAGGGGCCCAAATGCTTCAAGTGGTCGCGTATTTGAGGCTTTGGTTTCTTCTGGCCACCTTCTCGATCAGATGTATAGGCTGTACTTGAGTGACGTCGTAGATCCTCGGGACGCCCATTGGCTTCGTGAGCGTGAGTATCGAAGCTTGTTGCATGGCGACGCATGGCTTGGTGCGGGTCTTTCTTGTCCTCACCGAGGTCGATCAGGGCCTCCTCACGGTCGGCCAAGTTGTCCTCCACATCAGTGATGACTTGGCCCTTAGGAACTCTCGATTTCGGTGCTGGGTTCATACGACGGAGGCCTTTTTGCACGTCAATATAAACGTCAGACTCATCGATAATTTCTCTGTATGTCGGTCAGTAGTGGACTCAGGTAATCGAAGGATAATGCACATACTCGCCAATAAGCTCCTCAATGACATCTTCTAGTGTCACAACACCTAAGGCGCCATGGTCCTCTCCGGGAAATTCCGAGACAAGAACCATGTGCGATTTTCCCTCTTGAAAGAAATTGACAATGTCCAAGCAGCTCGTCTCGGCCCTTGTTTCCGGCAGCGTAGCCAAAGCAAAGTCCCTCACGAGTTTCGCATCTTCAGGATCATAAGTGATGAGTATCTTAACGAGGAGCATTCCGACGAAGTTCTTTTGATTGTCCGGTGCGTGGATGGGTATTCTAGAGAAACCAGCACCAAGGATGAATTCCATGGTCTTCTCGTTGAGAACGGTATCTGCAGACAGCGTGAACGTGTCCTCCATCGGGGTCATGATACTGCCGACGGACTTCGCCTTGAGATCCAGAACCGCGCTGATGATGGTGACCTCGTCCGAGTTGAGTTGCTCGCCGTCCGCGCCAAGACTCTTATGCAGAGTCACGAGTGTCTTTAGTCCAGCCTTTTTATACGTCGTACCGTGATCCTCTCCTAAGAGTCTGTCAAGGAGCTTCGCTGTAGGCCATGCAACTGGCGATAGAATGTACATCAGTATGAGCACTAGAGGTGACATCCATGCTCCTATCGGGAGACCGTAGCGGACGCAGATCGATTGGGGGATGACCTCGCCGAAGATGACTATGAGCCTGTCAGGTATAATCCAGAGAAGCTATCTTTAGCACTCCTCACCAATAAGGACCGTACTGCCCAACACAGCAGGCCATCCACCACCAAGGGAGCGATCCAGCACAATAGGCAGAGTCTCGTTTGTGATGACATTGCCCAGCAGAAGTGTCACCAGAACCCAATGTTTCCCTCTCTTCAGCAACCGTAGTACCCTGGCAGCATGGTTCCTTTCAGACCCTTCGCCAGACGTCTTGATGACCTGTAGGTATATTTCATCCTGCACTTGATCAGCTGTTGCCCCCTTCTGCCTAGTCCGCTATAGCATTGTAACTTACCTGACCCATCAATGCAATGGTGAGGCCTGCAAAGGCTCCGCCGAGAAGCACTAAAGCAATAGCAACAGCGAGATAGATCCATAGAGTAGGCTTGTCGGGTGACATAGGAGGTTCCTCATCTTCTGCAAACACGGTAAAAGGGCCCCTTCGCTGAGGAGCAGCGCGTAGGAGTGGCAAGAAGCCCAGCATGAAGAGCTTTGCCAGAGAGAGAAACAGAGGTCTCGCGGCCGTGTAGCCATGTGTAACGCGTGGGCCAGATGCCTGAGGGGGCTGGTTGTTCGACATGTTCGGAGGGTATTTGGGGGGGGGAGAAAGGGCCGGTGTCAAGAGAAGACAGCGGTGAGTGGGTTATGCTTATGCATATTTGGTGTTTGGTGGGTGTAGAGTCCGAGGATGAGCGTTGAAAGTGAAGTTACCGTCGCTGTCTTAATTTTAGCGCCTTCGCGCCTTCCCCAGAATTGCCAAGAAAAGGGTGGGCGTGAAAGATGCAGCTGCCAAGTGATTGTGTAAGGTACTAGGTGTACTCGATAGCATCTTTGATTTGATTCACAGATGGCCCTGCATTAATTCTATCTATACGAATGCTAGATTGTGTGCGAGTTACGTTGGAAGCCTTGAAGTCAAATGCTGACTAGGTAAGTATGCTACCAGGACCTTCAAAATAGATGCTGCAATTGATGATGATAATCACTCCATTCTTCATTAGTGACATCACATATACCCCCAATCCTAATTCCCATCGACTCCCAAATTTCCTGCTCGGACCGTTCTGCATCACTCAAGGCTGCCCCAATCAATGAATCAAGCATATTTGACCGCACTCCGATGTTCATCATCGAAAGGGTTGCTCTCCGCAGTGGCTTCCGCATCCTTGAAAGGATTGTCCTCCTCGCTGACAGCTGAGACTGGCGTCCTCGCGCTTCCTTTTGCGGATGGCGTATAAGCTGGTGGCTGTGATTCCCGATGCTCTTCAGGACTCCGGTTGTACTGCAACTCGATATTGCGTCTTTCGGCAGCAGTAAGCTTCTTTGCTTTGCGCAATTTGTGAGTCGCAATGCAGGCGTAGACGAAGAGGGTGAAATGGATGATTCTAATACCATGTTTGTTAACGAGTGATGGCCAAGCGTAGCAGCTCACAACCAATCAGCTATAGACCGAACAACTTACAGAATGAGTGCCAGAAACACATTTGCTGCGATCTCAGTCCGTCCCAATGTGTAGATCAGCGGGTTACAGATCTGACTCCAGTAATTATACTCGTCGCATGGCACCATGCCATCGAATTCAACCAGGACGGGCTGCCAGTACCAGAACCAGCCGTCACCAACAGAGAAGACAAGAGAAGGTATAGCAAGGCCCCAGACGAGGAAATCAACTCCGACATTCCAGCCAGGGTGGATTGGCCGGCCGTGGCGCTGGAAAAGAGTGAGGAAGAGGACGAGAGGGTCATAGAAGAGGGCGAGGAGGACCTGCAGATACCAAGGTCAGTTGAACGGCCAAGTCAAGGGTCAAGGCGCTAGCGTTGGATGTCGAATATGGCTCTGCTATCGACGTTTCGAAAGGCGCATGTTTGAGGAGGATAGTGGCGGATGTGCAGAATAGCCGCAAGGATTTCCAACTTACAGGAGCAAGAGGTAGACCATCAGTCCAGTCATTACCACCGTAGTTCATTTTCGATACCGAGGTGGTCACGGCGAAAAGGATCATAGCGATGAAGGCGAGAGGAACGGCGAGGGCGCGCAAGCCGAGCTTGATTGGCCAGCGACGATCATGGTCGTTGAGCTGTCGCCGTGTCTCGGCGGAGATTGACATACGCGCCATAACGGAGCTGAGAAGGTAGACGATGAAGGTAGAGTCGAGATGGACTGATGGCAGCAGAGTCGTAGAGGAAGTTGAGTGGGTTTACTGGGAGAAGATGTCATGTGTTCTCCGGGGCAACTTAGTGTTGGTGTTGTCGTAAGCTTTGCCTCCTACCCTCCTTGGAATTGAGAATAGTGACGCATACCCCGGGTTGCCCCACGGCCAGATTCGGCAGTCGGCCAGGCTCATCCATTCATTCTAATCATACATTCATTTACATGCGGGGCTGGTGGGGGCTTATGAATTAAGTACCTTACGATCAAGGATGTTCGGATGGCATTCAAACAATTGCATGCTCGGGCATGCATGTCAGTCCATAAGTCGATCTAAGCATAAAGCAACTCTAACATACGAAGTCCCACACATCAACCGGTCTGTCTGTCAGCACCTTATGGTTAATGCTGCCAAGCTTCAGAACTTCAGTCTCAAGTCATGGTTACGATGGTGATGGGAAGCCGCCACCGCAATCAAGCATTTCTTAGCCCCGGAGTGAACGAAGATCCCTTGGATCGAAAGCTCTCTCGGCTTTTCAAAAGTAAAGATACAACCGTAAAGTAAATACAATCCGAAAATACCTGCAAGAAATGTCCACCCCCACCCTGGAGCCGCGTTACAAGCTCATCTTCACCGTCCCTCACTCATCCCTCGAAGCCTGTAAATCCGCCGTATTCGCAAAAGGTGAGCATCCCGCATATTCTCGTGCCGGTAAAACAAAAAAAAAAGAGTACCCCGTCATTCACCCATTCCTCCCATCTTTCTTTTGCCACATCCCATACCGTATTCCTTTTGCTCATGGGATCGACCCAGGAGCTGGCAGCTACCCCGGCGGCAAGTATTCCATGGTCTGCTTCGAGGTACCGGGCACGGGCCAATTCCTACCCGGCGAGGGTGCGGTCCCGAATATTGGCGCGGTGGGCAAGTTGGAGAGGGTACCCGAGACGAGGGTGGAGGTGCTGTGCGTGGGAAAGGACGTGATGACCGGAGCGGTGGATTCGTTGAAGAGGTGAGCACTGGACCCGTTTCCGTAACGGTGATCAACGCCGTGGGCAGACCGTGTTGATCCTGTCCCTCCTCTTCACCGTCGCAACCGTGTACTCGCAGGCGATAACCTGTATGTAACCGCAGAGCCCATCCGTACGAGGAAGTTTCCTATGAGGTGTATCAGATGGAAAATGTTTGATAATCCAAACTGTGGGCCGATGCGCTTGTGGCTTGCAGCAACGCAATCGGGTTGGCAGGCGAACAGCCAGAGGGAACCGGCAATCATAGCGGCTGAGAGTCCAAGAATACAGGACATATTCAACGCTGACCAGGAGATCTCCAAGACGTTCATCCGGTCTATTGTCAATGTATTGGTACACAGCGAAATCTGCTAGCGTTAACAAAAAGCAGTCACATGGAAAGGTAGCCCCTAAACATTGACACTAGTTTCATTACCCATGGATTGTCGGAAATAATGCTTCGCGCACTGCACTGTGCATACGTTTTGTAGACTAGAGTAACTTTCTGTTACGCACTGCTAGTCCACGAGGATACCACTGTAATTACACTGAAAGTATGATACAAGAACCCCTTGCAGCCTGCGGGAGGAATGTTCTTAAAGCCTTGATCATACCTCAAATGCCTCCGCAATCCAGTCCATCTGTACCGCACTCACGCCTTTTGCGTAGCTGCGATTTGTGAAGACGAACTCATTGAACATGATCGCTTCCACTTTCTTGCCAAACAAGCTGCTGGAAGGGTGTATGGCCACAACTTGATTTCCAACCATGGTCTTGTAGCTGCCGTCTGGACACAGTCGGGCCGTTTTGGCTGCAAAACCTTTCAGGAAGCATTTCAATATGGAATTTGCAAGCTCGGGCGTGATTGCTGAGGTTGCTTGATTTTGTATTAGCTTTAGCAATTTCAATTGCTGGCACTGAGCCCGCAGCTGCTTTCGAACATCCATAGCCGCTTTCATGGCTCTATGCGATGCAAAATGTCTCTCCGCCCAGGCTTTCCTATCCGTGTTCTCTGCTGCGTATGCTTGGACTGCTGTTAATAAGGTCAAGTGATCTCCTTCCCTTTTGTAGAGTTCGCGTCGAGCCACTTCGGCTTCCTTTTTCTTTTCCTCGGACGCCAGGTTGAGGAACAAATCCTCCACACTCAAGCACGAGATAATGTCAATAACCTCGGGTACGCAATTTAGCGCTGGTTCAGCCGCTGCAATGAGAGCCCTTCCGAGAGACACAGTGACCGGAAGCTTAGCAATCTGCAGACCAATGTCGCTTATTCCTCCAGAGTCAGTCAGCGCTCCGAGCAGATAAAGCTGCAGCAAAGCCTTTTCCAACGCAGTCCGCGGCGGAGGATCAAGGAACGAGAAATTAACAACATCGTTGATGCCTCTTGCTTTCATAGTCAAAATTGCATGGCTTAGATCGCATCTTAAAACCTCCGGCGTGTTGGATTGTTGCATGGTAGAATAGTCCGGTTCTGTATACAGCCTGTAGCACTGTCCTAACGCTTCACGACCAGCACGCCCCTGGCGCTGTATGGCCGAACTTTGCGAGATCGGTTTCACGAGCAACGATTCCATCCCAATGCTCGTCCGAAATTGCTTGATCTTTGCTTTTCCACTGTCTATGACAAATCGGACCCCTGGGACTGTCACTGAGGTTTCGGCGATGTTCGTTGCGATGATTATTTTCCGCGTATTTGGAGGAGCAGGCTGAAATACTCGCTCCTGTGCAGCTTGCGATAGGGCGGCGAAGAGTGGTAGGACTAGAAGCTTCGGTAGCTCGGGCCCCATGTCGCGGGCATACTCTTTGACGAGGCTCTCGAGGGATTCGATAACGTTCCGTCCATGGAAGAACACAAGCACATCCCCTGGCATGGGTTGTTGACGGTGGATCTGGAAGATCATTCGAAGAGACGCCTCGACGATGTCCTGGACTGGCTCTGCCGTATACTTAAGATCGACAGGGTACTGGCGACCTTTGATATAGCAAGTTGCTACACGGTCTGTAGTCTTCAATTGCGGCTTCTTGACCTCGTGATGGGAACCTTTCACGGTTCCATTGCTGTGGATTGCAGTGTCACCTTCTTCATCAGAGGAGGAGATGCCGGACCATTCAGACCCTGACTCGTCTTGATGCTCAAGCCCATCGGTACCATTCCCATGTTTCTTCCTATCTGCATGGACTCCATTCCCTGCCTCTCGCCCATATCCCTCCTCAAAGAATGCCCTCAAAGTCTCCGTCTCGGCGGTTGCGCTCATGATGATAACCTGATTAAAGAATCAGCGTCCCTTTTCCAAAACGTAGGGCCAACTCTTAAAACAATCTTGGTGAGCACAACTGGGGGTAGTGATCTGTTTCACGACAGAAAGTCGAACGCGGTAAATAAGTATTTAGTAGCACAGCGTGTAAAGAAGACCAGCCCGGCCCCAGGACAAGTCTCGAAACCCAGACTGGAGTCTCGGACAGAAAGGAGTAACTCCGAAATACAATGTACCTTCAACGGTATCCCCCCTCTTCCCTTATTTTTCCCTGCGACCATGTCCCTCAGAAAACCCAACAGTAAATCGACATTGACCCCCCTCTCATGGACCTCATCCACGAACACAGCACTGTAAGCTTTCAACCATGGATCTCTCAACATCTCTTGCAATAGTGTCCCCTCCGTAACGAACTTGATCCTCGTATTCGGACTCGTAGACTGATCAAACCTCACACTGTAACCAACTGTGCTTTTCAGACTAGATGAACCAAGCGGTGTGCCCATTTCCTCTGCTACTCGTCTAGCTAAGGTAGTAGCCGCCACCCTTCTCGGCTCTGTGATGGCAATACAGCCGCCGATTGTAACAGTCTGGGGGGAGCGGTCCATTGGAATGGTGACCGACTGGGATTTACACCATGGCTCATTCACAAGCATCTGCGGCACTTGCGTACTTTTCCCACTACCAGTCTCACCAACCAAGATGATGACGTCCTGACCGAGAAGAGCCTCGCGAATTTCCCTAACATGGGACCAGACCGGAAGGCTTTTGCGGGAAGATTCCAGCCTTTTGGCTCTGTCTCTTAGATTGTGGCTGCCATTTGATGGTCGAACGAAGTCCTCTGATAGGCCTTTTGATTTGGGTTTTGCCAAAGTGGCAAGCTGCAAGCGATCAGAACCGTTCGATTGCGAGCGCTGGTCGTGGTTGCCCTCGAAATGACTTATTAATTTAGCGTTTCTATGTGTAGGCAGGCTCCTGCGAGCAGGTTCTAGCGATATGGCACGTTCTCCGAGGTGAGTCCGATCCACATGCTCTCGTTTCCGTTTCTTACTCTTCGACGAGTTATCCTCGGTCAATAATGGGGCAGTTTTCCTGACCACGGTCTCCAAGGGCACAGATCCTCCATCGTGGTTTTTATGCACCCGCTCGGGCATCTTTGCGTCAAGTTCAGAAATTAGATATATCTTAACCCTATTGCAAGATTAATTCTAGTGTCTGAGAAAAAGTGACTTTAAGGGCCCTCGGCACTTTCCACGCCCCCAAACAAAAGAACGCTGTGTCCTTCGGCCCGTCCCTACTCTAAGCCTGCAGCGTGGGGGTCGGCACTTCTTCCTTCCTTCTAATCCTGCCACCCAGATGAATATCATAACCCGGTTTTGCACACCCAGACGCATTTACTTTACCTCTACTCCCTACTAACAGCCTCTACCCTCTCCAAAACCCAACCCCCCTTTTACCCGCCCTTCAACAAATCCAATGCGCCCCTCTGCCCCGCGCCCCCTCGTCGCCGGTCCTTCAACCGGCCCCGAACGACCCTTCCCGATCCGCCTCTCAGGACCCATAGTAAAGGGCTTCGGACGTGGTAGCGCAGATCTAGGGATACCGACGGCGAATATACCGTTGGCGGGGCTGAGCGTTGGAGGAAATGAGGATGTCGAGAGCGGAGTTTATTACGGGTGGGCGGGGGTGGACATTGATGATACAGGGTTGAGGAAGGAGAGGGGGGGGGAAGGAGAGGGAAGAGGACCAGGAGGAGGAGTGTGGGAAATGGTGATGAGTATTGGGTGGAATCCTTATTATAAGAATGAAGTTAGGAGCGTGGTATGTACCTCCTGGCTACGTATTTTTCCACGCATGCTCTGCTGTAGAAAGAAAGAAAGAAAGAAAACGGTTGAAGCTGATGGAGGGCATCAAACTGATCTGTTATGGTAATCCAAGGAAGTCCACATCATGCACGCTTTCCACCACGACTTCTACGGCGCGCGGATGAATCTGCTGATTTGTGGGTTTATACGGCCAGAGTATGATTATGTGAGTAAGGAGAGTTTAATAGAGGATATTAATGTGGATATTGAAGTTGCAAAGAGAAGTCTGGAGAGGGAGCCTTATCTGAATTTAAAAGGGGAGAAGTATCTGTTGGAGTTTGGGGTTGAAGGGCATGAGAATGAGGTGGCGAGCTGAGTGATGTATGGATGTGGGGATTTCTGAGTGTGGGTACAGACACATTGGAAGATTCATGAAGCGTGGTGTCAAGCTGGGTAGTCGCACGAAGACATGGGATAGAGATAGGGGATAAAGCAACGGACGCGTGTACTATGAAGGATATTCTGCTGTTCACAAAGACATTGTCAGGTGCGTTTCAGTATAAGTGAATGCGTTATTGACGTCTAATCTGTGGGATATGTACAGCTGTGCTGTCATAATTCATGCCAAAGTGCTAGCCAGCACCAAGCGATTGGGCGTCCATGCCATTCGATTTTCCCAATGGACAAAAGAAAGCAAACGTCGTAGTCTCATCATATGCAAGGAAGGACATTCATAACGAACAACATAGGAATATCGAAGACATCCCGCTTCACTGACCAGCAGAGCATGCATTCGACTTTGCCATCATCATCTCCAATCTGGGTCATACCGGCATTCCCATCTTTTCCAGACCGTGTAGCATCCCTCTGCCGCTTCAGCCGTGATCCAGCTTCGCTGTCCAATGTCTTGTCAAACTCAGCATCCCTCGCTGTCTTGTACTTCAAAAGTTTGCACGGTGTGGTCACGCTCCCCCTAGAATCTCCAAAAGCTAAATGAGAGTAGTCATCAAAGAAATCGCACGCGCTCTCGTCATCCAACAATTCCACTATAGACACCGGGTTCTGCCGAGATTCGTCGAGGGGATCAGGTCTCGAACTATCTGACACTCGAGGAGTGATGTTATCGCGAGAAGTTGCAGTTCCCATACCGGAAGGACCAGAAGTGTCACCCCCCTTGTTCACGTTGAGGTTGGGCTCCCTGCCCAAGAGGACAGCTTTCCTCCAACCAGTAAGAACACTAAAACCTTCACCCACCGCTACCACTTCTCCAGTGCGTCGACAAATTATTGTGGGAGTGCCGGTTGCACTCAAAAAATCGTCATATTCTAGTAGTGTTCGCTGAAGGCACTTTTCCATGAAAACTCGGTCATCGTCATCCAACTTCGTAAGAGATGAGATGAAAGAAGGACGAATGGAAGCGAGTGCCTTGGCAATCCGAGCCGTCTTAGACGGGGAAAACCGCTTGCGGATCAATGCCATCAAATCGTGGAAAGCCTTGGTGTAAGAATAAGGCTCCGTCACGGCATTGTAGATCATTGAGGGTTTCCGGTGGCGGCGATTGGAAGTCGAAGGCTGAATTTGGATAGAAGAAGGTATCGTTGCCGTTTGGACAGTCGGCGTTGAGGGTGAGGCCTGAGAACTGTTCTGCTGTTGCTGCGAAGAGGTCATTGGCCGGAGTGTTTCTCGGAGCTGTGCCTGACGAGATGGGTTAATATTAGTGTACATACTCTTGACGGACGGACTCTCGTCGATACCCGCCGTCATACCTTGCGGACTGGACCCGGAAAATGATGGACTGGGATAGTTGTTATAGGCGCCAATCGGGTAGCCAGTAGGCTCTTCCTGCTTTACCAACCCATCCAGTGAGTCCTCGTCTTGTCCCCTCAAGTTGAAAGGATCGGCTTCTTCTCGTGAGCTAGGTCGAGAATTGTGTATGACCTGGTCTTGAGGGTAGCCGTAGGGTTGGGCGGCCGATCCGTAGCCTGGGGTATTTACACCTGGCACAAAGTTGGCGTCATCACTAGGATTGAGAGTCCCCGTGCTTTCGCTTGGAGGAGTGTCTGCCATACCAGAAGTGAGGTGAGTTATGTATGCTAACTCCCCATACCCGTATTGATTCGCGAAAGAGTTTTCCTCTGTGTTCGGATTGGGATAGAATTCACCGACAGAGAGGTCTTGATTCGGATTGGAGAAACCGAGGGTGTTTGGCTGCTGCACAGTACGACTGTAATCTGGCAAGATCGGTTGTTGATGAGGGCCGAGAGGATATGATTGTCCCATTGACATCTGCTGGCTAGAGTAGGGTTGAAAAGGCATCTGGTTCTGCTGCCCGTGCGTTACGAACAATGGGTAGGTTGGGTTTTGGCTGGCATAGAGGCTACCTACTCCCGGACTGGGGAAACTTGACCTGGGAAATGGCGGGCCACCATGCCAGTCATTAGAAAAGTTGGCAAAGTGACTGTCTTTGACTTGATCCTGGCCTGGAGTTAGATCCTCGTCTGGAGCATCTGCCAAGTACTTTGCCTTCTTCCTCTTTCCGTCCTTGCAAATCTTCTTGTCGCCACACCTCTCGCAAGGCCGCTTGTCACCTGTCAAGCATAAGCGTCATAGTCGAGGACCATGGTGGCAAGTGGTAGAAGGGACTTACTGCAGGTCAGATGAGCACGTTGACAATTCTCGCAGGCCCGACGAGCTTTTTTCCTCTTGACCCTGTTGGGATCTTTGTTGGCAGCCTTTTTCACCTTGTCATCGTTCGGCTTACGGGCTGACAAATCGCCTTTAGAATCGGTGGTAGGTGTGCGCATGTCGTCTGAGTCTTGACTGTCACTGTCGTCTGATGACTCCGACTGCGATCTTGAGGAAGCATTCTCATCTCGGTCCAAGGCCATGATATATAGCTAGCTCACGCGGCTACCAAAAGGCGCCAATGCGGTACGATGCCAGAGGTCCAGATAGCCTGGTTCATGCAAGTCTAATGCTATTTCCCGTGCAAGTGGAGCCTGGCTGTGCGATAACCCAACGCCCTCCTCTACCTTCACCAATAGCACGACGAGAACAAGTCTTCCTGCGCCCTAGTCACCCTTTCCAAGCTGCAGAGTCCCAAGAAGCCAATCAGTTCCTGACGACTTGCGTAATACTGTGCAGCGTTGACGGCGCACGTGAGAGAGAAAACAGTGTCCACGTAGCCTACTACCGCAGGAGGCAGTGCAGATTGGAAGAAGGAAGCTCTGCCGATATTTTCAACGAGATCTACTTGGGGTGCCTGGGGACAGCCTCAAATTCGAAATTGAGGGGATATCCCTTGTCCAGTTGCGAGAGAGTGAGCGACCGGATAGCTGCAGATACGTTGGGACGCCTTGTTTTGCTGGACCTTGGAGATTGGATGGACGGACGCAGGATTCCCTCTGATGCAAGGCTTGTCGTGTAAAGTTGTAGGACGACTTGATGTGCTGGATCGGATATTTGGAGCCGTATTTGATTTCTACGTCCGTGATGGTATGGTAGTAATTCGGATGAGAATCCTACGACTGAGATGGTGGACTGGGAGGGTAGTATTCTTATCGTCTCCGAATTGGAGTGGAATGATGATGATGATGATTAGACTTAATGTATTATTGTGATGGAGCAGGTCATCATGATCATAATTACCATCTCATGCAGCAAGGTGCTACTCTCATGTCATGTCATGTCATGTAGCAGCAGTAAGCGGTCAGTCTCTGATGAACTTGGGTTCACGGTTCATTGGGGCAGGTGGCACTAAAACTGCTAAAGCGGCACCTAGGATTTGGTGGCCGCTTGCCCGCACGGAAAAACTGCTTTGTCCTCCCATTCATTGGCTCCCTTGTCGTCATGCTTTCATTCTCAATTTTGGAAATTTTAACTTGCGCACTATTGCAGGACGCTACTGCTAGTTACCTAAGCTCCTAAGGTACCCTCTTACCTCACCCACACCAAATCCCTGCTTTTTATTCTCTGGAAAACCCACAGCTCTGGTTCGCCAGCGTGCTTGCATGGCTTGGGTCAAGGGCGATCATGCGCTGCAAAGAAATCAAAGCAACAACATGGCACAAGATGCGTCGTTGGCTCAAGCTAATGCACAGAAGCCTTCTTGAACAAATATTGGCAAGCTGATCTCATGACCTCAATGTGTCGGTACCCTCGTACTTTGAGGTTGAATGACGATCATGTACAGCTGGAACAAGGCTACCAACCATCGGGTGTGGGTGATACGGCTCCTTGTTGGTCTGAGATTTGACAATTTCAGCTCGATACTCATACATCATGCAGGTATGCCTGGAAATACGGAGTAGGGCACTGGCTTTATCATTCCTTCCCACACGCCATCGTGATCATCGTTTTTAGCTATAATTAAAGACTAGAATCATGTACGGCTATCTCCCAGAAGCGAATCGCGAATTACCCCCTAAGATGGGGGAATCAGTTTGACTCCTTTGAGGTAGAAAATTCAGGTAACAAAACAAGATTGGAAGCACTGTGAGTATGCTCCCGAGACATGTCTCGGGACTCAACCATGATATTGATTGGAAGGGAATTCTGAAAAGTGTACTCACGTATCCTTCGGCCGAACCTAAAAAACAGATATCTGGTTTGACCAATCAACATATGCCCAAGCCGCCAAGTAGAGAAAATGTGACAGCTGTTGCATCGACGTACGGGAAAGGTGTCATGATAACCGTAAGGCCCGCCAACAAGGTAGTTGCCCACTAACGTGAAGTTCGTCAGTGGAAAAGCTTTGGTCAGAATTGCTCCCTGCATTACCTGATACCCTAATTTGTTGTACACTATCAAACATTTGTTAGCCTGTCACTGTCACACCTGGCGGATACCGCGTCAGACGTGGAACTCTAGATAATCTTACTTTGATCACCAAACAGTGGAAACGCTGCAGCGAAGCTCGAGCGAGCAAAGCTGTTTGCCGCCAAGGCAGACGCGGCATATAGAGGATATGCATCCACCAGAAATGTGAAGATTCCTGAAAATGTAAGTAGCATGCTGATACTCGTTCAGTAGCTATTCATTGAAGTCAAGGACAATCCGCAGCGACTCACCCAGCTGCAAAGATAGCACTTCCTATGATCGGCACTGGGTAGAAGTTTAGCTTAGCTCAGGCAACTCCTCTTGTTCCTCCTCACCTATCCAATGTACGGAGGCATACGTGGTCCAGGCAAACCTGCACCGAGATCAGCTCGCGATTTGCGATTTGAAATACGACAATAGATGATGCGCACCAGAATAAGCCAATTGGCACGAGTATCCCTCCTGCAATCGCTGGGGGCAGACGGTACTCGGGTTCTGAACCCCCAGACTCCCCATCTTCCTCTTCTTTTTTCCGGATTAGCCTAAGATAATTGTTGTGCCACAGCGGGTCCGTTCCTATTGCAACCAATTGGCCTACCAAAAGGCCCGTGAAACTCAGGCCGACTTGCCACAGCTCAAATCCATGATTGTTCGTGAATACGATTTCGAAAGCGCCAAAGAAGAGATAGAGGACCCCCAACAATATCGCGGAGAACAGGCAAAGATTCAGGACCATAGGCTCTAGGGTAAGCAGCAAAAATGGCCGATAACAGGACCGCAAAATAGTCTGCAAGATCGAGCGTTGCATAATCTCGATTGGCGCTTTCCATCTCTCATCGCCAGTCTCTTTCCGTAGCTTCGCAGCCTTATGACGAAGAAGGACCGGATGATAGGTCTCGGGCACACCCAATACGATCAAGCCAAGCATCAGCGCGGACCAGATGATGAGCACATAGAAAGTCCACCGCCTGATCTGTTAGCCTTTATTCTACAAGTTTGCCTGTTCGACTCACCAGGTAGTGTACTGATTGATGAAGCCTGCGATAATGGGACCCACTGGCGGCCCGATGAACGGAGAGGCCGTGAAGATCATCATTGGAGCTTGCAGTTCATTCCGTACAAACATATCGCCAACCGTGCCCCCAGCCACACTCAAAAAAGCACTGCCCGCAATACCGTCAATGAACCGGGAAACAAGCTCTGTTCCAATGTTCTTTGCCACCGCACAAGGAATAAGCCAAACCAGGAAACATCCAAATGAAAAAACGTAGACGGGACGGCGGCCATAGAACTCAGATAAAGGCCCAAGAATCATAGGCCCAAGTCCCAACCCCATAACGAACAAGCTCAGTCCCAACGTAGCGACGACTCGGGAAACGTGGAACTCCGTTGTAATTTGACCGTATGTTAACGTATACATCGACGACGCACATGTGACACACGTTGAGCCGGCGGATACAATGGCCACGATCACCCACTTGCGTGTCTTGCTCAAGGATCTTGGATTCATAGGATCAGAGTCACCATCGAACCGAACTTCGAACTGCTTATTGGGATCTTGTCCCTTCTCTGCGTCCTTGGTAGTCCCTTCATCATCGTTAAAAGCCGTACAGCCGTAGCCGTTGCCATAGGAGCGCGACCTTTGTAAATTGGCAGAACCTCCTTCGGTGCTTCGTTTAGGCGACAAGTCCGGCGCAGCGGCAGCTCCTTCAATCGGTACATCTTCTCCCTCTGATCTTGTCCATCGACTCATCGTCTGCGTGGTAGGCTTCTCGACGCTTGGGGCGCTGTGCGAGGACTGCTCTGAGGTAGCAAGGGTGGAGTCGGAGTGGCCAGAGCCCATCCTAGAACGAGAGTGAGCACAAGTCGTTCTGTATGGGGCTTGAATCATTCCAATCGCAAGACATAGATGACTAGCAGCTCTTTACCTTGAGAGGTAAACACCGGAATATCCCCAGTATCGGAGTGATTTAGCAACAGTGTTGGAGGCGCCGCCGAAGACCTGAGCTACGTTCAGAGAGCTCTGTCCATTGACTTGCTATATATGCATTCCTATCAAGCTGCAAAACGCACAAAGGAGCGAGAACGACGGCAAAGCTCAGAAAGCAATCCATATTGGTAATGAACAGTTGCCAATTTTGACTAAGTTACCTATGACGGGCTTTTCATATGTAGTTTGCAGGGATGATTGAACTTTGAACAAAATCCTTATTGCCGAAACCGCTAAGGAATGGCGGACACAACCCTAGCATATGAAATTATGAATGTGATGTGCATCGCGGTAGATAGCAGAATACGAGGAAGATCACCGTCCATGTTAGACGACCGAGTAGTATCATCTGACATGAATTGGGAGGCACTGCAGATTCCAATATGTACATCCTTACTGTTCAGGAAGCATATCTGTCAACCTTTCAAGCGCAGCCTCATGGCGCTCCATGGCCCGTGTACTTTGAAAACATTGTCACTATCAATGGGTTTCTTGGAAGACGACATAAAGGAAAAAGCCTGTCGAGTGTCCATGGAACGAATGGTAAGTAGTTAAGCAGTATACAACATAGTTGAGTAGACTTAAAAAGCGCGTGGCTAAATGTGGCGATAGGGCAGTGCTGTCCGCGTCATTGTGCGTCCTTTTCACAGCTGGCGACGGCGCCTGAATCATTGGCGCCATCACACTTCCTACAACATCTATACTCAAAGACCAATGATATCTGTTTTATACGCGCCCCGTGAGATTTGGAGCAATAATGATCAATTGATTATTCTCAGATGGTCGAGTCTAAAGCAGGCTTGCTTGATCCATGGTCCGAACCCAATCAAGGCAGCGGAGGCGAGCGAGCAATCGCAGCGTGACAACAAAGATGCACTTCCCGAACTATCAATGGCCTCTCATTATATTACAATAAACATCCATATCCATATCCATCATCCTCTGATCCTTGATTCTGACTATGCTCTCCGTGCCAGTTCCACCTCCTATATCTTGCTGTCAGCAAAGCTCTTATCGTGCTATGAAAGCCGACTTGTGATTCAAGCAATCTCATTGTTCCCTTTGTGTATTTACTACTTCCTCCGTACACACGTCTACACGGCCTCTATGTCCATCTCTTGCGCGTGTAACGTGTGCTGCTAGAAGTCCTTGGCTGATTTAAGTGGCTGTCAAGCAACTATAGATTGACAAACAAGCTCTGTCTGCACGGAGTGGCCATCCATAAGTGGAAGGCATCTTGATACTCAACATGGCAGCACTCATACAAACAATAGCAGTCCTGGACAATTCTGGCAAGGCGATTAGCACAGTAAGTCACCGTTTCATTCACACCTCCCAGCCCAACTAGCTGATCCCTGCGTCACAGAGCAAGCATCTTGTCAATGTCTTCAGAGAAGCTAAAGCTGCGTATCGCGAAAGAAAAGCTGAAGTCGTCGCTGGCCGACACTACGAAATCGAGGACAAGAAAGCCCGCAAGGGTCTAGAAGCAGCTACAGTCTACGATAATCGCCCTGCAGCAGGCCCCCGAAAACATTCCCGGCCACATCACGGCAATCGCAGATCATCCACTGACCATCGACGCCCAGAAGAGGCCTCTAGAAGCGAGTCAAACACGATCTACCCATCATCACACAACCGTTTTTCGCAAGAACTTCGCACTCCACGTTCTCCAACGTTCCCGCACCAGGAGCTTACAAGAAGACACTCCGGTCTGGACGACGTTGTTGTGCCACGAGCCCCACGCCTTCCACCCCGATCCATGACTTCTCCCTCGTCGCCTTCATCAATCATAGATATGGACCTGGCATATGGCCCTATACCTCCACCTCTCCCTGTGGCGAATCCGGCCGACGACTCTGAATTCAAAGGCCTCGTCAACAAAGTGAAGGCTCTCCTAGAAGAAGCGGATTGCCTACAGTATTCCGTATCCGCAACAATAGCCTCCTTACAGAAGAACCCTGACGCTATGGCCGCTGTCGCTCTCACGCTGGCCGAGATCAGTAATATCGCTACGAAAATGGCGCCAGGCGTCCTCGTCACCATGAAAGGCAGCGCTCCAGCAGTCTTCGCCTTGCTCGCGAGCCCACAATTCCTGATCGCTGGCGGTGTTGCTGTGGGAGTTACAATCGTTGCACTAGGCGGATACAAGATCATCAAAAAGATAAGGGCGAACAACGCCGTGGAGGATCCGGGGATGGATGAAATGCTGGAAATCGGAGGAGATGTCAGCGCGATTGATAATTGGAGAAGAGGCATTGCAGAAGCAGAAGAGCAGAGTTTGGGGACCAGTGTGGATGGGGAATTTATCACTCCAGAGGCATTCACGCTGTCGAAGTCCAACCTAAACGACAAGAGCGCCTCAGAGACCAGAAGAAAGGAAGTTGGGAGTGGAAGCAAGAAGTCGAGCAGTGCCAAGGGCGCAAGTGAGACATCATCAAAGACAGGCTCCAAAGGAAGCTCAAGGGGAAGCTCAAGGGGAAGCTCAAGGGGAAGCTCGAAGGGGAGTGAGCAGGGAGGGTCTAAGGGAAAGAGAGAGAAGAAAGCCAAGAAACCCTCCCCTCTACGATTAATGTTTACATAACAGCAACACTACACCACTTTGACGCGATTGACCCATGATGGGGGTCTTAGTCGTCTTCTGAATCACGGATTTCTGGGCGTCAGACTGGAAGATCTGATCGTCTGGGCCTTTCAACTAATATGGAGAGCATTCCTTAGCCAGATTTTGAAAACAGCTTTTACCTCACGACTTCAACCTCCTCGACACATACAAGCCAGTCCCCACTCTAGAGTACCCTGCCATCTTCAAGTCAAGCCTCATTTCCAGTCGCGCCCACACAATGCACGCGAAGGCCTTCCCACTATTCCACCAGAATTCATCTTGCACATCGCCGGGTACTTCAGGAATGTCAACGTCTTCTGTAGGTATTATCGTCGCCAACTACTCATAACCTCTGTCAGTGAGTGCTATCACAGCCCAGGTCACGTCAGTTTGATACTCTGTCACATGTTCCCCTACGCTACCTTGGCGATGACCAGCAGCTACCTGTGAAATGATTTCAGCGCGGAGGCTGGAAGGTGAAGAACCTGTGCTCTATAGGTTACTGACGCTGAGAAGGACTCGAGTCTGAGAGCGGACTAGCGGTCTGAGGCTGGACCCGGATCTATTGTTCATGCAGAAAACGATCAAAGGCTGGCTGGGATTTTTTGATATGAGGCGGCATGGGGGGTGAAGAGAAGAAATGAGTCGCATGAAGCTGAGAGAACATGTGCCCGGGATCGACTGGGGAAACAATGATTGGATGATATCGTTGGGAAGAGTGAAGCTGCGGGAATGGTCCACCTTTTGACCGCCTTGAAATCACACAAGACTCAATACTTGATCGATGACAAAACGGTCCTTCTCTATATGTGATCTCTCCCACCCTTCTCGTCCCATGCACCCAGAGCCCTTTGCTCCAAACAATTGCTACACTCCCGAAAATGGCAAGAATCAACATCCTCTCACTTCCCACCACCGAGATCCTTTGCGAAATCCCTTCCTACCTCCACCCTCACAGCCAAGACTCTATCTTCTCCAAGCCCCCCAACTGACACGTGGCCAATGTTCATCGAAAGCGCTCCCCCATCTCCATGAAATCCAACCCAATCACTCCATGCCAACCGGTCTTGCTCACCACGTCCGTCGCCGCTATGACGACCCGAACGCACCCACGCTCTCCGGCCCTCCTCCAGCCAAGGGTACGTGATCCCGAGCCCTTGCAGATTCCGGACCCGGTGCGCAAGCTCCCGGCGAAGAAGCGGCGGGGGTAGGTACCGGATCGGTGAGGTTGGCGAGCATGGGTGGGTGATGGTTTGGCTGGACGATGAGATGAGGGAAGCAAGGGAGGGCGATGGAGAACTGGGTAGGCTGGTACTAGTACAAGCGACGTTGGAGATCTCGAGGCCGGGAATATGATGAGACCATGACGTCCACTGAGGTACCTTACGTAGTGGATCTCGGATAATATGGTTTCTTCGCTAACAGCTTTCTATCAGGTTCTTCTGTCTTTTGACACCCAGCGGTGGGAAACGGTGGTAGGTATGGTGCACTGGGCTCGGCGGGCTAGGGGTTCGAGGAATGGAAGAGGATGTAGCGAAAGTCATGCATATCTTTAGAGCGAGTCTCAGAGTCTTCAAGTTTGGGGAGGAGAAAGCTTCCTTCCTCTCTTTCTTTCCATCTTTCCTTCCTTCCATTTTCGCAGCTCTTTCTGAACATCGACCAGAACGAATCGACCCTTTCCACCAATCGATATCGAACCACGAGGACTAAACGCACGAAAACAATCTCCGTTGCAGGCAAGGTTCACGAATTTCTAGGCAGAGTTTGCCAAAACCGCCACCTCTTCCCTAGTGCATATCGTCTCCAACCCCGGCAACCATGGGCACACACAAGTCAACATCGAAGCCGACGACACCTTCGCACATCAGGGATTCCTCGTTGGCCGTTCCATTGGTCATGATATTGACGTGTCTGTCGTGGTTGCGAAACATTATTCGGTGCGGGTGGTTAGTGATGATGGGTTCTTGTCGTTGTGGGATAAAGAGAAGAAAGGGGAGGGGAGGGGAGGGGAGGGACGATGTTAGATGTTCGGATGGGGACGTGAGGGATAGGGTGGTGGGGTTGGTGAATAAGAGGGGGGTGGATGCTGTGGTGGTTGTGATGACGGCGATGGGAGCGAAGATGGTGGTGAAGACGAGGGAGGTTAGCCGTGCTTGATGGTGCTGAGTGTAGGACGGCACTGTGGCTGCGTGGGGAAAGACAAGAGAGCAGAGGAGCGGTAGTGACATGCTGGAAGCACGCGGAGACGCACATTCAACAGACTTTCTCGATGAAATCAAGAATCGTTGTTACAAAAGAGACGCTCAGGACGCCACCCTAATGCTTCGCTAAATGCACATATAGATGTAGGCCCCAGGAAGGATCACCAAATCCTCTTAGCAGCCATACTATACCGAGTCACGCTCCCAAAAGATTCTTCCCCCCCTTTCCTCTCTCGTGCATCCCTCTCTCTCTCCCGCAATTTCTTCGCACCATCAGGATCATCCTTGTATATCCACCGTCTTTTATCTTCATCAACTTCCACAACACCCCAGCCTCCGAATCGTCTACCATCCGCGTGCGTGGAAGTGTTCTCCCTTTCTTTCATGCCTTTATAGCGTCGACGTGCGAAGGAGAGCAAGCACATGCCGAGTACGAGCTTGAAAGCCAAAAGGGCAAGAAACAGGACGAGGAAGAAGACAAGCATAGTTATGAACGCGATTATGTCATCTGTGCTCCAAGTCTTGCTATGTTCGGGCGCGAGCGTAGGATCACCAACGCCGAACGTAGAGCGACCCAAGGCGCGTCTGAAAAGCTGGTCAATGTGCTGTAGCGCTGCTGTCGTCGCTGGAGAAGCGGTTGCATTGTCAACCGAAAGGGAGGTGGCAGTCGAAGGTAGCGGAAGTGGCATGTGAGTTGCGAGGAACATATGGTAGGTTTGGACTGAGGCGCGGATGAAGAGGCAGGCAAGAGGAATTACCGGGAGGCCAAGACGGCGGGTGAGGTTCTGGTCTGCAAAGGCATTGGAATAGTAATCTTTGGCTAAGACGTCCAGGAATCGGCCATAGATGGCTGGCTTGGTGTTGTTGAACTTGGTAATATAGGCATGCTTGACCCAGTCGACGAGCATTTCGCTGCCGAGTACGAGGAAGAAGGGACCCATAACCTGGCCAGTCCATTCAGGGAACATGGTAAAGCTCTTGGGCAGGATGCCAGATCCTCCGATAGCAGAAGCAGAGGACGTGGCGGATCCTCCGGTCCCAACGCTCAGGCCTCCTGTCTCAATGATGTTTCGAGATGCAATAATTATGAGCATTAACCACAACTGGAAGCGTTCGACTACATCCGCGCATGTCAGCTGAAACAGATTCTCCTTTTCAAATCTCTTGAACACTGTAGACTTAATCTCGACGAATTGATTTGACATCAAAAGAGTCAGTAGAGCGTTCGAGTAAGAATTGACTGCCACATTCAGCGTGATGACCTGATAGAACAAAGCTGTCGCGTGGACCAGGTTGTAGCAGAGGGCCAAGATAAACAGCCAGAACGGTCTCAGGACCTTACTACGACCGTCAGGTTTGCGCTCAAGCGACTCCTTTGAGAAAAGACACTCGAGAATGTCCTGACCAAGTGCAGAGAACAATCGGTCGCAGACTTCGAGCACATTGTAGATGACGTAGAGCTTGATCGCAGCTTGTCCTCGGATACCGTGATACATCCGACTGGCATCAAAAAACATGAGAATGGTGCAGCTAATCATGATCAAGAGACCCTTCAAGATGTCCGCTTTATGATCGGGTTGTAAAGCAGAAGGAACAAATTTTGCTTTCCGGTGTCTTTGGCCAGAAGCACGTCGAAATTTTCGATACAGGTCCGGGGTCGACGGTGTAGCATTCGAGGCCTCTTCTATTTCAGCCTTGAGCGTGGGTGTGCAGTCTGCAGGACTTTTGGCAGTAGACGTAGATTTCGGGGCTGCAGACCCATCGATGCTTTCTCGTCGCCGTCGCCTACGCCACATTCTGCCTGTGCCAGCGTAAATGAAAGCACCAACGAATCTGACCTCCATAACAAGGTTCTCTCCCCAAGAACGACCAAGGATCGACAAAGCCTTCAGAAACCGTAAAGGCAGGATTGTAAAGGAGAATAGCCACGCATCGAGACAAGCAAGTGCACCGAACCATAACACTTGCTCTAGTTGAGGAGGTAGGAGTAAAAAATTCAGCAGGCGTTCAATTTTTATCTGGTATGACTCGTAAGGGAAGTCGCTAGTGATAGAGCGATGGATGTACGAAGGTGAAGGTCGCTGAGAAGAGAGCTCGAGCTGGAGGTATGTAGGCAGTGAAAGAGGTGGAACAGGTATAGATTGGGGCATCGGCGAAGGCTGTGGCTCTTCAATAACAGCGACCTTACCACCTGACTTCGTGTCTTCGAAACGCAAGGGCGTAATGATAGCCTTGGGCTGCTTTGTAGATGACGAAAGAGGGGCTTTTGCGGACCCATTGGCCTTTGAGGAAGATGATCTCCTCTTCGACAATGGCGTGGAAACAGTGCGAGCAGTCTGACCCGGCCTTGAAGTATAGTGCGAGTCTCTCTCCGAGAAGAATAAGGAAGTGTCCCGGCTCTCTTCTGCTGTTGCCGAAGGAGTACCAACAATGCTGATAGACTGGCTTCTGTCTCTCGTTCTGCTTTTCTCGCCCTTCGGTATTTCTCCCCCCTCCGATATAGTCCACCGTCCTCTACCCTTCGGTGTGCGCTCGAGGGTTGGACTGCAAGCATCGCTGAGATCCTCAGAAGAGTCGAGCGGTGGGAGCACCAACGGTGATGATCTCAAGTCGTATATCTTCGCGGGCGACAGTTTCGATACTTTTTCTTTCCCCTTGGATTCTCGTGCGTGATTCTCGAACGATGAATCCGTCTGGCTTCCGGACTCATCTCTTCTGGATCCCAACCTGGCCTTTTCAGGTTGATTAGAAGAGCCTGACCCGTCGGTGATCTCACGACTACGCGTCCTAGCGCTTCCAAGTCCATCCGAATGTGCAATCGCTGGGTCGTGTTCTTTTGCCCATTCCATATGCCTGTTTTCATTATCCTCGTCAAAGCCAGCACGCTCTCCCATGCTTTGAACCTGCTCTAGCAGATGCGGTCTCCGGCGGCCTAGTGCCGGTGGTTGAGCATTGTCATAGTCCTTGTCAACGCTGGATATGTCCTGAACCCCTCTTCCACTATAGTAGCTTCTGTACTCTGTTGGTTCTGGCTCTTCGTTCGTGCCGGAGGGTCGAGGCAGGTGCGGAAGGACAGCAGCCATCGACTGGCTTGTGTATCATGTTTCTATTGGCAGAAGTCTACGAGCTTTCGTCAGATCCACACACAGTGTAGCCATGAGCTTCGGTAAAACATGTAAGATAAGCTCGCTTCGACAATCGGCCTGGACGTGTCGTGGTATCTGAACAGCATTGGGGAACGGTAACGTAAATATTTGGATGTCTAAGTGGAACTAACCAAAGAGGGGCGGGGGGACTTCTAACTCCCATAGGTATGGAAGTACCCTCGGGCTAAGCCTATATTTCGCTAAGGAGGGGGGTTTTGTAAAGGTTTTTGTTTTTTATGTGAAAATTCTTTCCTTTGAATTGCTGGGGACGTTCCAAGGGGACCTTTTCTATGTTGACGATTCACAGTGCATAGGTATAATCAAGCATTTGGAACTACTTTAATTGGTATGCAGACGTTCATTTCTTGCGCTCTATGTGTGATCCTAAGTATATGCGTTCTCCAATGCATCACTAGGGAGTTATATAACCCAGACCCTCTGAGTACAAAGCTGACGGCGATGCCATATCCCAGAAAGAGTATGGTTCCATACCGCACGCATATCATCGTCATTAAAATCGTAAGATGGGTTATTGTGATAGGAAGATCGAACGAGGCTCAGATCAGTAGCGAGGAGGCATTGGTCTTCTTTGCCCGTATCCAGCACTGGGGATAGCCGTTGCAGGTCTCGAAGGACCCACAGGACTTGCAAAAGGCTGTTGCCAATTCCCCTCGTATGGATCATCTGGAGAAGTATTCAAGGTAGTGGGTTGGGGTAGAGGCGCTGTTCCAGATCGTTGAGCTGGCCGGTCAATTGATCCGAAATAATCGTTCGGTGGTCCATGCGGTAGCGTAAATTCGCGAGGTGGCGCCGCAGACGATGGCGTTGAGTATACTGAGGCCGGTAATCCAGATGAGGCGCTCTGGGTGTGAGGATTGAATGTATGGGGGTTGAAGGCTAAGTAGCCACCGTTTCTGGGCGGTTCAGTTGCTTTATTAACCGGAGGATGCATCTCAAACTCCTGTGTAGGTGGATCGAAGCCTGGGGGCCCTGAAGGACGCCTTCCCACAGCACCCAAAGACATATCTTGCGGCATCGGTTTAAGAACTTGCGGTTGAGAGGGTACGGAAGCTGGTGTCATCCTCCCACTCATGTCACTATTCTGCCGATTTGGTGGCCCGAATGTTGACGAGGACGAGCGGAAGGATCTTTGTGTGCTCTGTGAGTTTCCCGTAAAAGTTCGATTCGGTGGCCCGGATCTTGACGAGGACGAGTTATAAGATCGTTGTGTGCTCTGAGAGTTGCCCGTAAGACTCCGATTGGGAGGAGGCCGCGCGCTGTGCAATGTGCGAACTTCAGAGTCCATCCTAGACGGCGCGCCTTTAGGGCCAGGGTGACCGTTGCCGCCGTAGCCCATTTCACCAGCTGAACTCAGCAGAGGCGCATTCGATTCATAGCTTCCATGGGAGCGGAAAGAAGACTGAGTGACGGACCGAGAGGGCGGCTCTGGTCGCCGAGGGTTTAAGAATACGTTGGGGACGGTAGGTTCTGGGCCGACGACAGCTGTGAGATTATGCGGATTGAACGAAGTATCTGTCTGTGCCGTCTGTCCCGAACCTGGTGCGAAGTTTTGTGCGCCTGTAGTGTTTAAGACGGGCAATGTTGGCTGAAGTTTGGCATCGGCTTGGAAATTTCCAGCTTTCGGGCCTTTTGCTCCTTGCTTTGCTCGCGGATTGCTGTCCTTCGCTAAGGCCTTATTCACTTTCTTCATCACGATCTTGTGCAGTCGGGTATCAATCTTTCTTCTGCAATACCGTGAAAGGCTACCATCACGGATGTGGTGCCATAGATAAAGAACATAAAACAAAACCGCCAAGGCCAGACTGAGAGCGGAAATGACCCAGATTATGAGTGTAAAGAGCATGCCGAACAATATTGCAGCTTGCTCTTTGTCCTTGTTGGCGAGTATCTGTACGTTGACGAAGAATTGGACAACAGAAGTATGGCCGTCGCTGGCTGAGTGCTGCCCTGTCGGCACAAGATCCGCCTGCATAACCGAGTACAAAGTAAGGGCGTTGATGGCGACTCGAGGACCTTCTGCAAAGCAGATGCGCAGCCATGCTAAGACAAATCAATACATGTCTTTGAAGAATATAGGATGTAAGCTTACCTTCAAAAGAAAAGTACGTGAACAAAGCTACATACTCGTTACCCTTCCTCCCCTTCGTAAGAGCAGCAAAGACAAGAAATCGCCTCCAGCCGCGGCCGTTGGCGCCCATGCGTATACTCTGTACTCGGACAGCAAGTGGGTCGAGGTAGCTAGCAGCAATAACGCCGCTCTTAATGGCTCGCACTGCCTTCATCCATCTGTATACCAACAGGATCCAAGAAAGGATGATGCAAGCGGTGAAGATCCACCTGGAGATTTTGAAGGGTATGGCAGGTTTTACCTGACCAGACCAGCGGTCGAAGATTAACAGATTCGCGCATGTGAACAGGTCGACTGCATATACAGCGATGCTGATGATGAGGAAGAGGTAGAGAACTCCGTAGGATAACGGCGTAAGGCAGGACGTCGAGCGAAAGTCGGACAGGTTCTATACAGTGCAACGATCAGTCATAGGTGCTAAAGAGGACATCTAAAGATGGATTACTATATAGTCCCACTTCTGTTCGTTCGATGCCTCTCCTTCCTTCTCGCGCAGGGCGCAACAGCTCATATTGAAGCGAGTGGATGGCTCCCGGGCCAGCCCAAAGAAGCCGAATTAGCTGCGGCCTCCTTCAGAAACACTCGTGACTCGTGAGAGAGGCCCCCAAATTGTTTAAAGTGGTATGCAAGATATTCAATGGCAAGGTAGTATTGCTGGCGGTGGTGCAAGCAGAAGGTAAAATGCGGCCGCATCACCTGGGTAGAGCCATTTTCCTTTGTCGAATCTATGGAGCATGCACAATGAGGACTATGGCGAGGCGCAACAATAAAAGATACGTGGTTCCGTTCGTCGCAAGATGGCAAAAGAGAGATATAGGCTAGGAACAGGCCTTCAAGGGACTGCGACCGGCGCTGGATGAGGATGAGACTGGGTGTCAGCGTATATGCAAGGAATGTCGGTGGTCCGAATCAAGAACGTGTCAATAAGGGCAAAAAGAAGAGCAGCAAGTCGAACAATAGATAATCAATGAAAGTGAAGGTGAAGTGTCAACATATCATGATACATGATACTTAATGAGAGTGATGGTGGTCTACTTCGCATGCTGTTTCAGGTTTGAGGGGCGCGAAGCAGAGCTTGACGGCGCATGGCTTTCGTTGGTCCACGCTGCTTCCTGCATCCCTCGATCGATGACAGCGGGAAGGGGAACCAAGGTGGTGCCAAGTCTGATTAGCGCCCTTGGCGAGACTTGGCGCCGGGTCCAAAGTGAGGGGCCAGGGTCGACTTTCAGCTCAGGGCCAACTTTACGCTGCTTCTTATCAAATTGCCGCCACCCCAAACGTGAGGCAATCATTCCATGGACATAGGTAGATTCTTTGATGACAATGACATTGAAATACCGGAAGCACTGAAACCCTCGAATACCCGAAGCTTTGTTCCCTCAGAAAACATTCTCCCTACTCAAATGTCGCTATTCAAGACATCCTCCCCTCTCAATCTTGGCCTTCTTTCGGTCATCGTCCCCCTCGTCATCCGCCTCTCCATCCGAGCATTCATCATGTTCTCTCTTCACTCCTGCTCCTTCTCCGAGGACGGGCTTCCTCGTGGGTTGGTGCTCACAGATTCGGTCAGGTCGACGACCGAATCTGTGAGCAGGCTTGCATGCAGGCTCTGTGCTCTTATCGCTGGCGGAGGCAGCCGTCCGCTGCTCCTTTTGGACCGCGATAGGCTCTTCGGTGCGTCCGTCGTTCATTGTGCGGTCGCTATTCATGGAGCTCTTCTCTCTGAACGCTATAAGCTCATTCTCCAATGCCTCGTATCCTTTCCTCAGGATTGAAAGTTGTTTCGAATATGTGCTGCAGTTGTCTCTAGCTTTGTTCCGATCCACCTTCATGTTTTCCAACTCACGCTGACACGTGAGGAGTTGGCTCTGCAGAGGATTAACGTTCTGAGCGCGTCGCTGATCTGCCTTGATTTGTTCAAGCTCGCTCCTCAGATTCTCGATAGCCGGCTGCGCTTGCTCAAACTGCTGGCGGTAACGTTTTGCTTCACCAGTCAATCGAGAGTTGTTCGCTTTGGCTATTTTCGCGTTTTGTTCCAACTTAATTATGGTTGACTGTAGGTTGGCTTCCTTCTCAAACGCTGCGTGATCAATGGTGGGAGCGTTCTTGGCCTCCTCCAGTTTTGCATCCTTCTCCAAAAGCAGGGCATTTTGCTCTCGGATTCTCTTCGTATTGAGTGCGAGCACGTCGCGGTAATGATTTTGGAACTCGTCGCGCACTTCACGCTCGACTTCGCCTCTAATCTGCCGCCGAAGGTCATCTCCCACTTGAGATGTCAGCTGCGCGCGGACACTCTCCTCAACCTCTCTCCTCATTTCGACCCTAGCAGCGTCGTCAGACACTTTAGCGTCTTTTAAGAGCTCATCAAGAGCTTCTCTCAGTTTCTGGCAGTTTGGACAGTTGGTTTCCAAACTTTGAATGCGTTGTTGCTGATGATCGACCGTCTGATTCAAGGCCTCGATTTGCCCTTGCAGCGACCGGATTTCCCTCTGGCTGCTTGACTGCAAGTCTATCAACGCTTTATTCTGGTTCTGCACTTGTTGACCCTCTCCAATCAGGTTTGCATGTTGAGCTCTTGCTGTTCCAAGCTGTTGCAGTAAGCTGTTGTTGGAATCCTGGAGTGGTCCGCTTGCGTTGCGAAGTTGCATGATTTCCAGGTCCTGTGTTTTCGTATGGTCGCCACATTTCGCGTGTATCTCTTGTAGCTCTTTCAGCACGCTGTCAAAGTGAGTGACTTGCCCCTGAAGACTGCCAATCTCGCGGTCCCTGACTTCAAGCACTTCCTCCAGCTGCTCTTTTGCGGTCGCCAGCTGGTCAATTCTGGAATTCTGGCGAGTCGATTCCTCATCACACTGGCCACGAGCAAGTCGAGACTCCTCAAGCTCATTACTCAATGTGTTCAGACGCTGGACAGTATCCGCAGAAGGAGCTGCCTCGGCGACCAATGTCTCGTTCGCCTCCTCAAGATCTGCAACTTCTTTCTCTTTCTCCCCCAGCTCTGTCCGGAGAGTAGCAATAGTCCCGGCTGAATCCTTGTCTGCCGTGGTCTTTTCAGCTTGAAGTTTCCTAATCTCTCCGTCCTTCTCGGCTAACTGCGTGTGGAATGGCTCACTGCGCTCGTTATGCTCGTCGCTTAGTTTCTCAAGATCAATACGCAGCCCACCAATCTGTGCAGTCAACGTTTCTTTCTCTTGTTCGAGATCATTGATCTTCTGATCTTTAGCCGTTATAGATGCCTCCAGTGTAAGTGCTTCTGGGGTCTTCTCTCCGACTGTCTGCTCTGCTTCTGCATCAGCCTGCACAGTTGATGTCTGACTCGGTTCCTTGAGGGCCTTGACTTTTTGGCCCCTCTCTGCCAACATCGCCTGAGACATATCTTTGGGAAGGTTCTCGCTCACGAGCTTCCGGGCCGATGTAGGTCCCGCAGACGAAGATGTACTTGATTCAGCGGCTTTAGACCCCTTCAGTAAGAGCTCTCTGTGGGGTTTCGGCAATGAAGACGGTCGTTGGGTTCGTCGATGCTTGGGCTTGGGTCGAGCTTTGAGCGTTGCGACGACGGGTGTGGCCTGTCCATGCTGGGGCTCCACCTGCATGCTGAGCGTTTGTATCTCACCCTGAGCCAGGTCACGTTGGCGTCTCACTTCGGACAGGTTCTCCTGGAGCGTTTGTACTTCAGCCTGAGCCAGGCTAAGATGATTGTTCCCTTTGGACAAGTCCCGCTTGAGCGTCTCATTCTCCTTTGAGACCTGGACCACCTGCCTACTGTACCCATCACGGTCGCTCTCGGTGTTCCACACATCTTGTTCCAGAGAGCGGATCTCTTCTTGATAAACCAGGTGTTGGTCATTCAGCCCCTGGATGGTGTCGCGAAGTCCTTTTCGTTCTTCGTTCATATCGCTGCCAGCGTCTTGCAGCTTCTCGTTCGCGTGGTAGAGCTCGTTCTCCGTGTCTCTGAGCTTCAAGTGGAGATCACACCACTCGTACGCCCCCTTTCTCGAGTCTTCTCTCGCCTCATCTCGCTGATTCTTTATATTTTTGTAGGTATTGCATAAACTCAAAACCCAGAGGAACAAGGCGAAAACAACGGTGCAGAGGAACTTCACGAGGAGATAGGAGAGGTTCTTCAGCGGCCAATTAGCTTTCGATCCCGACTTTGAGGATCTCAACACTCACTTCCTCTCGGAAAGGATCTAAGAAACCCAATTCTGTGAGGACGATCCCCCACCAACTATCCACGTCTGGGTCGTACTGTGCAGGCATGCTGCCAACGGTGGACGAGAAAAGCTTATAAAAGAAAGAGGCACCCATATCAGTAAGGGTTCAAGTGCTTCTTGTGATTGTTGTATGGCAAGAGTAGATAGCCGATGGTGTATGTTCTTGCTGGGCACGATGTGTGAGACAGAGACCGGGATAAACGCGGTATCATCAAGGTATCAGAGTTTGTCGTGACAGTCAAGAGTGTGAAGACTCGAGGATGCGTCAGAATCAGTATTCGTGAGCTTGATAGCTCCTGGATGATGGCAGTAGAAGAAAGTGGATGTGGTCAAGAGTGGGTGATGTGGTGCAAGGTGCAAGGTGGATGATGTGGATGATGCACGGAAGGAAGTGGAGGATGGTCAAACCGAGGGTGCTTAAATAGGTGATCTGATCTGTGTTGAGGGGAGGAGGCTGGTCACGAGTCATCGTTCCGAGATTCACTCTCGCTGTGTTCGGCACGGTGCTCTCAACACCTCACCTTGTTGTTCCCCGCTCCTGACAGCCTCGAGCAACTATTGGTGGACACCGTCCTTAGCATCTACCTGTGTTCTCTTTCGACGAATGTGCTAAGCCTGATCGGAGTGTTTTTGGAGACCTAGGATGCCACTTTATCAAGAGTATTTTACTCAAAGTCGCACCTGTATAGTTTCTCATCATGGGGCAAAATATCAGCTTCATAGAGCAGATGATTCCATTGAGGTCGCTTCCATGAAAGCCGATTTTCTTTGTTGACCATATACAATCTCAGGCTTTTCGAGCATCTTCTCTTTCATACGAGACAACCTTCTTTGTTGTGTTGGCAGACAGAGGCTCATCCTCGGAATCACCCGAATGAACGAGGTTCAGCAAATGTGCAAGTGGTGATTTCCTGAATACCAGAACAGCATTTGGCCAAGCAAAGGATCGTTGCTGGCTTGTTGGTTGACAAGCTTGATAAGATATGAAGGAACAGAATAGTACTTAAGTAGCGATCTGCCACGATTCAAACCTCTATGACATCCTGGGTACAAAACGTCTTTGTCTCCCCGTCACAAGGCTCTCACACCTCAACATGATAGAAATTGATACTCAAAAAGCCTGTTTCGATGTATATAAATGCTAGCTTTAAAATTTAGCTATATCCTCCAGGACGCATAGGATCTGGAGCCGCAGCCTCATGCTCATCCATCGTTTCCACGTGATTGCTGCTCCCCGAGCTCTTTCGAGAGTCTTGCAACCTCGTCTTGAAGGTTGCTGACCGTGCCCTTGAGAGGGTTTTCTCTCTCAAGACGAAGCTTCAAGAAATCGCTCCTCCTCTCAGAGTCCTCCCGCTCCTTCTCCAACACTTTTTCGTGCCTCGCCTTCTCATCTGCCCGCTCTTTTCTCTCCTTGTTTAGCTGGCTCTGGATGCCACGGTTTCGAACACGAGCGTCGCCTGCGTCTTTGTTCGCTGCCGCCAATTTGTTCTCCAATGTTTTGATCTCGTGATCCGCCTTGGACCCATCCTGATCAAGAACCATGGCATCCTTATCGAGCTTGAGCGCGTCTTCCTTGAGTTGGACGGCATCCTCTCGCGCTTTGATCTGCATTTCCCGGAGGGGACTTGCCTGGTTTTTCGCTTGCTGGAGTTGGTTCTCCAGCTTGAAAACCTGTCCCTCACTTGCCTCGAGCTTCAATGCCTGAGTAGACATTTCACGATCAAAGTTCGCTTGCCAGCTTGGACGCGCGCGGTTCTCACCTTCGATACGATACTTTTCGAAATTGCTTTCAGAAGAGGAATTCATCTGCTCGAGGTTGGCGTTGGTTTGTTGTAAATTGGCGACTTCGCTTCGCAGCCCGCGGGCATTTTGATTTACCACGTCCAGCTCCGTTGCTTGGGTGTTATATTTAGTTTGTAGGTCAGTGTAGGTATTGGCACCTTGACGAAGTTGGTTCGTGAGATCAGTGGTTCGTCCTTCACAGTTTGTATGGTGGGAGCGGAGGTTGTTGTATTCGTCCCACAAACGTTGTAGCTCTAGCTGCTTCGCGGTGACGCTCTGCTGCATTGTGTTCAGTGACTGCATGTCCTCATTATGCTTGGCTTCCGCAAGCGCCTCTTGACCCAACATCTTATTGTAGAGATCGTACAGCGCTTGGTAATCCCGATCCTTATTGCTAATAGCGTCATTCTGGGATTGAATATGACGCTCGATGAGATCATGGCTTGGGGCATTATTGATCTGACCCTCGAGTTCTGTGATTCTGTCGTCTTTGACCTTGATTGTCGCCCTTAATTCGCGTCCAGCGGCCTCTAACTCGCTGATTCTGGCTTTCTGACTCTCTGAATGCCCTTTACACTCGCAATGTTCACGGCGTAAGTCGTCCAAATCGGAGTTTGCTGTCGTTAGGCGCTGGAGATTCTCTGCGTATCCTGGGGCTGGTTGTTCGGCGATTTCCTGATTCTTTTTCTGAAGGTCATTGATTTCGCGATCCTTTCGCTTGACAGCGTCTTCCAGTCCGCGGTGAGCAGCCTCCAGTTCGCTGATTTTGGTCTTCTGTTCTCCCAATTCATGTTCACACTCGGCACTCACTTTACGTGCTTCCACCAAACTGATGCGACTATCAGATATTTCCTGGCGCAAATCTGAGATTGCTGTGGTTGCATTCTTATCTGCTGTCGTCTTCTCTTCTCGAAGATCGTTGATCTCCTTATCCTTCGCGGCTAGCTCTTCGCCCATGGTCACCTTCTCCTCTCGAAGGTCTTTGATAGCTTGATTGTTCTTGGCTAGCTCTTCGCTCCCTGTCACCTTCTCTTTTCGAAGGCCGTTGATCGTTTCATTCTTCGCTCCTACCTCATCGCTCATCACCACCTTCTCGGCTCGAAGGTCTTTGATCTCCGTGTCCTTTGCAGCCAATTGCCCCTTTAGCTCGGCCGTAGCATCGAATTCTACAGTATCTGCGGTAGCCTTATTCGAGGCTGGTTCCCCCAAATCCTGGCACTCTTTGCGGAGCTGTCTTATGGTCTCCGCATCATCAGCGACCTGTTTACCAAGGGTTTTGCATTGCTCCTCATACTCGCATGTATGCACGAGGGTCGTCGTGAGGGTTTGAGACCCGGTAATAGAGTCGGATTTTGAAACCTCTGTTGAAGGAAGGGATGTGTGATCGGCGTTGGACGTGGACGCGGCGTCATTGTTGCCCGAATTCCATACGGGGCGCCTCTCTCGAAGACGCTTGATCGTTAGATCGCGTGCAGCCACTGTAGCCTCCAGCTCAACAATTCTAGGGTTTTGGTCTTTTAGGCCATATGCGATTTCCGGCTCTGTGCATGCACAACGCACTCCCCAAGCGGGCTTGGTATCTAGGGCATTTGGGCGGTACCTTGCCCAGTACGCGGTGCTTCTTGCATTCTTCTTGAGCTGAGATCGTAGCCACTCTTTCTCCTTGTTGCCCTTTTCGCGCTGAGTCCCGAGCTTCTCCTCGAGAGCCTTGACGCATTTCTCAGACTTCTCCAGGAGATTGTTTGAAATCTCGAGCTGTCTCTGGGTTTGCTCGGATCTCTGCTGGTAGTATTCTGGTCGCTTCGCGGACATTCCGTACACAGAGACGTGTTGCAGAAGCTCATCATAGTCCTGCTTGAAACCTTCCAGGCGCTCGATCTCGTTGTGCTGGACGCTGTTCTCCTCTGCAAGTTCGGTGTTTCTATGCTTCAACCATGGTAGATCCTTGAAAGCCGTGCTGAGCTCGGCCCGGAGCTCCAGGTTTGTTCCCATTGCTCGCTCATGCTTTGTCCCCATCTCTACCCAGGCACGTTGCGCGTCATCACGCTCCTTAATGGCGGCATTTCGCTCTTCGTTAGCAGCTCCGACAGGATCCAGGCGATTTTTCAAGCTGGACTGGCCGTAATACCAACTGAGTAGGAGAAGCAACCCTATGAAAGAGCCAGAATAGACGCATTGTTTGAGAAAGTACTTTGAATACTAGTCAGCTTGCAAGTTCAAGCTATTCGACACTGTGATACTTACATCCTGAATATCTGGCTCGCGGAAATCCGGGATAAAGTGGAACTGGGAGCATATTACACCATACCAGGAGTCTACGCCGGGTTGGAAGCCCGAAGGAAGCCTCGAGAATTGTTGACCCATGGTATGGTACTGTATATGTATAGGGTTTAAGCGTAGGGAAAATTTTGTATGTGCGGGTTTACACCCTGTCGGCGAAATATTGGAACAGTGCTAAGCTTCAGGCTTATGTCGAGCAAGTGGTGTATGAATAGTATGATATTGGTTGATGATTTGATGTGGTCCGTAAGATGTGGAGTTGGCCTCGCGGTGTGTAAGATGTAAGAAAGATGGTTGAGTAAGAAAGTACCTTAATGTGCGGAAAGTTCACAATTTAAGTCCTACATCTGTGTGTTGGGAGGGGCTGGTTAAGAGTCACCTTGTTAAAATTCACTCTTGCAGCAGTTTTGTCAACACTTCGGCTGCTTGCGTCCCCTCCCTCGCACGTTGTTTTAACCCCGACGATCCTCAACACCTATGAGTTGCATTTAAGGCAGTGAACATCCTGCGGTCGCCACACCGGTTTGCCTCGGATTATGGATCTAAGGGGCTTTGCGTCGAGTCTCGGTCCTCTGTTTTGAGTAAGCTAGCAGAATACTAAGTGAGGTGTATGCTTTGCTCTTAGATAGAATCCTAGCTTCGTCGTTTCACTCTTGCATTATACTCCAAGCCTAGCATTCTTTTAACCTTTATAGAGAGCCTTGAATATGTAGCCATAAAAGCCAACTTTCTTTGTTCTCCAGAAACTGACCCGAAAGCCTCTCTGCCCCCCCCAGTCAATACGGCCTCCTTTGTTCTTCATACTAAGGATCACATTCAACTCTGGCTTGACGACAGAGCCACTCGTCGAATCCCAAAACACGACACTACCTGGCTGCTAGTTTCGGCAAAAGCTTCTACTGGCAGCGACAAGTTGAGAAGTACGTGTAGTACAGTGAACATACTGTTTGCAGGTGTTCTTGGAATTGAGATTCATTTGGCTTGGAAAAGCGAAATAGAACAACTCAGAATTTCATCGTTCTTTTGATTGTATCATATATTCCTGGTAGTTGTCAACGATGAAATCTTGACCTATCGCAAGAGCTTACTTGTGACATCTGGAATATTGAAGCTCTCAAAAGCCAGCCCCATGTGGGTGGCCCAACCTCCAAGCCGCTGCACGGGAGCTTCCAAATGCAAGAAGGCCCCTTCTTGTATCGAAGCTGCGACTTCGGCTCCTACCCCTGCATTGATCATACTCTCATGCACGACGATCGCACGTCCTGTCTTTTGCACACTCTGTAATACGGTCTGCTTGTCCCAAGGATACAAAGTCTGGAGGTCCAGTAGTTCAACGCTTATACCAAAATCTTTCTCTGCAGCAGCAATGGCTGACGAACACAGATAGAGTGGCTGTCCGTAAGACACAATAGTCATGTCTTTGCCTTCTTTCACAACTTCAGCTTGCGATAAAGGGATCTCATATGCTTCCGTAGGCACTTGCTCCACCGCAGCACGATACAAGATCTTAGGCTCAAGAAAGATGACAGGGTCATTGCAGGCAATGGAAGCAAGCAGTAGCCCCTTAGCTCGGGCAGGGGAACGAGGCAGCACGACTCGTAGACCAGGAATATGCGTGAAGAGTGCCTCCGGCGACTGGGAGTGATATCTCGTGTTTGATCAGCAAAGCTACGTAACCTAAGGAAGAGACCATCTACGTACAAAGCCCCGTGTCCCACACTCCCACAAGGCATCCTGACCACCAAACCTCCGATATGGCCCCCAGTGTCTCCCTCCCTGTATCTCCATTTGGCCGCTTCATTGACAAGCTGATCAAACGCTGGATACACATAGTCTGCGAATTGAATCTCTGCAATCGGCTTCATCCCCTGCGCAGCGCATCCAATTGCAAAGCCCACGATTCCTTGTTCGCTCAGGGGCGTATTGAACACTCTTTCGGAGCCGAATTCAGTAGCGAGATCCATACTACAGCGAAAGACGCCCCCGAAGGCGACGTCTTCGCCAAACACCAGCGTGCGTTCATCGGTACGGAGGGAATGTTTGAGGGCGCTATTGATGGCCTGAAAGAGGTTCTGGCGAGTGAAAGAGGAACTTTGAGGGTAAGACGCATTGGCACGGAGAGAAGATGGACTGTGGTTGAGGAGAGGATGGGAGGAGTAGTCTATTGGGATGTTCAGACGGGCGTTTGGAGGGAGAGTCGAGTAGCACCGGGAAGGGGGAGTATGTCCTTTGTGCCACCGTAATTGATTGTAAAATCTCAATGGCTTCAATGAGACACGCATGGTCATCGCTGCAAAAATAGCCCCATGTCATTTGGAAGCGATCCCCAGATAAGGGGAGTAGAGAGTGAAATGCTGACCGGGAGAGTGGTCGTTGCTGAAGTGGGGATAGACGCGGCTTTAGCCATTGCGCTTTCCGTCGGCATAGAAAGAACGACGAGGATACCCATCCTGGCGGACTTGACTCCAAAATGAGTATCAGTTCGACACCACTGGAAAGCGAAAAGCTTCAATGAATGGCTTCTTTATTGCCTGCTTTGCGGCAGGCTGCTCCGAAGCTCACCAGGCAATTTTTCCAATGCTCGCACTGTCGATGTCTCCCTCGAGTGGCGACCCGACCTGACATCTTCAAGAAGGCGTCTCCCAAATATAGAAGAGCTTCCGAGTCTAGCACAAGACGAGTGTCATCAACAGCTTCGGGCAATTCTGCAGCAGAAACAAGCTCTTTATCGACGTTGTCATCCTTGAACAGGACGAGTGGACAGAAGGCAAAGACGAAAACCCGCTTCTTCCCCAATAAAAGCGACAAGTCCGTGGCGTATTGGCTACTAGGGAGTGCCGCAAGCGTGTTTGGGATTGTTGTGTTTGGAGGCCTGACACGGCTGACAGAGTCTGGGTATGTTGCACTGTTCCGAAATGGCTGGCAAGGTGTTAATTGTTCAAAGCCTAAGTATTACAGAATGGAAGCCAGTAACGGGCAGCTTGCCCCCAGCAACCGAAGAGGATTGGGAGTCTGAATTTAACAAGTACCGGTCATCTCCGGAGTTCAAGATGCTCAACCCGAACATGACTTTATCGGAATTCAAGTCGATTTACTATATGGAATGGACACACAGACTCTGGGGCCGCTTTGTTGGATTGTCATTCGCCATCCCAGCGCTATACTTCATTGCACGGAGGAAAGTCTCGGGGCCCATGGCGTTGAGGATCACAGGTATTGCAGGCCTCATAGGCTTTCAGGGGGTGCTCGGCTGGTGGATGGTAAAGTCTGGGCTCAAGGATGATTTATTTGCCACGGGAAGTCACCCTCGTGTCAGCCAGTATCGACTTGTTGCGCACCTGGGCACCGCATTCCTTTGCTACTGTGCTATGTTTTGGAACGGCTTGTCTATCCTTCGCACGCATAAGCTGTTGGGCAATCTTCAAGTGGCAGAGGCCAGTCTCCGAAGGCTGAGAAACCCAAGACTTCGCATCTTCAGATTGTCCGTAGGGGCGCTTGCTGTGCTGGTCTTCATTACTGCCATGTCCGGAGGGCTTGTTGCTGGTCTTGATGCGGGCCTGATATACAATGAATTTCCCTACATGGGACTTGGGTTGACGCCTCCAAAGTCTGAGCTCTTCTCAGACTTCTACTCGCACACACCCGACAACAGTGATATCTGGTGGCGTAACCCACTCGAGAATCCATCTCTGGTGCAACTAGACCATCGGATACTGGCAACTACGACTTTTACATCGGTGATGGCACTATGGGCCTACTCTAGATTTTCTAGCAATGTCCGGACCATTCTACCTGGCCCCGCCAGGAAAGGAGTTTACGGGGTCGTGGGATTCGTATTCCTACAAGTAGTCCTAGGCATCAGCACTCTGATCTATCTGGTTCCGCTGCCGTTAGCATCAGCACACCAAGCGGGAAGCCTAGCGCTACTGTCTTACGTCCTCATACTGGGAAGTAGGTCTTGGCTCCCCAATCGACGGGTCTCAACGCTCCTCGCCAAAAGATTCGCGACCGCTAAAATGACCCCGAAGAGGTCGGTTCAATCAAAACTACGCATGCGTAAACAGAACAACGCTTCTGAAGGAGCATGGAAGACCGCAATGGTCTGATGTGAGGTGCAATATGCGCTTCTTTTCACTCTAGGCTGCCAAGACCTTGGGCATATTTAGTCATTGAAGAGCAAGGCGCTATCGAGATCATTTCCAGCCGCATTCTTTTGGTGATCTATGTCTAGTCCAGTATTACACTTCTTGAGAGGACCAAGCTCGAAGCCAGTCCAGTCACGCGGCAAGAGTGAACAGTCAATGATACTGAAGCATGGATACACGTCGGATAGAAGGAGTTTACGGACAACGCGTCCATACCTCCAGTGCATGAAATGAGCAAGCGCAAGAGATAGGCCGAGGAGAGGTTCACACAATGATGTACAATATTGACATGGTGCTCGCGCAGGGGAGGGAAGAGAAATTAGTATCTTGAAGGCAATGATTGTGAGCTTTTCTCACAGAAGCCATCTGTGAGCTTTGAGCGCTCCAGAATAGCGGCTTCGGTCAGGGTCATTGCATTAGCCAATCTATTAGCAAGCCGTTTTGGGCCATCGAAAATGCATCAAAGCGCTGTGATACGACATTTTACAATCCGATGCTCCGAAAGTACGTTGCCCCACACCCAAATCCTCCCACGAGCTGTAGCGGTTCGTAAATTGATCTCTCGACCCTGACCCTACTTATGTCTCATCTCCTGCAAGTTTTAATGCCGATAACGTTGTTGATAGATACAGCTTCTCACAACTCAACTTAGGGGTTTGGGGCAAATCGAAGAGCGGACGGGCTTCTCAAGGTGGAGGCTTGGCGCCTCGCTTACGTTTATCTTTTGGCAGCTGGCAGAAGTTGTAAGTTCTTGCAACTCCAGGAGCTGGAACATTTTGAGGCCCTCCCATTGGTGCGAGACCAAGATTAAAGGGCATTGGGATGCGCTGATGCGTCAGATGGGTGAAAGGACGCGGTTTCCGGGTGTGAGTGGTGGGATGGGGCCCTCTGATTGGGAGACATGGAAGGGAGGAATGGAGAGGAGGATATGGGTATAAAGGGAAGCATGTCTGCCTGCTTCTTGAGATCATTTGAAGCAGCAGATTCCTGTTCTGTATTTTCTGCTCGTCACCGCGACTTCGTGACGATCTGCTGAGCGGTTGAACTTTTGTAGCTCGATTCCGCAGTGAGTGATTCCTTTTCTACAAACCTCACTTCCACCCACCGTCTTTCACCATACAACGCACCTCGTCCTTCTAGGCCATCATGGTTTGATCCAAACTGTATTATACCGCACTCGTGTATGCCATCGCTCATGCTTTCTATCTAGCCACGCAAAATCCTCTACTAAAGAGAGAGCTCGTACGTTACATTTCTTTCCTAGCTATGCCAGACACCACCCCAAGATTTGCGTCCACTCTGCCAGTGTCATCAAAGTTTTACACCACATTCATGGCTTTCATATATCCTGCCTTGTCGGTTCCCTTTCCTCGCTGAAGTCATCCTCCAGCTTCTACTCATTTCACGAATGTTTGTGAGCTGTCTTCTTTTACAAATCTCTTTAGAAAACTCGTGGTTTTTAAGCTGAAGCAGTGTTTTAGATTGATCCTCGTTATCTTCTTCCATTTTGCAAAGACAGCGGTCTTACATTATGGCACGCAAGTCGATCAAGAGAGAACAACAAGCAGCCCAGAGAATGCCGGTCACATATGTGGCCGCAGAGCAAAACCCTAACGAGCAGCCTATTAGCTCAGGTGATACCATTGCTATCGACTCTGATGTCACCATGACCGATGGTCAGGCGGACAAAGGCTACCAGAAGAACCGTGAGCACAAGAGGACTGGTAAGTCACAATTTGTTGGGGGGGGGATGGTCTGCGCCAACTGACACCCTCCATAGATCATACCATCGTCGGCAAAGGTCAGAATGTACAGACTGCCAGCATTTCAAGTGATGCGAACGAAGTCGCTGAAGGAGGTCTTCAAGCCCTAGGGCGAGGCGTCAAAGAACTGGTTCAAGCAATTCAGGAGCTTCGCTACCTTGGGGTCGAAGACTTGATCTTGCCGTTACCTAAGATCGCCTGTGTTGGAGATCAGAGCGCGGGCAAAAGCTCGTTGATTGAAGGTATCAGCGGAATCAAGGTTCCTCGCGGTGCTGGTACCTGCACAAGATGCCCTCTAGAGATCAATCTTTGCGAAAGCTCTAGTTTGGAGGAGCCGTGGACATGCAAGGTATCACTTCACAAGAAATACATTTACGAAGGCAATCTCGTCCCCGGTCGAGTCCTCGCAAAGAACGCCAGCAAACTCGAGGGTGCTACACGTGCTCGGCCCTTCGGACCTTGGACCCTTCAGGAGAGCGAGGAGTTCCACTTTGCCACTTTGACATCCAAGGATGAGGTCGAACATGTTATCTATTTGGCTCAGCTAGCCACCTTGAACCCAGGTAGCCCATGGGAGAGATACCTTCCAAGCAACCCGAACCCGAACGAGCAGCATCAGGTCAAATTTTCCCCGAACGTCATCCGTCTTGACATTTCTGGCCCCGAATTGCCCAATCTATCCTTCACAGATTTGCCCGGGGTGATCAGTGACTCCGATGATGAGGAGGTTTACTTGTTGGCCCTTGTCCAAAACTTGGTCAAAGACTATGTGAAGGGGGAGGACTGCATTAATGTTCTCGCCATCCCAATGACACATGACCCAGCAAATTCAAGGGCCTCTAGACTCATAAGGGAGCTCAAAGCCCAGGGCCGAACAATCGGGTGTCTCACCAAACCAGATAGGATGCAGGTTGGTGAGTCGTTGGACCAGTGGCTTGGAATACTGAATGGTGAGACTTTTCGTCTGGGATTTGGCTATCATGTCATCAAGAACAACCCGGATACTCGCGTTGATCATGCCACCGCAAGACTTGAGGAGCAAGCCTTCTTCGACGGAGAAGAGCCATGGACGACCACTCTCAGCGCGTACAGTCATCGCTTTGGTACGTTGCAGTTGGTATCAGCTCTTTCAGAACGCCTGACAGCTCAAATTCGAGCAAGGTAAACATCGCCTCAATGTTTCTTAGCTTCTACTAATCACATGGGCAGCCTTCCACGGATCGCCGACCAGGTGCAGCGAAAGGCCGAGCTGATCGACGCCAAACTCCAAGAATTACCAGAGCCCATAGATGGCAACCTACCTGCGATCGTGATGGGGGAGCTGAATAGGTTTGAGAGGGAGATAGAAAAGCACATTGACGGAGGCTCACACGTCAACTCGTTTCAGAAAGAATGGAATCGCTTGGCAAGAAAGTTCCGCAAGGACTTGGCTGACACTCGTCCTGTACTCGTTTTGATGCCAAGCCCACAAACTCCTAGCCATGGCCATTCTTCTCGCGGTACTGGCCCCAGCAGCATGTCTGGGACACCAACGCCTACAGCTAGGGGAAATACAACTCCTATCCCCATCGACTCTGACGATGACGACGTACCCTGCAAGCCAAGTCCAGTCGTCCAACGATCCGGTCAGAAGCGTCCGCTTGCCTCAGTGCAGCACACTCCACAGAAGATTCCACGAACACTCAATAGCGCACCTCGATTGACAGCATTGTCGTCCTCCAGACGCTTCGACCTTTCCGAGGTCCGTGATATCATCCAGGATGCTTATATTGGGTTGCCGAATCAGATCGATCCAAAGGCCACTGAGAGAATGATCGTGATGAGCATGGAGCACTGGGAAGAGCCCGTCAATCGCTTCTTGACCGGAACCAAGCAGCTATGCGAAGCAATGGTCTTCGAACAGGTTGAAAAGGTGTTCGGCAAATATGCCAAGACGCTTTTCTACGAGAAGGTCATGAAAATTTGCGAGTCGTTCTTCGAGGAAGTACTGTCTCAACAACGCCAACTCGTGATGCAGGTTCTGAGGTGGGAGACCTCCAAGCCTAAGACCTTCAATGACGAATCTTTGGAGTTGGCCGAAGGAAGAGCACTTACTATGCTTCAAACCAAGCGCCGCGAGGCTCGTGCAGGCGCTTACTTGGACGAACAAGAGGCCCAGACAGGAAAGTCAACAAGTGGACAGACTCGCATCGAGAAGATCTCTAAGCTTTCAGATGCTCAGCTTGGACCAGAGACGTATAACAGAGAGATTGTCGCTATGAGCGTAGGTGCTATCTCAGGTGTTAATGACCTTGCTGACTAGGGAGCAGACTGTCAAAGGCTACTACGAGTGTGCTTACTCTCGCTTTGTGGATGTCGTCTGTGCTAGCATTCATTGCGAACTATTTAACAAATGCCGCGACAATATTGGACGAGAGATGAAGCAGCAATTTGGTGTGATCGAGGATGGAGGTAGGGATTGGATGTCAATCTACTGAAGTTGCACTAACATTCTCTTAGCGTATGAGCGCTTTGCTATTCTTATGGCTGCCAATCCCAAAGATGAGGAGCGTCGTGCCCAATTGAAGAAGGAGAGAGACACAATTCAGAAAGCCCGGGAGCGTCTCGACGGTCTGTCGCAAGATGAGCTGTGTGAGTAAGTGGTCGGCACCGCAATAAGTCTACCGCAGTAACACCCCACGTTAATGCTTATTGTTACGAGACCCGGTCAGAATTGTCGACTTAATAAGGAGGTACGTTAGAAGTTGAAGAGGACTGTGCGCGAAAGGGTCTTGAACGGAGACGTTGACATCAAACTGAGGGATCTCCATGTCAGCGTCGTTAGATAGATCAATAGTCTCGCTATGCATACCTCAACTGAAGCCTTGACCCTCTATAGATATCAATGGTGAAGCTGTAGTCCGTGGCATGCTATTGCTTGAAGCAATTTGTGACTCGCACCACGTTCGCTGAGAATGAATCATTGCACGTGACTTCATAATCTCGCGTAGCCATCTATTTTTCGGGACTCAATTCAAATGCCCGTCCTTGCCTTCTTCCCTCCGCAACAACCGTGAATGCGACCTTGATGAAATTCCTCCGTGTGAATTACCATTCATGTCACAGTCAACGCCAGATGGCAACCCTTCTCAGGAGGAGAACGACCGGCCGGTGAAGCTTCCAATACGTACAAAGGACGGGCAAGAAGCCATGGACCCCACAGAAGATCCCTCAGGGGAGAAGATCAGGTTCGCTTTCATCCCACTCCAATCACTGCTCCTTCTGACCCTGTCACAGCAAGAGTGAGCAGAAGAGACGTCAGAAAGAGAAGGAGCGTGAGGAGAAGAAGGCGGCCAAAGCGGCAACCGCCCCACCCCAGGCCGAGAAAAAGGTGTCTGCTGTCGCTCAGGAAGCTGAATTGACGCCAAATGTAGGTTTCTTGCGGTCCATCCAAGAGCGACGAAGGACGCTGAATCTTGGTCCTTGCCCCGTAGCAATATACAGAGATCCGATCGCGCACCGCCCGCGAACTCCACCGCGCCCCTCATTTCGACATTCATGGGGCCAACCCCCCGCATAATGAAACCGTGGGTGGATTCATACCGAAATACCAGCATATCAAGACAGGCGAGCACCTCAAAGACGTGGAAGTCAGTCTCGCAGGCAGGGTTTTCACCAAGCGAGAGGCAGGACCCAAGCTCATATTTTATGATCTGAGGCACAAGGGCGGCAAGCTCCAGATAATGTGTCAAGCTCAAGAGGCAGCGGGCCCGTTGACTTTCGAACAACAACATGAACATATACGGCGTAATGACATTATATGGGTTACAGGCTACCCGGGACGGACAGCTCCAAGGAATCGACCCGAGGGCGAACTCTCCCTATTCGCAAGAGAAGTCAAAATGCTTACACCAAGTCTACACCAACTCCCATCAGATCACTATGGTTTCAAGGATCAAGAGCAAAGATACCGACAGAGACACCTGGACTGGATCATGAACGAGGCTTCGGTGGATGTCTTCCGCAAGCGTCATGAGATTATCCGCTACATCCAAAAATTCTTCGACGGGATGGATTTCATTGAGGTGGAGACCCCTGTATTGACCGCTATAGCAGGGGGAGCGACCGCCAAACCTTTTATGACGCACCACAACGAGCTGAACATGACCCTCTACTTGCGGATCGCACCAGAACTAGATCTCAAGAAAATGATTGTTGGTGGGTTCGATCGAGTCTACGAAATAGGCAAGCAATTCAGAAATGAAGGCATTGATTTGACCCACAACCCGGAGTTCACGACCTGCGAGTTCTATATGGCATACGCAGATGTGTTTGATGTCATGGAAATTACCGAAGATCTGGTATCTGGTTTGGTGAAGCACGTCACCGGCAGCTACGAGACTAAGTTTGACCCCCAGACAGGGGAGCAGTACCACATCAATTGGGCAAAGCCTTGGAAGCGTGTCGAGATGATACCAGCTCTCGAGGAAGCGTGCGGAGAGAAATTTCCGCCTAGCACGGAGCTACATACGGAGGCTTCTACCGATTTCCTCAAGCGTGTTCTCAAGAAAATGAATATCGAATGCTCGCCACCGCAAACAAACGCCCGGATGCTGGACAAACTTGTTGGCGAATTCATCGAAGAGAAGATCGTTAATCCCACATTTATCACCAATCACCCTCAGATCATGTCTCCTCTTGCCAAAGTACACCGCAAGCATCCGGGTCTCTGTGAGCGGTTCGAAGCCTTTGTCTGCAAGAAAGAGATCGTAAACGCTTACAGCGAACAAAATAATCCCTTCGCGCAACGAGAAGCTTTTGAGGAACAAGCCAAAATGAAAGCCCAGGGCGATGATGAAGTGCCGGCCATTGACGAGAGCTTCATAACGGCTTTGGAATATGGGTTGCCACCGACTGGAGGCTGGGGTATGGGAATTGACCGCCTGGTCATGTTCTTGACTAACCATTACAACATCAAAGAGGTACTTGCCTTCCCTTTTATGAAGGATGACCGGAGCCAGGGCAAGGACAAAGGGGCTGTAGCCGAGGGAGAAGCCGTAGTGACCGGTCTCGATGGGGGGATTTGTAAGTCAAAATCTGCAGATTCGGGGGATTTTGTGATCTCGTCTCACCCATTGTACAGTGCACAAATAGACACGGACGATTGAAATGGGAATCTAACCCGAAGAGTGAGACCATATGAGCCGGTGTGAGGGGTCGTCAGCCAATCAGGGTTACGTGGGTTGTACGACCTCAAAAGTTTCATACCTGAGATACCACACTCGAGTGAATAGCCAACACAAAGAGGATAGGAATCATACAGAGCACATTCACAGCTTCGTTTTCAGTTTGTGTGAAATGTTCATCTTAGCAGATTGCCCGCAGAAGTTTTCATTCACACTGGTGAGAGTTGCAGTGAAGTGTTGAATTTCTTACTCTCGAGATTTCACTTCCCCTCCGCCCATCTCCGTTACTTAAGACCTCTTCTCCACCCCCTTTGACTACAAATACTTCTTTAACACATCACAAATCAACACTTGCAACCACACTTCCACCCATCAGCATAAAATCCAAAGTTTCTATCTCTTGAGCTTTGATTCGGCCATCAATCCCCTCAATTCTTCAAAGGTGGTACAACCTCACCGCCACATCATGGCAAGAACAATCCACACAGCCAGACCCAACCCTCCAACACCGGTCTCCGATCCAACAAGGAGCGCACCAAGCGTGTCTCGGCTCCACACCACCTTTGTAGAAGTCCGGGTCCACACCGCCAAATGCGACTCGTGTGACAGGCACAACAAGCTGACCCTGTACCGCTGCACGGAATGCGGCCAGCACGTGTGTTCGTTGTGTTGGCGCAAGTCCGGGGACGGGACCCATGTCTTCGGTGGTGGATTGCACGATGTGCCTGGATTGGACGCTAACCATCTCGTCGAGGACGATGATGCTGAAAGCGAGCGGGGATATAAGAAGGGGGGTAGGACGTATGCTAGAAGGAGAGTTCAGGTCATCAGCGACGACGAAGATGATGATGTCACGATGTTGGAGCCTGCTCGCACAACGGAGAACGCAGAGGTGAATGATGCAAGCAGGCAAGATGGGAAGGAAATAACCGTCATCATGAATGATGACCATCACGAAGACCATGAAGATGACTTGCCCAGATTGTGGCCTGTCGTAGCATCCGGAGAATTGCCAGTGTTGACGCCTGTTGTACCAGCTGCCAACACAACTGCATCCGAGAGCGTAACCCGGGCGACGCAGAGAGATCCTCACATCTATAGAGGGGAAGGTGACTCAGAGCACCAGAGGATCGTGCGAGTTTATGACAGCCTAGGCAGACAAACAATGTCTAGTCGATATGCCTTTGTTGGCGACCAGGAGACAAGCCTTCAAGCTCCTCGTCCCGCTCCACCCTTAATGGCACACCAGCAGGCCGCTGAGTTGGCTCCTGATCAGATCAGACCCGCCATCTACCGCCCCCGGCCTGGGGCAGATGTGGATAAGCAGGCGGCTCGCAACCAACTTGCTTTCGCCAACAGCCGACTAACGAATCGTCAAGCTCCTCGGCCAGACAAAGCCCCCATCTCACACGAGCAGGCGGTCCATCCGGCTCCTCGTACGGCGCAAGCCTCCATCTCTCCGCAGCATGCTCACACTGCAGCAAACGTGGACCGGGTGGCGGTGCGCAGTCAACAGATCCTCCGCTTGACCCAGCAGGCTCAGGCTTACGCGAATGCAAAGCAGATGGAGGCTCGCAATGGACAGGCCTTGAGCTCACACCAGAATACGCGGCCGGCAGCAGATAGGGACCAAGTAGCGGCTCACAACCAGCAAGCGTTCATCTCAAACCAGCTGTCGTCATCTGGTGCAACCTATGTGGAACAGATGATAGCGGCTCGCGATCGACAGCAGGCCTATCTCTCACGCCAGCAGGCAAATCATCCAACGCCTGGCCCAGCCCAAACCTGGGTCTCATACCGAGGTGCTACTAATACACCTCGCTTTCCAGCTCAGGCCTTCCTCTCACAGCAGCATGCGGCCCTCTTGACTTCTCGTCAGGCCCAGCATCGGATAGCCACTCAAGATCATGCCAATGGACCTTCGGGGGGTGTCCAGGTTCGAGAGGTATGTCCGCCAGTCCCCATCAATTCGAATAAGAAACACTAACATCAGCCTCAGCACTCTCCAGAAATCCTCGAAGCAGCCGACACCCTTCTGTTCTACGCCGGAGTAGATCAGACTCCGGGAGTTCGTCTCCGTTCGGAACAAGATGAGGATGGTGTCTCACGGTTGGTCAGTGCAGCTGGTCAGCTTGAAAAAGCAAGCTCTGCCCGTTCTAAGCCCCACTCGTCTTCGAAGACTTTTGCCGGTGGGTCTGGAGCAGCTGGAACACACTCTAATAGCTCACGTGGTCCTGCATGGAAACCGAGTCGGAGAATTACGGACGCTGATTCAGCAAAAGCTCGACTCGACAAGCATCGGGCTCGTCTTGCTGGTTTGCACTCACCAGCAGGTACTCAAAACACTTTTTCTGACCGACCAGTCAGCATACGAGGTCATCCAAGCTACCCTCATCCTGCGTTGCAGTCTGATCCAGGACGCATGCTCGCTGACTCCTCCGCTGCCCAGTTTCACAAGTCTAGCTTTCGCGGTGCCCAGTCGCACCCAGGCCCTAGGCTCCCTATGTCAGAGCATGCCGCTACGTATCTCAATCAATGGAACTCTGGTCGTGCTGCCATGTCCTCAAGCTCGAGTAGTACTGCCGTTGATGTGCCGGCTACCCGACTTAATCACACCCACTCTCCTGTCTCAGCACTACATCCGCGTTCAACTATTAGTGTTCAGGGCATCACAGCTACTGGGCGTAGCTCAGAAGAGGCCGCGGAGGCTAGCACTCAGGCGCTGAGCGCTCCGACGTCCGTGTCCGGAGGACTGAATGATGTCGATGTTGTGATGGGTAGCCCTGATGTCGAGATTTTCGAGTACGAAGAGTCTCGTCGTAGTGAGACACGGGCTCCGGAGAATAACGCTTGGACAGTTGGAATGGTTAGGGATGCCGAAAAGGCTCGTGCTAGGGCAGCTGGGCCAACCTCCGAGCTGCACGCCGAAGGCAAAAGCGAAAAGCATCCGAGAGACGAGAAAAAAGGTCACCGTAAAACTAACAAGGAGCACAAGGCGTCAGGCGATGTCGATTTTATTGACGCGAGGAAGAGAAACAGCAAGGACAAGCACTCTGAACAGACCGATGACGATGATAGTGACATCGAAATTACCTATTGGAATAAGTTGGACAGCAACAAGACGGCTGAAAACCACCGGGATACAAATGCTGAGGCAAAGGGACCCAAGCCCGCCAACATCATCAAGAAAGGCGTGTCGCACATTCAGAAGCCAGCACCGAAGGGTCAGAAGGGGAAGACGACGGTGCACAGAAATTCTTTGGAGCTGAGAAGGATGTGACGACAGCAAGCGAGCAGTGACTTTTCTCTTGAGGCGAGATGCTTACAGCCTAAGGTAAATGCATATTGTAATAAGCTTCGGTCTTGTACGATGGGGGGCATGCATGCTGTTAACCATAGCAGGTTTTACGATAAGGGGGGCATGCATTCTGTTAACGATAGCAAAAATCGAGATAGCGAGTGGAATAGATTATGCAGATATATAGCAGAAATGCGGTGAACAACATGAGTCTCCCAAACCTTTAGTAATAGTACTGGCTGAGTATCCCCTCATCTCAGAAGTCCTGAGTCTGGGCATCCGACAATCACTCCCAATTTCGATGTCAGTACCTCTTTAGTGGGTATCAATCTCGCGTCTTCTCAAGTCAGAATACATATTTCACTCACTACATCTACGCAGATTCCGGAGTCAGCAAAGTCCATTCGAGGCAGAAAAAGGAGCTGCAAGACAGGTCTCGGGAGTAGAAAGGTCCTTTTGCTCCCGAGACATGTCTCGTGACTCGATCTTATTACCGACGAGGAAGAATCAGCTCCGCAATGTACGAACCATGAAGGCTTTTTGGATGCCCTTTTTGACCTTTTTCCAAACGCTGTCTCTCACTGCATATCACCGCCTATCAGCTTCCTAGATACTCTGACATGGACTCAAACAAGATACTTACAAGGCGGCAGACCCTCACTCGCACGTTTAGCGTTTTCCGCCTCCCTCTTCTCCTGCTCGTCTTTTTCTACCTGGGCCTTGATAGCTTCGTAATTGGCGTTATCCTCCTGGTTCTGAGGCGCGGTGCGAGCGCCAGGACCTATCCAGCCGGAAGACATGCTACTTGATGTTGATTTGCGGCCGGAAATGGGTTGTTGGAGCGGTCGTCTGGTATTAGGGCGTGGGGAAGGGTGGCGCTTGGCTTGGTTCTTTCGAATAGAGGAGATCAGGGAGGCTTGTAAGGCTCAAAGACTATGCATACTATGGAACAAGTTTGACATCGAGATAGGAAAGGGGGATGAATATATAGCCTTTGGAAGAGGTTCAAAGGTACCAAAAACGGTGGCTTTGCAAAAACAGGCTGTCAGGAATATCGGATGGATCTACTTACACCGAAGAGAAGAGTTGCTGTTAACGTCGGCATCTTTTCCTGATGCTAGAGTTCACTGCCTCAATCGAGGTCTTGTGGCATTGATGCGGGATTTTCAACCTATGCACCATGCCATGCCGATCAAAATGATCGACAAGTCGATAAATCAACAAAAGCTGTGGTGGATTCCCTCTCGATTGTTGTACTGATTGGGAAAGAGCAGCTCTTCAAGCTCGAAATTCGGGGCTGCTGATGCTGCTATATTTACTCGTAATGTATACGATCAGCAAAGTGAGGCTTTTTGTTAGACTCTCTCTCACTGCCTTTAACCACAGTTGTCGGAATCGTCGGCGTTGTTGGCGGGGTCACGCGGCGCATTTTAAAAACAAACGGCGCTCAGGTAGCGGGAGAGTAGCGTTGATCTTTATCTTATCAGATCGATCTAATGTGTGAACGCGCAGTTCCATGATGCCTGCACAGGGCACTTGCGACAAATCAACAAGCTAGACACACACGCTCCTACACTCTCTTCAATCGCCTGACACTGCCACCACTATTTGTACCGCCTCAAAATCCAAGTGAAGATCTCTTATCATCGAAATGGCGTCTTACGAAGGTACTCCACTCCTTTCGCCCTCCTCGTCACAAACCCCCACTAACCTCGCTCGCACCAGTCGAGCACAACGTCCCCAAACCCTCCACTACGGAGCCTGCTCATCCTCCTCGCCGTCCTGACCTTTCCACCTTCTTCTCCACTCTCCAACACGTCGATACCACTGACGTATCAAACGGCAACGCATTGCCAGTACCCGGTGATGTCTCTGCCGCCTTCAGAACGCTGGCCGAGGCATTCGAGAGAATGAGACCGGATCGGAGTGGGGAAGGGCCTTTGGATGGCATGATAGAGCTTTTGGTTGCGAACTCGCAGGCGCCGCCGAAGGAAGTGAAGGGGGTTAGTCAAGGGTTTTTGGATGGTGAGTGAGAAGTCTACCCCGGGGAAGACTGGGCTATTGCGCCGCTACTGCTTGGATTTGAAGGAAAAGCATTCCGGGACTTTCTCATGTTTCAAGGTACCGTTCTACGGTCCCATGGCTGACCCTGGCTACGCCTGCAGAGCTCGAGCGAGTGCCGAACAAGCTTCTGAAGCCGTCAATGGACTGCCCAATTTGCGGCAATCCTTTCTTAGATGGTATATCTACAGCCACACCATTTACTGCTTTCTTCGCTAACACCGGGTTGCAGATGAGTATCCTCTCGTCGTGCGTCTCCCATGCAACAGAAACCACATGTTCGATCTGGAATGCATAGCACCCTGGTTGAAGTTGCACGCTACATGTCCCCTGGACAGGAAAGATCTGGTAAAGGAGAAAGAGCCTCCTCCACCACCCAAGGACGAGGAAGAAGATGGGGAGTGGGACGACATGTATGCATGATTGGCGAAAATTTGATGTAGTCTTTGAGCGAGCATTGTCCAGCGACGAGGCACAGTTTAGATATCCGAACGAACATTTCAGAATCGTCCACACAACCATCTACCCATCTCACCCAATCAACAAAAGAAAACGTACAAACATCGGTCCACTCCCCAAGCCAGCACGCCTATTCGCCCGTCTACCCCGCTCCACCTCCCCCCACCATGCCCCCCTCCCCACCCGCATCCCCATTCCCCACAATCGACATATCCCCCTTCCTCCACCCCTCCACCCCATCCCGCCTCCACTCCACCTCCGCCTCCCTCTCCGCCGCCTGCACCAACCCAGGCTTCTTCTACCTCACGAACCACAACCTCAGCCGCGCCCTCACCTCCCGCGTCCTCGCCCTCGCCCGCGCCTTCTTCCTCCACGCCCCCGCCGCGGAGAAGGAGCGGATCAGACGGCTCGGCGTCGGGGTCGGGAAGGGGGACGGGGCGAGGGGATACCAGGTCGTGGGGGACAACGTGACGGAGGGGAAGCGGGATTGGCACGAGGCTATCGATTGGTACAGGCCTGTGAGGGAAGGGGAACCGTTCGAGTGCGCCGGCGGCGGGAGGGAGGATGGCCGCGACGGTGGTGATAGGGAAGGGCCGTACGAGCTCCTCAAGGGGGTGAACGCTTGGCCGGCTTACCCGGAAGGGTTCAGGGAGGTGTACGAGGAGTATGTGGAGAAGATGTCGGAACTGGGTACGGCGGTGGTGGAAGCGATGGGTCTAGCGCTCGGCGACGGCATGGAAGAGGTGTTTGTGGGGAATACGAGGAGGAGTGCCTGGGTCATGAGGGCGATTGGTTATCCGCCTTTGCCTGAAGATGGCACGGCGGGCAAAGACGAGGGTGGTGTGTCCTGTGGCGCCCATTCGGACTACGGCTGCGTGACGCTTCTACTCGCCGACGAGACAGCCGGCGCGTTACAAGCTTGGGTCGAGAGTGAAGGGGAAGAGGGTAGATGGGTGGACGTTGATCCAATGGATGGAGCCCTTGTTGTGAACATTGGAGATATGATGTCTCGGTGGAGCGGAGGAAAGTGGAAGGCGACGAGACACAGAGTTTTGCATAGAGGAGGGGGATATCGGGTCAGTGTGCCATTCTTCTTTGAGCCTGATTGGGATGCTGAGGTGCCTGGGAAAGAAGGGGAGGAAGAGGTGATCTATGGGAAGTATTTAGAGGGGAAGGTGAAGGGGAACTTTTGATGATAGTGCAAGAGGGCGAGATTGGGATGGGGCGATGTGATGCATCTGAACGTAAAGCGTGAGGTTTAGAACATGCTAGAGCAGTGATCATCTATGCAGTAATCTCGTCTAACTTTGGAATTCGGGACTCTTTTCTGAGCGTTTTCCGTCTTGGAAAGGTGCTTAGTAGCAACCAGCAGCTACTAAATCGTGATATGTCTATTAAACAGTCGTTGTCCTGCGTCGTGACGGGCAGTACTGAAGATTTTCCTACATAATGACTTCGTTCGTAACGTCCTGCATGGTTATAAGCTTCAGATTTGCAACGAATAAGAGGAGTCACATACTCGCTTTAACTCTTTATTAGGCAAGCAGACGCAATTTTGCACCCTCACTTCATCACCAACCCCACAATCTTTTCCCAGAATAGTGATGCTCTGCACTTTGACACCGTTCTTGACAATGCTTGTTGTATGACTACCAACCGGTGTCGGCGTGCCCTCAACTCTAGCCCAGGCTCCTACACGGCTATTCCACCCGATGATCGAGTATAGCACGCAAGCGTCGTGCTTGATCTCCGCGTCTTCTAGAACAATAGACTCTTTGACTCGAACACCAGCGCCGATGACTGCACGGGGACCGATGGAGACATTTGGGCCAAGCTTGGCGGTGGGGTCGACATCTGCTGTAGGGTGGACGAACACTGGTGGTAGGATATTAGCTGACGGAGCAGCGAGCTCTTCCGACTGAGACTGGAAAGCTTTCTGGAGGTATAGAGCATTAGCTGGTACTGCTGAGCCGGCAGTCTTGATCTGACGCCAGAAGTCCTTGGTTTCAAGGACGAAGAATTGGTTGCTGTCCGCTAGGTCGGACAGGATATCTTGTTCTAGGCGGAGCACCTCGTTCTTCTCTCCGTCCTCCAGCTTCTCGGCGAAGAACGAAGAATCCAGGTTCTCAGATGATGGATAGGAAACGAGGCGGGGTCGGTCTGCACGACGCTTGATTGCAGATCTGATGGAGGGGAATATGGTTTCCGTCGAGAAGAGGTAGACACCGCAATTGATCAAATTCGAGATGTGTGACTCTGGCTTCTCGACGTAATGGAGGACTTGTTTCGTTTGTGCATCCGAAACAATGCACCCAAAGTTTGTCGCAGCATCATTGCTAACCCTTGTTCCAAGGATTACGGCCTCTGCCTTTTTCTCTTCGAAGAGCTTGAGCATCTGCTCGAGTGGAAAAGAGCAGCAGACGTCGGCATTGAGGACGAAGAAGCGATCTGGACCACCTTTGAGAATGGCATCACGAAAATGGTATAAGCCGCCAGCTGTGCCTAGAGCTTGGTATTCTCGTAAATATTGTATGCGTATTTGGGGCAGCTCTCTTGCAGAGTCTTTGATGAACTCTCGAAACACACTCTCGTCATAGTAGCCGACTAGAATGACCTCTCGAATGCCCGGTACTTTGGCTACAGCTCGTAGGCAGTGCCAGATGATGGGGTGTCCTGCTACGTCAAAGAGAGGCTACAGCACAGTGTCAACGCTATACTTTTCGAGACTCTCGTAGGAACACTAACCTTGGGTACATCGAGAGAGAGTGGTCTGAAACGGGTTCCCCTAGAGGGTCCGCCGACCTGTGGCAAGCATGAGCTCAAGGTCCTCTCCGGTGGTGCACCGAGCTTACAAGGATGACAGCCTTCGTCGAAGCTGTTGTAGCCGAAGTGCCATTGGCCTGGCGAGTCGGGACTTTGAGACTCATGTTGATTTCTCAAGACTTTAAACGTCGGCTGTAGCTATTTTTGAAGCTCTGTGTGGATATAAAGCAATTCGTGGTTGAAAGAGAGCAAGACCAGCTTCGTGGTCTGTTCCACCGTTGAACAAAGGACGACCAATCAAAATTCCACGCCTAACGAGACCCTGCAGATTTGCCAAGCTCTCGCTTAGATCTAGTAGCCATAATTAAAGTGATGCACGTCATGCTAGCGCCTGCTTACACGTCAAGCCTCAGAGCAAGAGCCTCAAGCCCGTGCGCCTATCTGCAAGGTACCAACCAGCGAAGGATCCCTGATTAATACATTACACGCGCCTGTTCAAGAGAGGATTTAGGTATGATGATGGAATTCTGTGTACTAGATATTATGTATTTTCATGCAAGTCTGTTGTCTATAAATTCGAGCTCTATCAACCCGTCATTCAGCGACTCTGCGGCTTGTTGAGTCCTCCCTGGTTTTGCACAAGCGTCTCCAGAGGAAGCATTGAAGTGCTTAGTTGGGCCTGACAGCATGATTGCCATCCTTCGTTTCAGGGTGCACGTAACACGTCGCGCTCGAAGCCTCAAGTTGGAAATCTCAAGCCGATGAAAGCCAGCCATGTCGATGACACCAATCTCAGGACTAGAAAGCTCGTTGAAAAGAAAGCGCGAGGTTTCCCGGTCCTGATCATCGAGACCCCAGCCACCATGGCTGATCCGACCTTCATAGACAGCTGCAATAACCTGTACTAAAGCATATTGTGTCCTTGATCTTGAAGGTTTCCATGAATTTGTGAAGATAGCTGGTAAAAGTGATGTGCGGCGATGAATTGGATGCGTCACCGAAGGCTGAATTGCTCAGGCCGCAATGCCTGAACAATGTTGATCACTTCTGCATCAGAGAGCGATGGTACGGCTTGTCTATCGAGCGAGTTTGTCAGTATTGTTCGTCGCTGTCGGAAGTCACCCGAGTTGCACTTACTTTGCTACCTTAGCCACGTGGCCTGCAGTGATGTTGCTTGGAAGTGTAAAGTCACCGATCTCACTGAGCAGGGTAGCATAATCTAGCGTGCTTCGAATTTTGCGAGTCTCCGCGGTGGTTATGTTTTTTGCCTCTTCCTGAGGAATCACAAGATCGCCTATTTGACCCTCAAGGTCTGAAGCAGATTGCACCGATGATGAACCGCCGAGCGTTTGGGCTGGAGCTTCTATAGTGACAGTTGTATACTGCACCAAGAATAGCGCAATCAATGGTAAAGTCGACAACATGCTATGTCAGACGTGAGTATGAATGTTGATGGAGATTGTGGTGTGTGGCTTCGGTAAGCTTGTCAATATTTAGAAGTTGGTGTGGTTGAAAAACAGCGATCCGTTTTTATACATATCTTCATGCCCCAAAGGATGTGACGTCGGAACTGCCACCGTACCTTAGAATTAACCTCCACGAAAGTGCCGCACTGTACTCCACCATCATGCATTTTCTAGCTTCTCATCGGCTCTGCGATATCCTACTTACTTTTCATGTGTTGTGGCGCGAGAGATCGCTAGCGCTATCAGAGCAGTAAATGGTACCTGGGCGAGCACAGCTGACTGGCTCAACAATTTCTAGCTCGCCAACCATCGCATCGTTGAAGATTGTCGCTTATGCAAAGACCTGACCGTCTGATGGGATTAGAAAATCTATGTCTCTGTCTCATCGCGTGTCGCGTACAGCATAAAGTCATTGGCAGGAGGGCCAACCCGAGATGACATCTCTAACCCCCAAAATGCAGAGATAAGACCAGTACGCTCTCTGTAATGATAATGTTTCATAGGGTGTCCCACTTTGTATGCTCCTCCTGGATTGGGTCGAAATATTTGGAAGCTTTATGTTGACAACAAATGAAACCCAGAGACCGCCCACTCATTTCTCTACTTAACAGCACGTTTTCATTAATAATCAAAGTCCTCATAGACAGTCGTCTTCCCCGGTAGCCAAGCCAATAGAGATTCACGTAGTGTACCTCCTGTGCACAGATACCATATCGATGACCCGTCTTGATGTCCTTCGACATCGGAAGCTACCATACGTCTAGTGGCGATGTGAACGCCGTAAACCTCAAGCATTTGAATTTGGAGGTTACTTTCTGGGGGTGACTGTTCGCTGAGTCTAGATATGAATATTCTTGTGGACGGACCCAACTCGGGACAACGCTCGATAGTATCGATTACTAACCCAATGTCATGGACGTTGATTGTCCAAAATAGCTGTACGCGTGCCAAGTCCAAAGTATGTAGTTGGGCAAGAAGAGGCGTAATACCGATACCACCAGCGACGAATGGAACCATGCCCTTAGGGCCTTGTTGGATGGTGAAGCTGCCTCCAAACCCTTTCAGTGGGACTTCGAGTCCACTGCGTACGTTCTGTCGGAACAAGAAATTTGTGACAGTCCCAACGTTCCGAATTGTGATTTCGAACTCATCTTCCGGGAGCTCACCAGGTGATGACGAGACCGTGAAGGTCCGTACGAGGTCATCGTTCAAGCTCTTTGGATCATCGTCCCGCATGTGGCTGTAGCCCACTGATAATTCGTTTTCAAAAGCTAGAGCCACGTACTGGCCTGGCGTCCAACGCCCTGACGCTTCAGGATCACTTATGCTAAACCGGAAGCGTGCAATTGTGGGAGCAAGCCGATCTCTCGCCAAGAATTTCGCATAGACCACCTTGCTGTTGTTGGTCTGTGCATCGGCAATGGCTTTTTCCGCGGGAAGATAACGGACGGGAGGATTGTATGGCGATCGCTCGAGATTGTCGCCTCGGAAAGACAAGCTATTTTTAACGAAGCGGGCTGCCAATACGTGCAATTTTACAACGAGGTTGGACCGGGGAAGAACGGTCGGTGCCTCTTTGCCAAGCACAATCTCAGTGGTAGTTGTAAGATACAGAGCGTCTCCGCTGTCAAAGTCTGGAAAGATCAAACCAGCCTGAGGAGTTGTGTACAGATTCCCCAGTGTCTGATACAACCTGTTACCACTCAATTCTGGGTACACCAGAACGGACTCAAACGCATTGTTCTTCGCCACACGAACAAAGCCTGGTTGCCCACCACGATGGTTTGTTCCCATGTTCGATTCATGATTCGATGAAGAAAGGAAGAACATGTCAGCCTTAGCGAGCAGCCTTAGAGCCGGCTCAGGCAAAGGAAGGGTATCGGACAGCAGCAAAGGTTCCGGCAGAGATTGCACTATTTGTTTTTGGTTCAAGTACTTGGGACAATTGCCTGTATTCTCACTTAGCCTGAAGGTAAACCACGCCTATCATTACGTACCTAAGCTTTGCTGGATAGCGAAGACTAACTGGACCTCCGCCGCACCACTTTCATCTGCGTCTGCTTCCCGTGTATGATATCTAAGAGCACCAGTAACCATCTTTCCTGACAACTTTACCCTGCCTCTCGTCGCTAGATGTATTCCCAGAGCCGAGACCAACCGTCCATCCCCTTTCTCTTCGTGGACTTCCCCATCTTTTTTGTCGCCCAACAAAATCCCAATCACGGGATCGAACTTCCGATCAACTAAAGTCTTCACCACGATGATGGATTGGCCCAAAGACCGTGCAAAACCTGGTTCGCCACCCAGCAACGTAGTCCAAGGACGTCCTTCAGCATCCAACGTACCAATGGCTAGTAACGAGGAAATATGTAGTACGCGCCTAGCATACGGACTGAGGCCAGGAGATGTAGGATTGTCTCCATCAGGGACACGGAGGAGTGACCGCATTTGCTTCTCCCCTTCATGAAAGCGAATTGGAGCTGTGTGTATGGGCACCATGGTGGCTTTTCTTGAAAGAAAAAGCGACGGCAAGGACGACCTCAAACATTATCTTGAACAGATAGTACACTGTTCAACAACGACCCGATTGTTGGGGAGTTAGGCCACTTAATGTAGATAATTTCGCTGTTGCGAGTCCAGACCCTAAAAACCGTAGAGCCATGGTTCAGTAATCCAGGAACTTCAAACTGCAATTGTCAGCATCTACAAACTCTATGATGTAGTTGTGGAATGATCAGCGGTTCATGCTAAGATTCACTGGCCGTACCGTACGAGTATGCAGTGATAGTGATGGCGATAGTGGTATTCATCCAACCTTCACGCCTATGAGGTTTATGCCACACAATATATAATAGGTTTCCACTCAGAAGTTTCCGGATCCCACCCGCTTGTTGATTCGGATCTGCATATACTCACCAGCTTGTTTGCGGGGTTCGTGGGCGGGGCGGATCGCCGCTTGGTTGTTGGTAAAAATCGCAACCGGGGTGCCGCCGCTGTCGATAGTGGCCATGTCCAAGGCCATGAGGATGCCGTAGAGCTCTCCAAAGTAGACTGTGTAGCCGGTGTCGGGGCCTGGATATGCACTTTTGGTATCGGCGACGATGAGACCAATTTTTGAAATAGGGTAGAACCATCATGAGCACTGCGGCGCGAAACTGATTAGTATGCAGGGGAAACCCTTTTCCGTCTCCGGAGGTGCCGGTCTTGGCATTGTTTTGAGACCGCACTCAATCACGGCGACTCTAGTTCATTCGATACCGCAACATGGCTGGAGACACGGCCGAGGAGCTTGAGATATTTCGCCAACAATGGCAACAAGAGGTAACGCAGCGTGCAAAGGGAGCAACAAACGCATCAGTCAATATACCTGCACGACCGCCACGCCCATCACAGAGTAGCAGTGGAGCAATCCCACCTGAACGAGCAGCCCCTCCATTGATTCGCAGGCAGACCAGAGAAGCAGAAGAGTACCCCGAAGACCTTGGAGAAGAGAGTCATCATGATCTAGAAGACAAGGATGAGGAACGAAGATTAGAGGAAGCTGGAGAAAGAAAACACCCAAGCAACAAACGAGAACCACGGTCGGCTTTAGATCACTATGAGCTGGCAGTTGAGAGGGAGTCGGAAGGTAGTCTGGGGGACAGCTTGAACCATTACCGGAAAGCCTACAGGGTACGCATCGACCGATTCCAATTAGATAAATGTCCGTTATTGACCCAAATCCAGCTCGATGCAGGCGTCGACCGCATCTACAAGAACAAGCACTTCCCGCCCTCGTCCTTTAAGTCGAAACCGACCAACCCCAACCCATCAAATGCCGCTGTAACTGTCCCAAACCCTGCTCACCACTCCCTAGACGGGCCCCCCGCCTCGACCATATCCGAGCTCATAGCCTCCTTCTCCTCCCTACCAATACCAGTGCTGGAAGTACCCACAGACAAGTCCCCCCAACCGTCATGTCCTCTCTCAACGATTCCTTCAGAGATTCTCATCAACGTCCTCCTTCAAACAGCGATCATCGACGTCGCCTCCTTTGCCCGCCTCTCCCTGGTCTGCAAACGCTTCGCCTATCTAGTCGCAACCGAAGATCGAATATGGAAACGTGTTTGCCTAGGCCCTGAATTTGGTTTCAGTGCTATGCACTACAATTGGACCTGCACTATCACCGGCGGCCCCCTCCCGATCTCCGTGGTCGACCTCGACGCAGACCTCGACTCACTTGAGCTCTCAGATACCACTCCTCTCCCGGATCCATTTGCCTTGTCGCCCACCTACCCATCCTGCCGTTACATGTTCCAAAAGCGGCCCCGCCTCCGCTTTAACGGCTGCTACATCAGCACCGTAAACTACATCCGTCCCGGCGGCAACACCGCCAGCCAGGTCACATGGAATACCCCCGTCCACATCGTAACCTACTACCGCTACCTACGGTTCTTCCGTGATGGGGGGTGCGCATCCTTACTTACGACCAGCGAACCCACAGACGTAGTGCACTATCTCACCAAGGAAAACATGCACACTCGCCACGCGGGCGGTCTGCCAAGTGCCGTGATGAACAACTGCCTTCGTGGCAGGTGGAAGCTCAGCGGTGATCCATACCACACTACAACCGGCGAAGAGGGCTACAAAGAAGAAGTCGGTGAAGAAGGCACTATTCACATTGAAACCGAAGGCGCAGACGCTGGCCACGCTAATCCAAAGTACATCTACAAAATGGCTCTTCAGCTCAGGAGCGCTGGCAGGAACGCAGGTGCTACAAGAAATAACAAGCTGGTATGGATGGGCTATTGGAGCTACAACAAGCTAACAGACGATTGGGCGGAATTTGGGCTGAAGAACGACAAGGCCTTTTTCTGGAGTAGAGTGAAAAGCTATGGGATTGGTGAGTAAGTGGAGCGTGGCTGTGAGTTGAAAGACGGGGTGCGTGGGGGTAGGATGAAGCGCAAAAGCGCTACTTACGATGGGATGACAGATGACTTGATGCATATTTCACATTTCCGATCTAGAGCCTACAAATGCACATACGGCTCGGATCGGAGATGACTTGACAGCCCTGTTTCAGATCGCGCGCACTTGAAGCGTATTTGCTCAAATCGAATAAGCAATGTTTTGCCCCCCCCTCTTGCTCTGCAAGATAAGGACATTATGTACTTTTCGCTGACGCTCTCTGTACATGCTCATGCCACCCAATCAGCCGCCGAAATCTTCAATTGAAGAACCCCCACGTCCTTCAACCTAACCCGAACGCTCCCGCGTTGAAACGAGTCTATCCGCCGATGCTCAACGCCGAAGTTGCTCCTTGATCTTATTCCAGATCATGCTGCTAACCTCAGAGGGTAACCCCTGTTTCAAAATTCCAATCAATCATAAACGTTCATTAAAACTCGTCAGCGCAGCTCCAATTGAAATGCCTTATACCGTGGCCCCAGCACCTGGCACTTCGGACAAGGCCTTGGTCTGCCCATATGCTGCTCACTACTCAGCCTATAGATGCAATCGCTACAGAATCCGCTGATACACTCGGTGCACGCATAGCTGTCTTTCAGCACGCTCAGTCTTCTACAACCCGCACAGTATATCTGCACCGGCTGGCTATAAAACGTTGGTGAAGTGGTATCCGAGGAGTTTGACAAACCTGCAGAAGGTATGTGAAAATTGCGGCCGGATGATTGAGTTGAGGTGGAGGAGTCGAGCGATGTCTCGACTGAGGGAAACAGCCTGGGACCGGTGAAGGAGTGTGAGGATGGTGGCGTGAGGGCCCTATGGAGCGGCGATGCTTTGTAAGATTGGTTGTTGTGAGACACGCTGGAGAAGGGCGGCATGGAGGCGCGTTTAACTGAGGAGGGCGACTGCGGTATCTGTTGTAGGGTGAGTGGGCGGAAAGGAGGGACAATGTTGATCTGCCGGAAGGTCTTACAGGCGTCAGGTCTCGATCAGAGTCTGCTTCTGTAGCGGAAGTTGCTGCATCAATCAAATCTTCCCACCTCTTGCCCATTGCGGCCGCTGCTGCCGCACCTGGCGGTTCTGCAGAAAATGCTTTCCTTCCCTCTATGCTTAATCTCCTCGAATAATCCTTTGATTTCGTCTTTTCGTGCTTGGGCTTCCGGCTGTTCTGGGTTATCGAAGACTTTCGAGGCCTATTGGCTTTTTCTTTTCTTTGTATGGAGTCTTTCCTTTGCAAAGGAGGTAGGGTGGAGGAGCGTCCAGGCGGTGAATGTGCCATCATTGAAGGAAGCAACTCTCTGGGTCTTGGCGAGTGGAATGGATGTATCAATTGCTGGTTGAGATGGGTTTGAATGGGAGGAAGTTCAATCGAAGGACGCATTGGTGGTTGACTCGCTTCATTCTCGGAGGCGTAGTCCTGCAGGGCGACTGTCAGTTGCCATTCGAGGTCTCAATGGAGGTTCAACTGCTCCGAAGAGACTACTCACAGCCTCCGAACCCCACTCTGAGTGCGGTTGATGGCTGTGAAGCTGCGCTAGGGCAACGGCGGCTGTAGCTGCAGCTGGGTATTGGTCTTCCAACGTTCGAGGAGGTGCGGGAGAGCTTCGCATGATGTATGCATCTCTATCGTGACCATAGACTGAACCATCAGCATCGGACCTTACTTGCCGGGGTTATTAGCATACCTGAATTGCCGAATGGCTGGGGAGGTGGAGGTGGAGGTGGAGGTGGAGGTGGAGGCGGTTGTGGGCGCTCCGACGGCGGGGTGTTGATCATGAGCTGGAAGCTCTCTTCGGTCGCAGGTAGCTTCGCAATATAGTGTTCCGGGTGTGCCCTTCGTATGTGCTCTTGCATCGACCGATACCGCTTCTCCTATAGATCAATTGGTGGTCAGCTTTCGTCGAGTCCAAGCTGAGTGAAATTCGCCCATTGTTTACGAGTCGCAAAGCTTACTCCCAGGCATCTTTTCCGACAATTCGACCCATCATGGTTTCTCAATGGACAGACAACCTCGTTATTGACATCAGATGCCGAGAAAGAGCTTGTAAAGGAGTTCTTCGGTGGCATGCCTGGCGGCTGTGGATCTAGCGATCGTTTGTCTGCAGGCAAGCGTGTTCAGCGAGTATCAGCTTCCAGGTATTTATTATATGGTAAGAATGCTTCTTCTTAAAGACCAATTGGCGTTAAGGACAGACGAAAGGATGTAGAGTAAGGTAAGCTTGAAGCTGCGATTGAGGGAAGGAGTGAGTGGAGTGGCATGTTAGCATCTGTTGTGGGAAGCTTGGAACGGCATGTGGTGGTTGGTGGGGACTAGTAGCTTTATCGATAGCCTCTGTGAGGGGCATTTTTGCCCTTAGACTTTTAGGTACTTAGAGCTAAGCACCCTTGTAGATCGACACCCTGGTAATATTGAATACCTAGGTATTAATGGCTGGAAAGGAAAGCTTGCATAAATATTGCGTCACGTGTACCGGGTAGTGCGGAGTAGCTCTTTGACATTCAATGCTTGGAATCAATGTCTTTCTTCCTTTCTTTTTTCTTCGATCCATGTACTGACTGCACTTTTGAGTTGCATTGCATAGTGCATGAATTCTAACATTCAATAGAGTAGAGATGGTATACCTGAACGCCAAGCGCTAAATAGTCGCAAAACATCTACCTTTCGACTCTCAGATCACCTCTTCTCTGTTCCAACCTGTTGGTTTGATATTCTCGATTCCCTTAGATGGATGTGGTCGGACCGGGTCCTCGTACTCGCTGACGAAAGGATTCGGGTCATTCTTTTGCTCGAGGTTGCCCAGGGTATGGTTGACCTCCCTATGCTTGGCCTCGTCGGCCCGAATGTACAACAGCAGATCTCGCATCGTTCGATGACCCTCCGGCATGTTCCAGTATTTGACAGCGATCTCTGGTGCCTCAAGCTTCTGCCATTTGGGAAGCCTTCCGGCCTCAATATCATGAATTGCACGGGTGTATGTCAGGACCGCTTCCTCCTCCAGGTACCCGACGAACCGGTGGCATGCCCGAGGGAAGAACAAGTAGCTCATGAAGAACATGTTATAGAAGACGCCTTGCGCACCGATGATCATTGTCTTCATGAATCGGCCTGGCTCGGCCATCTTCATGAACGTTAAAAGGTGCATGCGTTCGTTGTAGGCTTCTTCTAGGAGGGTTTCAATCCTATTACCATCGTCAGTCAGCCACAGTCTAGAAGAATGACCAGCTGATGCTTACCATCCGTTGTCTCTTTTCAACCGCCGTAGGCTGTGCAGATGCCGTACCGAGCCAGCAACCATGCCGGGGACTCCAGCGACGCTTTCGAGGAAGAGGAACCTGATGAGCCATTTCCGCTCGGTCATTGGTGATGGACCAAACCAGCTCTTGACTTTGCTGAGCCCGAGCCAACTGCCCATCTTCTTGGCCTCTTCGGTAGGATGACTATAGCCTGTGGCGGTGTCCATACCAAATCGCAACAGGCTCACCATAGACAACGCCCAAACGTCGGACCAGGTCTTCTTCTCGCGGTGGGCTACTTGAATAGCATTCATCTGTTGTTCCGTGTAACTGGCTCGGTGTTAGTTGTATGGGTACGTTGCATTGACGACACAAGGGTTCCTTGGTATTGCCAACAACATATGGTGGATACTTACATCGGGTGGTGCCATGCTGGACGGGTGATTTTAATATTCTTGGTGTCGGCTGGAGGAAAATACTTCTCCTTGAACTGTGTCCGAGGAGTGGTGGTAAAGTGTCGTCTCGATGGCCGCCTAGGGCGCTGGACCAGGCAATAGTTCGCACAGGGTCTGAAGCACGTAAAGCCTGATCCATCGACGAGGGTATGGACGGCGTGTGAGAGTTGTGCTGCAGCTCCTTTGTTGACAAGGACTGTTGTCGTGGGTCTTGCATTTGCATACATATATGATGCAGGTACCGGTATCAATATAGGTGATGAGGATCTCTCAAGAGGTTCAATTTAAGAGTATATGTTGAGGGTTGTTTAATGAAGGATAGGTAGTATGTATGAGTGAGCTAGATAGTAGGAGAACAAAGCAAACAAGGGTTTGCCGCTTATGTATGATTCACCTCCCCGAGCAATATTCGGAACAGCTCCACAAAACAAAGGCATCTGTCACGCGCTAGGGCAGTACACTCTTACTTCATTAAAGTAGGACGCTGATGTGTAAGCGGGAAAAACCGTTTCGCCGATGTGTGCTACACGAGATTGCCCAATGAAATAGAAAGGAAATAGACATAAGTAACAATATTAGAGTACGAACTCCGCCACTCTTGATATCGACATATTCCGAACCTCGCGAGGACCGAACGGATTTTCCGTGGCTCCGACTTTGGCTTGGCATTGTCAGGACCGGGAGAAATCGGATTCGACCCCTTTCACTTCCAGTACGAGTATGTGAAGTCACCACCACTGAAGTTGCAATCAGCCTCGTGACCCTCACCAAGTTGACGGAATATTGAATACAGGCAATCTGGAGTGGAAGTCGTCTTGATGCAAAGGAATAGAGGATCGAAGAGCCCGTCGACCAGTCTGATGCATGTCGTTGCCGAGGTTTAACCACTTTTTTGGTCTACATCACTCCCGCTGAACAAACTCAGCGAAACCTTATCAAAGCTGGCTTCAGGCCGCCGGGATGCCTCACATCGAAGTGCTTGCAAATTCGACTTCGATTAGGGCGCCTGGCTACACTCTGGTCCCTGACCATGGACAAGGCACCGTTCAAGCAGCCGTACAGCCAACAGTCGGTCGGAATAAACGCGGTACAAGATTCGCAGGAACCGCTGGCGCAGATACCACGGTCGCTCAACAGAATGCTGTCTTGAAACACTTGACCGACCTGGACAAAGACAGTCAAAGGGATGTCCAGATCGCTGTGCCATCAAAGCAGAGGGAGAGCGCGGGGAAAGGTTGAAGAACATTGGATACTTTTATTGGTGGCACTGGGAGGTTTCTGACTTGGCAAGCAGTACAGAAGAAGACCACGACGAATGTCCGCCGCATACTCATGTCCCAAAAGACGTTTGCCAACCATCTTGCCGATGAGGAGGCATTTCTTGCCCTACAACAGCAGCATCGATCCTCTGCCGCCCCTCGGGTACCAGCTCTGAAACCTTCCAGATCTACGCCGAACATGAAACGCTCTTCGACAACAGAAGTGCAGTCCACAAGTGGGGGACCCTCGCAAACAGGCACTGTACGTGCTGGTGGGATTGTCAACTCACGAGCCAAAGATCCTCTGGACGATGAGCCGTTGCTCAAATCCCAGGTGCCCTCCGCGCCGTCAGACGAAGTAATGGAGGCCCTTCTTTCGGGTCCTGCGCTATCCTACAATGCCGCCCGCGCAGCGCCTCCGCCTCCGGGGAAACCTCAAAGACACTTCTGCGAAATCTGTGGATATTGGGGCACCATCAAATGCATGAAGTGTGGAGCTAGGGTGTGTGGATTAGAATGCAAAGGCGCGCATGACGATGGACGATGCCTCAAATTCTACGCCTAAGGGCTTGACGGTAAGCTCTCGAGAGGGCCGAAGATTGCTCTACGAGTATACAAGAGCCGAGGGAATTGGTAGTAAAAGAATGGGTCAAAAATCATGATTAGAGGGAGACCTCTCAAATATGAAGTCCCACTGCGTCAAGATTGCAGGCAGGCAAGATCTCAAGAACAGTGACAGTATCTACCCTTAAAACACTATGAGTTCAATCAAGGAAGAGGCTTTTTTTGCGGTTTCGGGCTCAATATGTATTGTTTCCCATCTGTGAACAGCTTCTATAGGAAAGAGTAGCAAAAGACATGCATAGAGAGAATTTCAATTCACAGCAAGAGCAAGCTCCCCTTCTTTTCATTTACGCATATCTTGATGGATATTAATTGGAATAAACTGGCTGTTTCAATTCGAGGATGTTGAATAGAGAGGACTAACTGCATCAAAGCATTCCATTCGCAGATAAAATAACGGTCTTCTGCAGAGAACTCCGTCAAGTCCGGTTTCAGCGACGAGAGAGGGTGCCATCACTGGTGCCTGGGCGGCCTGTGAACCCCGTTGCGGCGTCTCCTCACCATCCCAAAACCTTTGTTTCACGACAAGTATACAAAACCCCAGAGTTGATGCGTCCCTCGGGCACCAAACAGCTCAAGTCGTGTCCACGCCGAGTCCTATGGCAACTCCGAGCATCGAGCCAGCCGCTAACGCTTGTGTGATCAGCATGTCTCAGGAATCTGATGAGGTCCGAGTCTTGTGAGAGTGTAGACGATGCGTAGTCACTCGCTATGACACGGGAACCTGACGAGTGTAGGTTCTACAAGTCGGAGCCTATACCAAAGAGACGTGAGGGTATCACGGCAGGATTTGTGGCAGAAGGCACAGGAAAAGCCCGTTCTCTACCGTAAGTTCCTCTTGGTCTGGGCTCGATAGGTTTTCTGATCTGGGTCAGACCAATTGGTGGAAAGCGTAAAGTCGTTCGAGTTCCTTAAACTCCCTCGTCACCGGATCTTCAGAGGATTTGCGGGTCATATACTGGACAAAGTGCCGGTACGCCCAAAAGAATTGGGGTTCCTCGAGCAAAGCGCCGATCTCTTCGCCCTTGTCGAACGGGAGGAGCGTGGATTGTTGAGAGAACTATGTCCTGGCGTTTTCCAACCAACGTACTTGGCCTCGACTTTACCCAAGTTTGTCACTGTGCGAGCTCCAGCTTACTTGACATTCGACTGTTTCTGACTAATTCAAAAACCTAGAGCCGACGAGCGGTTCGTTTCTTTATTCAGAAGATACCGAGTCGACACCACTGTATAAGTTTCCCCTCGCCCGACTGTCAGTATTTTGATGCTTCCAACGACAAATGATGTTCGTTCTCCAGGGCCATGACACCATCAAAATTGGCCTCATCATCTGCTCGACGCTGGTTTCAGCTCCGCTTTCAGTATCTTCACACAAGCGTACGCTTTCCCGACATATGCTCCAAGAATTCATCGAGTTGAGAGCAGACAACATTGGATGGAATCGGTAAAGGATATGAGATGTTTGCCGCTACTGCTGCCTACGTCTCGTGTGTAAGTTTTGAAGTTACCCTCAGCGTAGCAAGAGTATGGTCCCAAGAGCCATGTTGAAAACGTCTCGCAACCTACCTCGAGCATCAGCATGCACAAGCCAGTAGGCAGCAAACTTAGGCGTTCTCCCAGACAAGGTGACAGTTGTAAGCAAACGAACCCTGAATCATCGTCCTTTTCGGCGGAGGGAAACTCATGTATCCCTTTGTTCTACACTCCTTGGGGTGAACAGTCAACTTATCCTGGTTGATTCCCACGAGAGCGTGCCAAAATGGAAAGGAAGAAGCCTTCTAGGATTTCCTTTCAATTTTCGCCCGTCTCATCCCCCTGACTCTTGCTTGATCCTGCTTCCAAATTGCGGCCGAAATTTCCACTTGAACCTTCGGTCTTGGCGTCACGTGCTACCGCGTCCATTTGCCACACGTGAAGACATCCCCGCTCCTTCGACAATGCCGCTCAACCAAAATCCACTCTTCACATGTTTCCTTGCACTCACCCACCCTATCTAAAAACCTCCACCGTCTCCACAATGCCAATCGGTATCCAACGCCTCAACGCCCCCCGTCCCCAACCTTCCTCCCGCATAATCTTCATCAAGCCCCTCCCCGGCCCCACCTCCGCCTACGCCCTCGACTTCCTGGAACGCATCGCCGCAATCTGCCGTACGTACATTCCGGAGCTGATCCTTCCCACGTGGTATTGAAATCGAGTCGCGAGACATGTTCCGGGAGCAAAAAGACCTTTCTACTCCGGGGACCAGTCTTGCAATTCCATTCCCCACCTCGAAATAAACAATGCTGACTCCCGAAACCTGCGTAGACCCCGTTATGACGCACGCCCACCTCTCCGTCATGACGCTCGAAGAACACGAACCCAACCCCGAGTTCATCGGCCGGAACTTCAACGCCGGGGAGATCATCCAGCTGGTGCTCAAGGCGCCGTACACGGGTCGCTGGTTGAGCTTCCGGAGCGTGCAGATGGTGATGATGCACGAGCTGGCGCATTGCCTGCAGATGAACCACGGGAGGGACTTTTGGAAGGTGCGGAATCAGTTTGCGGGGGACTTGAGGGGGTTGTGGGCGAAGGGGTATACGGGGGACGGGCTTTGGGGGAGAGGGCAGACCTTGTTGAGTGGAGAGTATCATACCGGGGGGAGGACGGAAGATGACGTGTCGCCGGCCCATGTGTGTGGTGGGACGTTTAGGAGTTCGAGGGGGGGGAAGAGGAAGAGGGGTGGAGCTGGCTCCGAGAAGAAAAAAGAGACGTATGCGGAGAGGCAGCAAAGGAGGATTAAGAAGAAGTTTGGGGTCAATGGACAAGCTTTGGGCGGGGACGAGGAGACGAAGGTGAAGTTGGAAAGGGGGAATAAGGCGAAGGGGAAGCCCAGGGTTGCGGGAAGTCTGCGAGGAAGGGAGTTGAGAGCTGCGGCGGCGTTGGCGAGATTTGAGGAGAAGAAAGAGGAGGAAAAGGAGGTTAAAGATGAAGAGTGGATGCTGAGCGGCAGTGAGACGGAGAGTGATTGCGATGACATTGAGGTTGAGGGGCAGGCCTTTGAGCTTGATGGCTCGCGGATGCGAGACGACAAGGGTCGTGGCATGGTCAAGGTCTGCGAGGACGAGGATCAAGATGATGTTCATGTGAAGCAAGAGATCGAAGAGCTGCAGGGGTTGGACGATCTTGGTTTAATTTCACGGACGACGGCAGTAAGAGACCGGACTACCATTGAGCGGAAAGAATCTCGTGGTGCGGATAGAGCGGGAACAAGCTCGAGCCGAGCATCAGCAACGAGCGACATAGACCCTCCAGATCGAATACGCATGGAAGATATACCGCAGTACGTCGAAAGAAAGGACCGGCCAAGCGCAAGCAATACAAAAGCCGTCCGAATTAACATCCGTCCCTTGCTTCATGCTGACAAAGACACGCCCAATACCACAGCATCGTCAGCGTCCAATCCTCCAGCAACGGCACCAACGGAAACATCAGAACCTTCAGAAATGATGTGTCCAATCTGTTCCATGTCAAACGGACTCGGCTCGCTCCTGTGCATAGCATGTAGTCATGTCTTGGACACGAGTAAGATCACAAGATACTGGCGATGCCGAAGAGATGCATGCGAAGGAAGCCAGTACATCAACGCTGCGGACTGTGGACGTTGTGGAATCTGTGGAAGTCGGAAAGATGATGGCGAGTTTTGATGATTGTGTTGGCGTCGGCGTCTGCGGAAGATACCCATCGAATCGTACTGAGACAGGATTGAGTGTTAGGCATAGCTTGCTAAGACAGAGCTGGTTGATTTGCTTGTATGGAGATCGCTAGTTCGAGCACGGCAGTAAAGATAAGGCGAAGTAAATCCGGTGCACCTGTGGCCTTCTGTGACCAGAATCGAGCTATCCATCTCCTTGCTCACAACGTTGCCCGTAATGGTCCCCAACGATAGTCATCGACATCAAGAGCACTCCCAAACCAACCCCTCGCTCCTCGCCTTCGCTTTCGCCTTCGCCTCCTTCAACACAGCATCCGCGATCTTGCGGCCCTTGAGCAGATCCCAAAAGACCCGATGCGTGCGCGCTAGACTGATATACTGCACTTCGTGAGCGGTGCATGATCGGAAGAGGTCGAGTTGCCGGATGTTGCCGCGGTAGGTGCTGGGATAACCGTTTCTCCAGGAGAGGTAGTCGTCCAGGAAGTGGTCGGCGATTTTGAGGATGAGCTCGGCCGGGAGGGACAGTAGTGTTGCCTTCTCCTTCTTCTTTGGTTCGGACTGGAGTCTGGCTTTGATTTTGGCTCTGGTTTTGGCTCTGAGTTTGGTTTTGGTTTTGGGTTTTGGGAGATGCGTGGCCGGCGTGGTGTCTGGCTCCATGTTGGAGTAGGGAGTGCGGGCCTGTCGATGCTGAGGGGTTTCTGAACGGTGCCATGTTTTCGTAGCTTGTTGACAGTGTGGTCGCGGCTCAGGCGCTTATTCCGGGATATTGGAAAACAATTCGCCGACAAAGAGAGTGAATGGACGGATGGATAAGTGTCAAAAGCTCCGGGTTACAAGGGGGGCAATGCCATCCTGGAGATGAGCTGTAACATCTGTTTGCCGGCCTTGTGGAGAGCATGAGCGGTCCATGATTCATAAGACACAGTCTCATTCCAATAGCCCGCAAAGATCAAAAGTAACCCGCTTGTCTTCAGGCTGCTTGACTAATCTCTGTGTGATCAACAATGAATAGAGGTACGGATGGGCTTTACACAGAGCTAAGTATGGCCATAGATACAGCTGGTTCTTCCTAAGATATTTGCTCAGATATCGGCATTGGTTCGATTGCCAGAATAGAAAGTCGTCGAGGTGATAGCTCGCAATCTGCAGGAGAAGCTCCGGTGGTAAAGATAGCAGGCCTAGCTTTGGTTCCTTCGAGACCGGCATACTCATCGTGATTGATTTACCGAAACGATTGTGGTGGGAACGACAGCAAGTGGGTTTTCGATTTGGGCTTTAACAGACTGGAGGATCTGGTATGGGAGAGAATGAACGATATGCAGGCGATCTGCTAAAGAAAAGTTGCAGTTGTAGCTGTACTAGCCCCAAAAAGATAGGCTTATGACTACGAGGGGCAGGTTTTCTCTTTGCCGAAAGCTCTGGCTGAGCTAAGTTCATATGATGATAACAGGATATTTGGGCTTGATGCTTATGAGTCCTGTTAAAGTTGAAAGATCAGGCGCTCAACATTGCTATTTTCTTGACAGCTTGCCCGAGATCGAGGGGAAGAGGTGAGGTTACTAGCGGCTTGGCGTCTATCATGTGTGCCCTGGTAAGAGGTCGAGCAAAAGTCATGCATAGAGGGAAAGAATACCAATCAAACCAGATTGACTATTTATCTCAATAGTCCGTAAACCAAGAGAACTTGATATAAAAATGTAACTTCCCTTCACTCAGGTAGATAATACTTAAAGTTCGGTCTGACAGCGCACCTCTTGAGACTTAGACGTTTTGGGAATGCCTCTAAGCATGACATTTGCTACGTTCTCTTCTTACTCGTAGGCGAATCGACACCAAAGACTGGGTCAATCAGAAGAAGCAGAACTTGTGAAAAAGGGGGCGACCGCGCTCCAGTAACGGATTCGAGACTCATATACAAGACTCATGCATTCCCGTATCGTGGACCGTGCCAGATACCTAACGTGCGAGAGGAGCAGCGGTCCGATCTGGCAGGATAGGTGTGGGAGAAGAAACAGCGCATGATGTGGTAGGGAGACGCGAACGCTTTGTAAATTTGCAACGCCTCCGAAGAAGAAAATGAAAGTGCAAGGCCAGATGATGTCGGAACCATTCACAGGCCCGCTTGCTGCCCCTTTGAGAGTACAGAATGAAGACGTGATCTCTGCGAAGACATCTCATGGGCTGCTAACCGTGGCGACGTGGAACGTTCAATCCCGAAGAGTAGCTTTTCCTGTAGTCTCTAGCAAGCCGGAGTGAGTCGTAAAAAGGTAGATGACGAATGACGGCCCTTATTTCGGAGTTAGCATTCCCATTCGTTAATGGATCTCTGAGTAGAGAGACGTGTTTGAGGAGTAGAAAGGGTGCTAGATTGGATAAGTTGTTCCCCCAACATGTCTCGCGGCTCAAGAACCAGTTTCGAACAAGAAGGGACCACTCCGAAAAGTGCCTTACCCTACGCAGATTTCGGAGTCAGCATCGTTCTTCTTAGTTGACGAACCGAGGAAAGAGACACGTTTGAGGTAGAAAGAATCTTTCGGTGCGGAAACATGGCGTTTCGCCTGATTGAGAAGACTACTCTGGAGGATAATGTAGCTTTCTGCTCTCGAAACATGGAGTGTGACCCCAATTTGCTACCGAATAGAAAAGATCTACTCCGAAAGCTACCTATTCAATCTCCAGCAGCATCCCTCTTTTTCTCGTTCATCCTCTTCGCCATCTTTTTCCCAACCTCGTAACTACTGATCATGATAGCACACGCCGGCGCTACTTTGAGCATCCTCGGCACCCAGCCTCTGAACAGGCCCGCCATTCCCTCCTCTTTCCAGATATGGTAGATGAAACGCGGCATCGCCTGCTCTTCTGGTCTTAGCGCTGTTGAAGCTTCTCTTCCAATTTCCTTTGCGGGCTCATGGTGGAGCACTTGCTGTCGAGTTTTCCCGACATCGAAAGGTGTTGTGATAACAGAGGCTATAGCTCCCGAGAGGGCTCCGGCGATGAAGCTGTCCACGAACGTCGAGGTGTGATTACCACTATCTCTTGGTTTCGATCTCGATCTCGTCCGCGAGTGCGGAGGATCTCGCATGTCTGTCAATCTATTCCGTACAGCTTCGTAACCCCACCAGTATATTCCACTAAACGGCACATCCCGCCACATCGTCAACGTTAATCCTCGCCAAAGTGATGTGTATCCGCGGGAATGCACCATGGTCCGCAGTCCCGTGAGCGTTTCGGCGAACACACCTGTTCCGCTGCCAGATGTAGCGGCCTGCATTCGCGTTCGGAACATCTCGATAGGGCTTATGACACTTGCGGCTGCAACTCGCGCTATCGATCCGGCGATAAGAGGGGCGTAAGCATCTGGGATGTAATTGTGTACCGGGCTGTGAGGATTTGAACGGAGAGAATCGTAGCCGGTGAAATAAATGACATTTGCGGGTATGGACATGACGAGGGTAGGGGAAAGACCTCTCCAGAGAGAAGTAGACCCTTCATGGCGGGCAATCTTGCGGAGCCCATCGAGAGTGGAGGTGAAGTTCTTGCGGCGAGTCTCGTCGACCGCGCAGTCGGCGGCTGGAGATGCTGTTGAGGATAAGGATGGGTTGAGAGTTGCGAGGGTGGCGGTTGGAGAGGGGTTGGCGGCTATGCAGAATGGCGAGGTATTGTTCACCCAGAAGACTTCGCGGCAGCAGGCTGTGACGCCAATATTTGGAGGCAGATTTGAGAAATTCGAGGACGGTTTAGAGATAGGAAGGTTCGAGGTCTGGGATTGAGATTGCAAGCGTACTCGGACGACATCTAGAGGTGTGACTATCGAAGAGATTTGTTAGTAGAGAAGACATACTTCGGCGTTGAAGGACGGAGGTACCAAGGAGAGATGTCAGGAGACTGCCGGATACCGCAGAGAGCATCTTCTGTCCGGCAGATATATCCATCTCCACCTCGGGCTCGCCGGAATCATTCATTGTCACCGAGTTGCTCGATGCCGCGCCTTTTGACGATATGTTGTGCCTCTGCCCCGGAGGTTGTTCCGAATTTCCATGACTTGGGGTGGCAATCTGGTGTTCGTCTGTGCGTGCTGGCTCTGATATGAAGCCTGACATTCAAGATGTCGGATATCAATGGACAAGCTGGACTTGAGATGTCAGTGAAAAGTCATTAATGAGTTGTGTCTGATGTGTGAGTAGCAGCTGTCAGAACGCGAATGATGTAAATGGACCGCATCATCCATGACTTTTTTGCCCAAGGCCTGTAAGGCTGTAACGGAGACGGAGACGCTAGTATTTAAACTCCGACCTGCCACCTGCAAACCGTCCTCTAGGGCGCGCCTAATGAGTGTCGGGCCCGTCGTTACACTACCTTAATGTACCTTAGGCATGTGTTCAGCCGCACAGGGCAGCAACTTATAGACCACCTAAAGGTAGGTAGTTCTCCTAATCCTAGTCCTAGACTCTGCCAGCCGTCCTCCTCTCCATGTTTTCACGTCGTTGCCGCTCTCTTCTATTATTGCCTTGAAAGGAGTCCATCAGCGCAAACCGTGCAGTCACTCGCTCACACCGCCATCCATCATGTTTCCTCGGATCGAGCTACCCAGGGACCGAGTCTCCAAAAAGCCCTCACCATACCCGACCCTCGCATTCCACCTCCTACGACTGGGCCAGTTGCTCTCCTCCATCATCGTCTCCAGCGTTCTGCTCTTCTTCATCCATCATCTCCACAAGGAAGAATACTACATTCCCTGGACCTTCATCCTCGTACGCGATATCCATTCCTTCCCTCCACTTTGCGATGTCTAGCCTTGTACTGACTGGGAACTACAGCTTCTTACTGTCTCCCTCTTGACTATAATCGCCCTCATGGCAACTACCATCTTACATTTCACCCTCACCCTAAATCCGAAATACAACCTCCTCTCCAATCTCTCTCTTCTCATCCTCTGGGTCCTCGGGCTCTCCCTCCTCTCCTGGAACCTTGGCTGGACCCTCGGCCACCGCTGCACCTCAGTCACCTGGCACAACGACTCCGGCATCATGGTCTGCCGTCTCTACAAAGCCCTCACCGCCTTCACCGTTACGGGCCTTGTGTCCACGCTTTTGGCATTGGCGCTCGATCTCCGTGTTCAGAAAAAGTCAACGCAGTTGGGAAGTTACAATCAGATGCTTGACATCAAGGGGCCGACGGATCTGAGGTCGAGTAGTCCGTTTCACGGAGGCGCGGAGGGATTTGAGCCGGCGCATAGGAGGGAGAGCAGTCCTTATCACACCGGTGCTTTGGAGGCGACTTATGATGATCAGAGAAGGCACCCGAGTCCGTGCGAGTCAGAGGGGATTGAGACGGCGTACTCACATCGGAGGGACCCGAGTCATGACGCGGCTCGGCCGTACAAGGTACAGAAGCCTATCGAGGCCGAGCAATTTGGGTATAGTGCTCCAAGTGAGCAGACAAGCTATGGGGGAGGGGGAGGGACGGGGTGGTTGTAGGACAATGTGAATGGATTCGAAGAGCCCTTGTTGTTCCATCTGTACTTTACACTTCTCCAACCCCGCAGTAATTAGGAAATATGAGGGTGGAATATAAGAGGATCGAGAAAAAGTCACGCATAGAGGGCGAAACCCCTTGACGAAATTGTAGAAGTCCTACAGTTGCTCGAAAATATCGACAGTCTTCACGAATTCTTCCTAGCAAGGGAAAAATCGTAGAAGTCGTACGATTCAGGCGTATGGCCAGAGAAAGGGAATTATTTTCACAAGCTCTCCCTAAAAACTGTTGTAAATTGAAGATCCTTGACTGAAAAAAGTCGATGTGTTTCAATCGGTATCTACAAAAACCTGTGTAAATGGAAAGAAAGAGAAATCTCTCCTGTGGTGAATTGAAGTCCTCTCTATGCATGACTTTTGCTACATTCTTTTACAATGATTGGGCCAGTCAGATTGCATCTGAACTTCAATTAGTGGGAATCTGATGGGGCATCTATACTGATAGCATGAGCGAAGCCGATGCTACTTAAGTCTGACGTACGCAAGCTCGTTTGTCCTTCCATATCTTCTGCTGATCGCCTGTTACTTTGTTTTTGCGCCGTACCGTACGATTCCATGCAATGCAACATCAAGAGCCATCAGCACTTGATAGGCTCTTGACCCATTGCCCACAGAAAGACGTTACGACCCCACCGTCCGCTGAGCCGCTTGAAGCGGCGCATTGACGACTCGTTCTCCAATGTCCTCCGCCCTCACAATTCCACCTCCGCGAATACCAGGAAAGACTGGATTCCCACCCATCTCAAGGCGCCTCACTAGCTCTTTGTTTTCCTCATTCCCCTCCAACAAGAATCTCAAACACATGACCGCGTGCTCTCTAATATACGGATTGTTGCCATCGTATGTGCAGCAAGCTACCACCATCTCGACCCCGCCATACTGCCTGATCTGGTCCTGCACCGTGCGACTCTTCCATACCAGAGACGATAGAACAAGTATGACGAGCTTCTTGAGGTTGCGCCACTCAAAGTCAGATGGGTCGGCAGCGTCGAGAGCGTCTTGGTCTTGACTGTCGGTTTGGGACAAGGGAGACGGAGCTGGCATCGGCCCATCCGTTGGCATCGGTATGCCGGCAACATCGTTAACGTCGAAAGGGCGCTCGACTGCCACTGGATTGGCTGAATCGACAGATGGTTGGGCCGGCTGCGGTGGCTGCTGCTGCGTTTGCTGCGCTTGCTGCTTTGCTGCTTGTTGTGCGTCTGCTGTCGTTTGAGGCAGAGGGGTCGTAGTTACGTCAGCGTGGGGAATGCTGCCTTCGAGTTCGCGGAGCAAGGTTACGAGTTCTGATACAATCTCCCAATTCACAAGTAGGTCTTTCCATTCTTCGCTCTCGGTAAGAACAGCAAAGAATTCGAGGAACTGGTAAACGCCTTCGTAGACACGTTCCATGTCCCAGAGGTTCAAAGGAAAGTCCTCTGGCATTGCGTGCTTTTGTTTGATTTCGCCCTGGAGATAGATCAAAGCACAGGTTTCCGGAATTATGCATTGGCGAAAGATGGTGAAGATGTACTTCACGACGTAGACGTCAACTCGGCGAGAAGTATCTGCATGTGCATTGCCGGCTGTCCAGGTTGCTTTTCCAGTCGTAGGAGGCAGACCCTGCTTGCCACGAAAAATCTGCGTGAGGATCTTGATGACCATACTCTGAGCCGGCGACACGATATCCTTGACTTCGGCGAAAGTCTGATAGGCGTACGGCATGAGTCCGTTTTCCAGTATGGCCTCCATGATTTGCATCATAAGCTTGAAATACATCTCGTCATCCTGGAGATCCCAAGCAGCAATGAAGATGAGCAATTCTCTAAGGAGATTCCGACCAGATTCACCAGCGAGAAGGATGTTGCATCTCATGCCTTGCATATCCCTACCGTGCATGACCACGTCCCGTGCAGCGCAGATCCCTATTTGGATAATCATAGGTAAGGCCTCAATTTCTTGGGGGCCCAGAACCAAGGGAATATCTGTCAGTAGTCCACGTTCTTGGTCTCCAGGCTCACCGGGGCTTTTATAGCCTTCATCGTCATCGCTCAAGGGCGCGCCATGGCTCTTGGGATCTCCACCGTCAGGGAATGTCATTAGGTCTTGCTCCTCGTCATTTATGACACCAGTAGCTGTGTCAGCTAGTCGAGCCATCAATTGGTCCTTTGCGGTTTGCAGAGTAATCGCGGCTGACTGAGGTGTTTTCAGTGCCCCAAATTCATCTTCGCGGTCAGTCTGGGCTGCTCCAAACTGGGTGTCGGTACTCTTGTCTGCGATCGGAGTATCATTGGCAAATTCCTCATTTGGCTGGGTTTCCCTTGAATGCTCGGTTTGGGCCTTTTCCGTTTTATGCGCGATCGACAGGTCATTAATGGAACCCTCACTTGATAAAGCCGCGCCTGAAGCCAGGTCTCCACTCTTTTCGCTCTCCTCTTGAATATGAACGCCTCTGCTCAAGTCCGCTTCAGGGTCACTAATGGACAGATGATCTATAGAGTTCAGAGGGTTCGTATTGTCACCATGACGCCCAGCTCTGTCTGTAAGGCCGTTTGCTGTTGCTGTGGTGTCGGATGTCCCATTGGTGTTGCCCACTGGTTCATCAGTTGCCGACAAGTCAGAGCCTTGCTCAGGCATTTCCTTCGCCTCCTCCGCACCGTGATTCTTAGTACCACCAAGCCTGGCAGCAAAATGATCTCGACCCATACCAGCAGGTAAGGCACCAGCAGCGTACTGATTTGCAACCTTGGAACTTGCAAAGAGATCTAGCCATAACAAAAGCTTACGCTGTTCGTTCTCCTGGATAAAGTTGTAGAGGAATTGCAGGCATGTGATGAGAAGCTTTTTATCTGAAAGCGTAGATACCAAGTCAGTCACAGGCCATGATGATATGGAATCAGAAGCTGTCCGTCGACTTACATGCACCAATGACGTTTCCCCACTGTATCTCTGTACGACTGCCGGTATCCCCATCGTAGCCCCTGGCCGTAACACGGACGCAAAGATCGATAAGTTTCTGGACTTGCTGATCGAGTAGGCTTTCCCCTGCAAGATTCTGAGCCTTTGTGACAGTCGCCAGACAGTTCCGAGCAACCAGCAGAATATCATTCAAGCGGTCAAGATCTTTCATCAAGGTATCGTGATTCAGCGCCATCAATGCTGAGAACGAGCCACTCGCCCCAGTTTGAGGGTCAATGGGAGCGAGAGATTGCGCTTCTAAGACAGGAATGGCAAGCGTAAACACATGATGAATGTCCTTCCAATTGTCCTGATTGATCCCGAGAAGTGTCCTGACCTTCTCATCATTGTTTGTTCGACGGACAAGGATCTTGCAGGACTTCAATGTATCTTCCCAGACGACATCGTTCAAGGTCTTGCGGTTCCTGAAAAGAGCCTGGGTACAGCTGCAAACCATGTACAAACACACCTCTTCGGCTTCTTTCCCAAACTTGGACCTGAAAGAGCTTGGTACAGGCATGATGAGTTCCTTGTCAACTTCAACAATCCTGTCAACACTCTGGATATATTCGGAGGAGAGCCCCGAGATGAATGCAATGTGATCTTCAAGGATTGAGTTATGGCAAGGTTCTTCGTATGGCGCAAGAGGTTTGCAAGGGGTTTCGAAGGGTTGATATCGACGAAGCTTGCTGCAGCGGTGTCCTAGTAGAATGAGAACAGGAAGCGGAAGATTTTTGACCCAGCCTTCGGGGTCGACGTCGTTAAGTCTTGGGAACTTAGTGGGCTTGTAGTCTTTCTCTTCCCTTGGAAGCGCTTTCTTTGCCTTTGCTGAGCGGAGCAAATCCTCACGGTCCTCCCTTATTTCGCTGAGAGAAAAGACGAGAGCATCTTCAAGAAGCTTGTGTTGATCTGGATAATTGGTCTGCAGTCCATTGATGAAGCGTCCCACTATGAATCTCCTTGTGCATGGGTCTATTCCATTTGTGCGAAGCTCTTGAAGGTCGCTGGGATAAATGATTGGTTCCAAAGTCAGGATTGGTGGGATGGCAACCTCTGTGGAGGCCTCGGCCGGTAAATCATCGGCAGCCGACTGTCCGGGTCTAGCTGCTTTCGATTGACACATATTTCGATGAACTATGAAAGGTGTCAAAATCATCTTGTTGTATGCTGATGGTTGTTGTTGACCAAGAGTTGGCACAACAAAGGTCGCTTAAGTACATGAATTTGGATGCCGAGAAACATGTCGTTTGTCGGATTGTGTGAGCGTTTCCGGGCATCAAGCCGGCTACGATATACAATCTACGGCCTCAAAGTCTTGACCTTCTCACAGGTGTAGAACAGCATTAGTATATCCAAACTATACACTATATAAGAGTGTGCAGAGCTGTCCTGCCTTTGACACAGAATGTTCGAAGTTGATGTTCCTTTGTGTGACTTAGATCTGCACATCTTAATTTAGAAGCCTGCAGTTGTCTTACATATTCTCACTTCGTCTTGCTTCGTCTTGTATCTCTCTTAATGAATCTACAACTTTTGTTCTCATATATTCTCTATCTCATCTTTTTCCTCCCTCTAAGCTCGCTAGAGAAGCACTCATCATGGCCTTTGTCTACATCAATGGTTATCCAGGTGTTGGGAAGTTAACAGTAGCAAAGGAACTCAGGCACGTTCGCCTTCAGCGCTATTCACGATCTTCCTTTGACTAATCTTGCTTCAGAAAACTTATACCATCATCGAAAGTCGTCGACAATCATAGCCTCATTGATCCGGTAGCCAAGAAGTACGAAAGATGGATGCCTGAATATTACCCTATGAGGAAGGAGGTGGTGAGTCACCCTTGGGATTCCCTTTCCTATAGTCTTTCCGTCTGACGTTAACCCATGTTCTAGCGCAGCTCAGCTCTGAACGAAGCGATTGCGTCCACACCAGATGTCACATACATCTTCACGGACTCGCAGTCATCCGATGAAATCGGCTCAGGTACAGCACGAGAGTACGAAGCCTCGGCAAAGAAGAGAGATTGTCCGTTCGTATCAATTATCCTCTCTTGCCATCTCGAAGAAAACATGAGGCGCCTCCAGGCGGTAGGCCGGGGTGGATCAAGCAATACGAAGCTGACTGATCTCGGCATCTTTCGCATGGTTCGGGAGACAGAGGATATCCATCACTTTGGTGGCCCCATGGAATTGGACCTGGATGTCACCGGGCACTCTGCGACAGCTACTGCTAAGAAGATCCATGCTTTCATTCGAGAATGTTCGTCCTCATAGAAGAACCCTGAGGTCACATAGGCGATGTTTTGTACTCTCAGGAGCAATCCACGATGCTGGGGGCATACCGAGGACACTACGACGGAGGAGCCAGGAAGAAATATAGTACCCAGCAGTCAAAGAGCAGCCAAAATCAGCTATCGTTATCAGCTGACAAATCTGAAAAATCTGCATACATTCTCATGATAGGTATGACTGAGTAGTCGTTCGCCTTGCCCCTTGTCTAGCCCGTTTTAGGCCTTTTCCACCACAATCAGACCCAACCAACCCTTCTGGCGGCCCAACTCATCCCACCCAGCATAGCACTGACTCCTGTAAAGACAATCAATCCGCCGTAACCAGTCCCGTATCCTAACATTGCATCCCCAGCCCAGGGCCGCTCGCTCAGCAAGGCCTCGCTCAACGGCCCGCTCACTACGCTCCCTATCCCTCTCCCTGCGGAGAGCAGTCCGAGGACCAATCCTGCTTCAGCACGATCATCGGCCCTCTTCACCTCTTGAATGCTACCAGTGTATGTGGAAGTGAAGCCACCTGCAAACAGACCGTAGAAAAGGCTGAAGATGCAGAGGAGAGGGAATGAGGTGGAAAAACCCCAGAGGAGGAAGACGGATAGGGTGGCACCGATGGTAGAGATGAGGATGACGGCTGGATTACAATTTCAAGGTCAATGATGCCTATTTGAGGGGGTATGTTGTGCCTGCATCACGTCTATAGAGTAGACACTCCGAAGACACTTTCCAGGACTTATGATTTTGTCCAGAAGAGAACGTATGGATGCCAAGAATACATACTTGTGATGTGTAGTCTGTCGCTAAGAAATCCCAAAATAACCTGACTAAAAACTGAAGTCGTATTGAATAGAGATACCGTTACGGTGCCAGAAACCGAGGATAGACCCAAAGTCCGTGCGTAAGTAGGCAGGTAGATGTTCGGGATGAAGAAGCCAAGGCTCTCGAGGATGTTGCCGGTTTGAAGGATCCAGAATGTGGATGCGCTAAGAAACCCCCAATGGAGCCGCCGACTATGAGATGTTGGGGAGACTGGTAGACGGGGCTTGACGTAGTAGAGGAGGCTTGATGATTTCGGAGTCAGCATTACTCTTTCAGAGGACTTCTGGGTCGCGAGACAAGTCTTAGGAGCAGAGAACTCTTCAAACATGTCTGACGACCCATAAGACAGCATGAATGGGGAAGAATCGCCTCGGAAAGTATAACGTACAGGCCTACGAGAAGAAAGAGGATGATGGACCATGCGCGCAGCATGGTACTGAAAGAGTACTTGCTGAGACCCCAGTTCATCAAGAAGGGTATGCAAACCCCACTGAAGCCTAAGATAATCAGACGAAGTCTTGACTTGGATGCGGATAGGAGGATGATTACCTGTGCCTGCCCACATGACGCCAAAGGCAAGACCTTTGCGTGCGATGAACCACTCGTCTAGGAAGATGATTGTCGGTGTGTACAGCATGGAGCCCCCAATTGCATACAAAACGCCTTGGGTTAGAATAAGGTGCGAGACACGGGTTGCGAAGGAAGAGGCCACGAGACCAATAATCATGGTGAATAGGCCAACGACGGCACAGTGGCGGCGGCGAAGTGGAAACCGTTGAAGGAGGGCAAAGGAGAAAGGTGCACCAAGGTACATGATACCCTGAATGGAAGGATTTGATATTAGCAAGGCAGTGATATTAGGGTAACAGACTTGAGTCTATTGTGAAAAAACCATACCATTGCCGAAGTACCAATAATAGCGATGCCAGATGGTTCCGTCGAAAAGGGCGTATGCGTGCTGTAGTATTCTTGGAATACTCCGAAAGAGAAAGGGAATCCTGAGAGAAGTTTTAGCATCATAGTCACGGCTTTTCTGACATAGCTGGAGACGATGCTGGTGAGGTACGAGGCTAGCTGCCGCAATTGCATGTCACTTTAACAATCTGGCCCCAGGACCTGCCAGTGTGTAATAGGATTTGCCCTTCCAAATGGTCAATATGCGAACAGCTGAAGCTTGGCTGGGGCAACCTAATTATCATAGAAGCCAAAGACCGTTCGAAGCGACGAAGGTCAGGATGGCCAGCATTTTGGACACGGACAGAATAGTGCTAAGTATGAGCAGATGAAACGACCGCCTTCGCCGCCAGTCCGCTTGGGTATGGGCCATGATCATGACTGTTCTCTTGGAGCGTTGCAGCGAAATACAGCTGTAGCAGACAGATACACTCACCCCATGTCAAAGCTTCTATGCAGAAGCAGCCCGCTAAGAACAGCCATGCGTCTTTCCCACCATCAGCCTTTGGTAGGGAGACATGTTCGTTTTCCGCTCCATGTAGGTGTGAATGTCTGCTTTGAGCACGCTGTAAACCATCCTCTTCGTATCCAGAGGCCAGTGCCCTGCCAAGATTTGACAAAGCCAAATTCTGGGTTGAGGCCATAACGATAGCTCGAACTGCACCGCGATTGAGCTTCTTGATCTTTGTCCAACAAGCTGAGGAAAGATTGAAATCAAGAGTGCTCAGGTCCGAGTCAGCCGGTGGTAGCCGCCCGCCGGTTGCGGCTGAAGGCTAACGTCTTCATAGTGCCCAAATAGCATTTTGCCATCTTAGGGAACGCTGTGTACTAACTTCGATCCGGGAATATGCTAAGAAAGGTGTCATACGGGGTAATGAAACACTTCTTTGAAGAGTACAGTGGCAAAGTAGGTATGGTTCCACTAGGTGTACAAGACATCCATAAAGTTGTCCCAGAAACCCAGATCATACAGGTTGTGGACTTCATGCAACCCTGAGACTCTTCTCCAGCGAACGTTCCCCGTAGCGGTATTGTTTCGAGGCCAAATTGCACGAGCTTCTGGAGGTTCCCCATCGCTAGATCTTACAAGCTGTTGCATGCTTGAGATCGGCCAGTCCACAATCGGCTCTACGTCGTCATTCCTGGGGCTATCATCGGGATTTTCAGGTGCCTTATCGGCCCTGAAGACCAGACCGTCTGCGATGTCGTCCCTCCAATCCGCCCACTTGCCGCTCTCGTTGGTCGTCATACCGGCCCAAATCAGATACATGTGGTACCAGAACAAGCCCCAAGCCAGCGGTGCAGTCATCAAGGCAAGCATCCCCACGCTGCCGATGCGCACATCATCAGCGAAAGCCAAACCCCATGATTGAGCATATTGTGACCAGCTCTTGCCTGTGCTCCAGTGCGCTCTTGCGTCAGGCCCATCTGAGCGGCGAAGTGTACTGGCTTGCAGGCTCCCATCGAGGATCATGTAAGCGAGGTAAGTACCATAAGATAGCATGGCTCCAAGGCTCGACATCAGGCCCACGAAGTAGACGTAATTTCCTTTGCCTAGGCAATTCATGACCCATATGCAATGATGGTCAGACTTCGCTACGCAGGCGTTGCAAACACTGCAATGCTTGCTCCTTGCAGGTTTGAGAAAGTGACAAGTGCGGCAGCTTTGGCCCGGCTGAAAGAGTACATGGTCGTATGGATACCTTTGCATTTCGGTTCTGAGGTTTTCTAGTGTGATCACTGATGACCTGGACCTTACTGCTTTATAAGTGAAGACGTATGGTAGAGCGCACGTCAGGATAGCCAAACCACGATGGACTTGGCTCAAGCGTGGAAACGCTGTGGGAACGAAAAGCAATTGAGACGTTGACAAGACCAAAAGGTAGAAGATCTGGCTTCTGTCAGATAATAGACGAGGATCCATTCATGGGTTCTCGCACCAAAACCAGTGGATGATTCTCATTCATCAGGTAAGTTCCCAGCCGGTGAAAAGCAGGAGCCAATCTCCCGCCGGTAAGAACAGCATCAAGCTTCCAAAGGCCGGCTGGCAGTGAAAGGCATATGAGGCGGTTGAGTAAACCAATTGGAGTCTTTCTGGAAATTACTTAAGTATGCGTCCGATATACTGATATCTAAAGACATACCTTAAAGCAGGGAGGCGGCCAAAAAAGGCAACGAAAACAACAAATGAGAGAAGCAACACAGCTGCAGCGATCTTCTTGAGAAGATTCATGATATATAAAGTTAGATGTAGGAGGTAATTAGCTAGACGGAAGCCTTTCTTGATGACCTATCTGCTCCAATAGAACCTATCACCGACGCTAATTATCAGAGCTGCACAATGGATCACATATTAGTGATGATGGAAAGTGATAGATTTGGCTAATTTGTCTGCATACCAAAATATATCGAGTTTGAGTGGAGACGAAGCGGTCGAGGTCGTGTGACTTCGTGACAACCAAACTGTGGCGCAAACGCGGTTGTCGCGTACCTTAAGGAGCCTCATTTCGACACACCAAACACTCGTTCACCAAGCTCCCACCACTGCTACCATTCTCAAACACACTCACCATGGCGGAGATAGTTTTCAGCGGTGTCACCAACGACGCCGATGTGCAGGGAACACTCTTTCAAGGCATCAAGTTCTGGATCTCGCACAAAGTCCCGCAGAGATCAAGGTTCCTGAGTGATGTCAAAGTAAAGAGCAGCTGAGCGAGATCATTGTCATGATCACTTTGCTTATTTCTTCGCAGGCCAATGGCGGTGACATTCTTCCTCTGGAAAAGCATGCGGACGTCAAGATTGTGGATCATGCAAGGAAGGAAGCTCCGCCAGGATCGTATGTTGCTCCGCTGGCTACTCAAGGTCCCTCTACTCTGGGCGCAGCCTGATCTTAGCCCACACAGACACTCATATACCTTCATCGAGAAATCAATACGCAATGGCGTTCTAGAGGATCTTGATGATCACAAGGTTGGGCCACCTGAAGGAAATATCAGGAGCATTGGGTCCATTGTGCAACCTCCGAAGGGGACGCGCAACAAATACACGGAAGCAGATGACCGTATACTTTGGAATTGGGTCAATGATCATCCTCAACAGGGGGGTGGTACAGATGGCAATGAAATCTACAAGCAGCTCGAGAAAAAGGTACGAAGAGGGCGTTGAAATTCTAGTAGGTAGTATCGCTGAGTCACAAGACAGCATCCACAGCATCCATGGCAATCTTGGAGAGATCGGTGGATAAGGCATCTTAAAGGGAGAACGGCTCCGTTTGCACTTCCTCACAATGCTCCACCAACACCACCTTTTGACATTCGCCAAACAACCGAGTCCTCAAAGAATTGGGCAATTAGATCGGATACCGCCACTGACAATTACCGGTCGTTCTCGGATGATGATGCCGAAGATTTGATGGTCGACGGCGATGACATTCTGAAAATACACCCAGACAACATCAATGAGGCCTGGGAGAGCTGGACTCGAGACCACGATGTGAGCAGGAGCAAAGTCGTCGTCACATTTAATGGGAACCGCTGACACTTTGACGTTTAGAAGGGTAGTATTCACACTGCGCAGCAATGGTACTTATTTTGGGAGGATAGGGTGCGGCCTAGATATCTCAGAAGAAAGGCCAAACAGACCAGAAGAGCGTCCCCCGAGAAAACTATTCCTGCCAGATCCCAGATCCCTATTTCACCCCAGAGAACGGTGGCCACTCCTCCATCGGCTTTCTCGTCTTTCAAGAGAGACTACTCGCTCATGCCAGAGCTCCCCCAGAAGACGATTTCCAAATTTCAGAACCCAACCTCACCTAAGAGGTCCAGGGCTGCTCTGCCATCCACTCTCTCGCCCGTTTCCAAGTCATACCAATCGCTCATTGCCGAGCCCCTCAACAAAACAGTTCCCTTTGAAGTTCGGAACCCTGTCTCACCCAAGAGATCCATGGTCGTCGCCCCCTCATACGGATTCTCGCCTTCTGTTGAGAGAGACTATTCGCTCAACCCGGCGGCCAGAAGCCCATCTTACCACCCTGAGTCACCTACGGTGACAGCCACGGCTCCATCAATGATTCAACAAGCAAAAGACATCCTCAGCATGCATTTGCCAAGCTTGCCGTCCAACAACGAGTGGCATGCCCAAAGGACCTCTGAGAAAACCCCCTCGCCATATCATGAGACGCTCAAGAGGAAGCATATTGCTGTCGAGGAGGACCTCCCGTCAAGTTCGCCCATAGGACCAATTTCTCCGAAGCGTAGGCGGCCAAGTGCGTCAGAGCTGCCCCTGGAAATTGCGTCAACCCCCGAAAAAAGTCGAGAGCTAGACATTGAAGGTCCATTCTCTCCTCTGTTGATCAAGTTGGAGCTTGAAGAAGATGAGCCTAGTCTCCCCGAAGGTTTCACCAAAAACGATAGTCTTCTTGGCCAACAGCTGTCTGACACTCTTTCCGAGCGTGGCCGTGTTGTCAACGATACACAAGCCGTATTTGGAGACGCTACCCAGCTGATCAACTTTGACATCCCTGCGCCCGAAGGAGGCTGGGACAATGATGAGCTCCCAGTCCAAAGTTCTAGCCAGCCCTTGGATTTTGACGTCTCATCACCGGAAGACGGCAGGGAAGACAACAAGCACATTAGCAAAGAATCTACCCAGCTGGTAGACTTCGATCTTCTGCCTCCTGAAGGCGGCTGGGCTGAGGAAGAATCCCAGGTGAAAGAAGAATTCAAAGCCTCAAACACAGAAATGTACGACGCTCAGCCTACTCTACCAGACACTCAGGCAATCCTGCGGAGCAAATCTCCAGCGCCAGATTTCTCCATCCCAGATCCCGACGGCGGCTGGAACAGCTTGATAGCCCCATCATCGCCGCTCATGCCCATCTTCCCACGCGCTGAAAGCGTGTTCTCGCAAACAGACCTCAAAGATCAAATGGATGCCTGGATCGATTCTCACGCCATCAAAGGTATATCTGTTGAGCAGGTGGAGTCAGTGCTCAAGAGTACGAGTATGGACACTACCCTCGCAGACAAGGCTTTACGACATCTGGCAAAGAAGGGAATGTTGCCGAAGGATCGGAGAGGTGTGTGGACGGAATCAGATGACGAGGACTTGAAATCAACGGATGCGAGGAAAATCCAGCGATTACAGGAGAAGCACGGCGCGGACTGCTTGACGGCGAGATGGGAGTTTCTAGACTTTTACGCAGAGGAGGCATGATGATTGCGGCAGCGAATTCTCAAAGTGAGCGTCGGCGTTTGTTGTGATCTGGACCTGGAGGGAGTGTTGCGACTAGCAACGTTCATATGACGGTACACGTAGCAACAGCGTCCTCGACACCAAGATGCAAGTCATTGAAAGCGAGCATGAGGCAGTCTAGAATCGCCGTTTGCCTCGAACAGGTAGGAAACTTCCGGGACCAGATCAGATCGCCCGCTGTCTTTACTCCACACATAGCACTCTTCGAACCAATTGGTTTCCGAATACTTTCAAGGTCTCTCAAATTTTCCAGATCTCAGCAGACACTCTCCCAAAAACAAGGGACAACTATAAGCAAACAACCCCCAACCAACCCATCCTTGTCCGCGAAAGGGATATCATCTCTCCAGCTCCAAACAGCCCTGATCCCGAATCTCTCAAGATGAACAACCAACCAACAAACCTATTCCGATCGAATTCCCCCAAACCTGTGCCCAAAAAAAATTGAAAATCCCCCCCCGTCCCCATCGGCAACACAACACGCTCCACCGTAGCCTCGACCTCCGACCTCACTATCTTCAAACCCCTCGTCCCCCCTCTACGAACGGACGCAAGAATGACCGCCGCTTGATTATCTGATCGAACGACAAGGCCACATCCCGGCCAACGGAGCATCCTTCCTTCCATCCTTCCATTCTTCCTTTCTTCCTCTTTCCATCATCCCCGCCCCGCCGCTTCGGAGAGTGCCTCGAATCGATCTGAACACGACCGCCGAGTGGAAAGTCGTCTCCGTGTCCCACAGCAGGGCAGCATACCATACCGTATCACAACCGCAGACCCGAACGGTAAGTCGTATCCACGTGCGTAAAAGGGAGATCGCACGCACGCACGCACGCAGCTCTCGTAGGCAAAAACGGAAACGGAAGAGAAAACGGTAGAAGTGAGATAGATACACGAGATACCATAAAGCACAAGACTTACCCCACCCCACCCCACCCACCCTCCCTATCCTCCGCCCCGTGCCCTCTATTTCAAACCACGAACCTTTTCAACAAGAGCAACGGAACCCGCAACGTCACCGGGGGATAGACGATCGATGGGACGCTGAGCGCGACCCCCCTTTGCGCAGCCGAAGCGTCGGACCCTGGGGCCCGTGTCGAGGCTCAGGGCTCGGGATTCATGGTTGGCGGTTCGGCTGGGCGGGTTTCGGGGTGGTGGGGATCCTCGCCGGGGGGCTTTGTCGGGTTGGGTTGATGGGGCGTGTGTTGATGCGGTTTGGATGGTGGTTCAGGATTGGCACTGTTTTTGGTTTCATGGGAGGTTCGATGGGTGGGAGGGCGCTGTGCTTGTTTATGGGGGGGGTATAAGGCTTGCAAGTATGACTTTCTTATCTGGATTTATTTTGACCGCATGGCGAGCCTACTAGGTTGCAAGACGGATGATCGGGGTTGGTAAGGCGCTCGTTCAAGCGGCAGAGTGTGGGATCCTCTTTCTCCCTTCACTCCTATATAGAGAGGTCCGCCATACCGCTTACGACGCGGTAACGACACCGGTCCCCCCAGCCTTGATCTTCCTCGCCACGCCACCGGGTCTTCGTTTGTACTTCCTGGGATCTGTTTCCACAGTTAGCGCAAGTATCTCTTCCCCAGACGACCACGAGGACCACGTACCTTTCCTCGACTACGCAGATTTCCGAGTTAGCATTGCCCGTTCGAGATAGGTAGTGGAGTTGCAAGACTAACCATGCGACTCTTGTCGCGCGTCCCCTTGCCCCCCTCCCAAAACCCGCTCCCGGCTTTCTTAATTAGACTGGAATGACAAATACCACAATCCTCGGGTCTATAATTCTGCTCTCTCGAACAGTACCCACATATCATACGATTGGCATGCTCATTCGGGTGATCGCTTTCGGTATCATGACATTTGTCGCAGGCAAATACTCTAGAGCAGCAACTGAAACGGAACCAGCGGTAGGATTTGCTATAGTGGGTACAGCGGCCATTTCGGGGTAGGGGTTGGCCTGCGGTAATGCCCAGGGAGTCTTTGGGCCTTTTACGGACGGGGGCTCGGTTTGCGCGGGCTGCGGCCGATATGAGGAGAAATTTAACTTCGGGGATTTTGAAGGCTGGATGCGTTTCGTCAGAAAGTCGCTATGATCAAGGCATAAAATAGGGAATCTTACTCATTTTGCGATGACACTCTCGGCAAACTGCCATGGAAGACTCGCCGCGAACCGATACTAAACCTGGCGCAGGCTGTGTGGTTGAGCATTCAGAGCAAGTTGGGAGAAAGTTACTGTAACAATGTAAGTGAGGTACTAGGAAGTAAAGAGGGTAGCTATGTCACCTTGGCAACATATCAAGGACAGTACACCCCTCGAGATCCAGGTACCCAGCTCTCACAGAATTCGCATGCATGAGCTCCCTTCGATAACCGACGCCAAGAGGCATGGCGCACTTTTTACAAGACTCAGAGCGACTTGCATTATTCCGCAGGTTGCTAATGTCCATAGTATCCTTGCAACGCTCGCACTTGATCGTGATACACAAAGAGATGAGCTCTAGCAGCTCAATGCCGTAGAGCTCTAAGAATGGGAAGGAAAGAGAGATGCCACGCTCTGGAGCCGTTGTTGATGTCGATGATTCAGGAACACGATCCAGAGCAGCGCCTCCGTCATCTTCGTCTTCGTCGCCTGAATCGTAGGAGTCAGAGTACTCGCTGTCAGTGGAATCTTCCACTTCGTTTTGAGCAGACCACTCGGGAGGGCGTGGGATGGACTTGATATGGCTGCGATCGTCTTCGTCACCTTTCGCTGGGCCAATGTCTTTTTCAGGGGCTGCTTCCTCCACTGACAGAGGGGCGACGTCTGGAAAATCAGCCTTTTCTGCTTCTGGCTCTTCCAAAGGCTGTGTAGCCAGCAAATGCATATTCTGTGCCAAATAATTCACATGCCCCATCAACGTTGTTGCCGGACTCTCCTTGATTTTCTTCTCAAACCCTCTTTCGGTATTCTTGGCCGCTTCTCTACTCACACCTTGAATTTCAACCCTACAATGCTGCAAGGGGTAAAGCGAAGGAACAAAGAGCTTAATAGTGTTGACAGCTTGTAACGGCACAGGCAGATCTTCATGTTTCCGTGGCGCTATGGGGATCGTATAAGCTACGCCGTCCGAAGACTTGGAAAAGAGTGGGAGACGGCCTATGCGGGCTTCAAGCTGGCGTGTTTCTGCCTCTCGACGTTCTGAAGCGAGACGGCGTACTTCTGGGGTGAAGAACTCTTGAGGTCTGCTGGGATTCGTGGGCTGTGGTCGAGGTTCTCTAATGTCTTGAGCAGGCTTGACTGGCTCTTGCTGTACACTTCTTCCCTGTACCGGTGTTTTGTTTGGGATGATAGTGATAGTCTCAGCCTTCTGCTCCGTAAGCAAGCTCTCCAGCTGTTTGTCCAGACTGTTCATCAGCCCCAACAGCGTGCTCTGCGGCCTACTCTCCGCCAAACGGGCAAAGCCACGCTCGATGTTGATCTGAAAACCTCTACCCATCTCCTTGTTCTTGACATGGATGGACGGTCTTCCCTCTTTGGGGTAGGTGACCGGCACATGGAGCACGCACTCCAACCCGACCATCTCAAAGGGAAAGTCTGGGTCTGAGGGTGCCATAGAGAAAGCATAGCTTGTCCCGCCATTTTCGCTCTGCTCTGTGGGAGAGAACCTCCGCTTCAACTGTTTGATCTGAAACTCCCTTGGGTCTTCGGTCTGAGCTATGGGGACGGGCTTGCTGACTACGCGGCTTCCATCTACGGGCGGTGGTATGAAGCGGCGGCCTTCCGTCAAGCTTGTAGATGGGACACCGGCTGGTGTATCATTCTGGGCCTCAGTCTGCTTGGAGCTGCCAGCAGGGTTCCCTGGTAGCGCAGATTGTGCAAGGTGCCGGGGACGTGTCCTCGGCTTAGGTCCATTACTGGCGTCTTTCAGCCTGGAAGGATCGTGAATGAAGGGGCAAGCGTCACCGGTTCGACAACCTGCAATGTCATTTTATGAGACGCAAGCACAGACTAGATCTAGGTGCAGAATGTGACCACGTAACAGAGGTCGAGATCGACGCTTGTAAGATGAAGCACGTGCACACACACCAGACATTCATCGTCACCAAAGGCACTATGAAAAAGGAAGGAAACGGATGGAATTACCATTTTTGGTGGCATAAAACTTGCAGTAGTTCGTTTTCCCCTGTGGCAATGCCGGTTGACGTGATGGCTGAGGCGCAGAGCCTCCCCCTTGAACAGCGCCGAGGAAAAGGAATCAGCATGCGTGTCCTTGTGACCAAGTTTTTTGCCAGCGCATCATCTCGCTTTCACATACCAACAACGAGCTGACTTGTTTGGTTGTCCATGATTCGTTACCCAGGAACGTGGATGTGGGATGTCTTTGAGTCTTGACTTTTGGTTGATATTGGGCCGAGTCTTTGATAGAACGTCGTTGGATTATGCAGGTTGTGAATTAGTGGGGACCTCAGATGCGCGTGCTTACCGACTTGCAGATATTCCCCGAGAATGGGCGATGATCGGTCAGGTGAATGGTGTTTTGAACGCCAAACCGGACGCCACAAGTTGCTCCAAGGGTTCCGAGGGCTGCGGATGAACGAGAGTATTTTGTTCACGCGTTACATTTGACGGCCGAGATATAGTGTGAATTATGAGAGACGGTTCCCTCGGTTGCGCGAAAGAAAGAGAGGATTGGAAAGGCTAGGTAGTACTACCTATCACCATACACTATCTATCACCACTATCTACCGTAACGGCCTTGCTCGGTGAAAGCGATGAGTCAACGGCAACAACGGCATGACAGGACATGACAGCAGTCCGGATAGAAGGTACACTACAGTAAGTATGATTGTTGATCTTCCAACTCGGCTATGATCTGCTATCTGCTCTCGTCTTTTTGCCTTGTTGCCGTCTTGCAGTATCTACTATCTACCGTACCGCTGTCGACCAGAACTCTAAAAGGTCGATACAAGTAATTGTCCCTTGATTTGCACGCTAGAGTTCAGCTTGGTAACCCATCATTCGCATGCACGCCTAACAGCGCAATGCACGCAATGCAAAACAACCTCCCCCCCCCCTTATCGTAACTGCAAACCCTAATCAAAGGAGCCCTACGCCAAGGCACCTCCCCCATCCCCCCACCCACAATGAATGAAACAAATAACAATGCCCCTCCAACCTGGGCCTACCCAGCAGGAAAGTGGGTTCTCCACCGCATATGGAGTGCATGAGTCGGCATGATTAGTCCCCAATGACCGCGATGCAAACTTCCCAACCCTGTGGTAAAGTTGAATGTGGGTGTAGGGCCCCGACGAACCCCTGGGGGCGCTTAAATTATCGGCGCTTGGGGAAGCACAAGGCGACATGTTGAAGTGGTCCTGCATGCAACGGTCAAGCTTTCTGACCTTTTCATGTGTGATAAGCGAGAAATGGCTACATTTGACTGCGACTTCGCATACCACTTTCCTGGTACTTTAGAATGCTCCTTGGGCCATCCATCGGACATGTCCGGAAGATATGGTCATAGGCTAAAGTACTTCTGGCACACGAGTAAGCGAGAGAAAGCAAGAGACTGAGAGTGATGCCCAACGGTGGCTTGGCCTGTTGCATGTGTGCAAAGCAAGACCTTGCAGAAAGCATCACAACTCACGCAACACGACTTCGGGCGATTTGTTCAGAATGGCAGGAGTAATTTCTTGATTGTGCCTATGTACTGTTATCAACTGCCTCTGCCGAAGCCGTTGCCTCCACCAAGCCAACGGTCTCGGGGCCTTCCCGCCTCCTTCGCACTGTTGAAGCTTGTTCTTCAAAAGGGGCTTTGCCGATGAGAACCGCTATGGCACCTCGGAGGTAGGATCGAAACCCCTCAGCCCTTTCCGTCCCGAAAAAAACATACAGCAATTTTGCAATGTGCGAGGCACAGAGCAGTAGTGGTATCATATGTAGTATTGCATGATCGAACCTTTTTGGAAAACGCCGCCACTGATGGCTCCGTGTATGAAACATCGCTAAAAGTGGTCATTATGCCGCTGCGCCATGCTGTGAAGATGCCTCTGAAGTATGTTCGCTAAAGCGCAGCGTGAAGAAAATGAGAATCGTTAGTAGTAGCTCTGCTGTATTCGTAATATGTGCGGAAGCAGTACGCATGGCTACCAGCCAGCCCTGTGGTATTCACCAAGCCCTGCTTCGAAGTAGTGATCGAAGGAGGTGTTCCTAGATCCCTGCGTAGAGGCTTGCACTGCTTCGCCGGGAAAGTGTTGTAGACTCGTCAGGTTTTGGGCAGTGTGCCGACGTTTTATCATGGCGTTGGTTGTTGCCTTTTTCTGCTGTCGCTCCCACAGGACGTTCGTTCTTAGTGACTCAGTCATCTCCGTAGCAAGCATGTGTCGGCGTGTAGTTTTGGGTGAAAAGGCCATTTGTTGTGCATTGCCGGCAGTCATAACTATGGGTTTCGATCTGGTCATCTGTCCTGGAAGCAAGGTAAGTGAAGCGTCCTCCACCGGAGAAAGTCCATCGGAAGGACCGGTCAAGGTCGACGTTTTGGTTCGTCTTATCACTGGAGTGGATTTTGAGGCCAGATTTGCGAAAGTAGCAGCCCGGTCGAGCTGATGCAATTCAGTTGTTAAGACAGATCGCCGTGATACTAGATTTGGTTGCGAGTCGACACGTTGGAATAACGGATTGTCGTTGGCAGTATTCTCAGCACTTTCTGATGCGTCATCTTCCCAGTCGTCATCGTCCTCCTCCTCAGAGTCATCATCAATGGCGCTCTCGTCATCTTCGTCGGACTCAAACACCTCCTCATCCTCGTGAGATCTCTTTTCCAAGGCGCGTGACTCGACCTCGTCCCTGAAGGAAAGTGTCTTTTTGTTTCCACTCGGCCGCTTGAGGCCTAGGGTGAGTGAGCTTTGCTGAGGTTGAGAGGTCATTTTTTCGTCCAAGGAACTGTCGTCTTCTCCTGAGGAGCATCCAAGCAGGAACACGGGACCCTTCTTAGAGGCGGTCTCTGTCTTGTTGGTGGAATTGTGTTTCATCGGCATCGCTTCAGGAGCGAGGTGTGTGTGAGAGCGATAGAAGGACTCCTGGCCCATCGAGAATCCTCGAACCACGCTGTGCGAATTGAGAATCTCGGCACTGGTATCAGAACCAACCGTCTGCTGTGGGCTGTTGTCGCTATCAGGACTACTTGGAGGAGCAGTGAATGAGGAAGATTCCGAGGAACGGAAAGGTGCATCAATGGTGGGAGACGCCGCACGAGGAGTGACATCGGTAGACAGTGGCATTGGTGGCATTGCATCGGCAATCCTTGGTGAAAGAGGCGCGATCTCCTGCTTGTCTTGGATCGAATGGACCATCTTCTCCAGGCCCAAGGAGGTAATGTGTTTCTCTTTCCCTCTGCTCCTTGATAATGTGGGTTCGGATTTTGGTGATGTGTTGGGTTGAATATTGAGGGGTGCTGTGGGTGGCGATTGAGTATCTTCGCTTGAGTCTGAGCCAATGGACACCAAAGATTCGACGCTGGCGGAGAGGCCAGGCACATCCCTGCGATTTGGTCTCGACCTCGCGAAATCAATTGTAGGTGTGGTGGTGTGGTTATGTTGTGGCTGAGGCTCGCAGCAGAGGGTTTCTCGGTTCCATAATCGCCATGTGAGATTCTCTAGCCGGCGACCGTCCTCCATTGACTCGGCGCATTTCGAAAACACTGGGACAGATATTAGTATGAATTTTGGGAAGGCAGTGCCAGAGACAACGTACTACTGTACAAGCCGAAGAGGTGTTCCGCATTCCTGGTGTCCAATTCTCGCAACTTCTCCACGTCCACCGAGAGCATGGGGGTTTCCAATCGAATCGGCATGTTGTAAAACACTCGCGACGAGTGTAAGCAAGAATTGAAGCCAGGTGAGTAGTGGTTGAGAATTTTCAAGTGTTGTGGGTGGTGTTGAGAATTCTCGTCAGGCACCGTTATTGCCCGAGGCACGGAATCGATCTAGAAGGGTGTGGTGGAAGGTCTTTGCCACTTGCAAATTTTGCAGGTGGGCGGCGTCAAGCTGAGTAAGAAGAATCAGTATACGAGCAGAATTGAGGCCGTAAAATGGGATTGGTAAGGAAGGTGAAGGAAGTGGTGATATAGACTTGGTGAAGAATAAAGTTGGAGGAGGATTACGGGCGTGAATGTGGAGTTGAGATGTGGAGGAAAGTGGAGGTGGTTTTGTTACCAGGATGAGTGAGGATCTGTTGCAGCGCAGCGGTGTAAAGCGATTACGGATGCCCCGATGATCGATTACTGTACCTTCGGTGCGATCGATCCAACAAGTTCCATAATCAGTAGTAGTAATGATGGAAGGAGTAGTAGTAGTAGTAGTAGTAGTAGTAGTAGTAGTAGGGTAGTATGTATGGGTAAAGTAAGGTGAAATGGATAGGCTGAATGTTAAGCTTGCTTATTTTCTGGTTATGCTGGTTATATTCTGGACCCAAGTCAGAGTATGCATGCATGTATGCATGTATGCATGCAAGCTGCATAAGTGACAAATTCTAGAAAATAAGAAAGAAAAAGTTGGGGACCTAGGCCATTATGATCAAATATGTACCCCTCGCTTTATGAAGACTTATTATTATTATTACCCGTAATTGTTTTTCTTTTTTCTCTTCTCTCCTCAACTTTTATCACAACACCAAACATCCAAACACCAGTCACAACAAGACGCGGACCTCAACCGCCAACGAAAAGACTAAACTAACTTCACTCTTCCTCCCTTCCCCGACAACGGTGGCAAGGCTTGACAGAACCCGGATGCATTTTACAGGGAGATAGACAATTGACCCAAAATTCTTTACTCTTAGTCTTACTCTTAGCTAGACTTTCATTCGGCTTCGATCCGGAATCTTTGCCTATCACAGTGGCTCCCTCAAACAGCAGCAGGGGTAACCTCGGTATAGTTCCAGAACCTAAGTAGAATTCACGCATTTCCTCACTGCTAGACCACTAACTCCCTACTTCTTCCGGTCCACCGCCTTTCTGTTTCCATACCCATTATGTCTTCACCCCATCCTATTTGGCTCATTTTCATCTATTCTCAAAACATAATACGAGGCGCAAATCTCTACCAGAATGACGGACTCGTAAATAAATCGTACCTATCAAAAGGAAGAAGCCAGGGTTCGCTTCCCCAGAATTGCCTGACCCGGGCTGACCCCCACGGCACTAATTGCCCACCGAAATTCCTGGGGTTGACAGCGTGCCATGCAGCTGTGAAGCCACAAACGCCACCAACTGCCCTCGAAAATAAACCAGCCCTTACATACGCCAGTCAGCCTTTCCCATACGTCCACTAGGTATACGAAACCAGCA